ACGCGGAGGGACGCAAATGGGAACGCGAGATGAACGCAAAAAATTAAACATGTTTAATTTTTTTCGCGTACCTTCGGCGTAGACACTTTACGCAGAAAGTACGAAATTTGTACGCAAATCTACGCAACACTACGCAACTGTACGCCAAGCCTACGCAACTGTACGCCAAGCCTACGCAACAATACGCTACCCTACGCCAGTCCGACGAAGCATTAAAAACGTAAAAGGACGTCCTAGATCAAACCTGCGCGCAGCCTAGCCACAATAACTGCTTGACCCCTGCTGGACTTTTCATTACCATTCCTGCAGTGCTACATTTTATTCGTCCCGCTGGACTCTATTGTCGGTGCTGAACTATATCTGCAGGATTTAATTATTTCTGCTTTAATAACTGCAAAAATGCCAGGAAAGGAGGGCAAGGGTTGGGGTCGAGGCCACTTGTTTCCATCCTTCTGGAGTATCTGGGCACATGAGAACTTCGTTAGATAATTCATCGATTATTGCTTGGCACACTTGTGGGATAAACACAGAAATAGTGTTATGGGCAACTCGGAATCCATATTGAAGTGTCTTGTAGCTGTTGCCGGTGGCCAGAAACCTCAAGGTGACAGCCAGCTTTAAATCAGGTTCCAGAGACCACCCCTTTGGTATTTTTATGTGTGTAACCCCCCCCCCCCCCCCTTTGGATTTTTTTTTTTTTAATTATTTAAAAAAAAAAAAAAAATTCCCTAAACAGGTGACCCCCCCCCCCCCCCCCCCCCCCCAACGGAGCCAAATATCAAATTTTCAAATTTCGAGACAAAAAAAGAAGAAAAAAAGTGTCTCCCCCCCCCCCCCCGCTTATTCAGCGGTCGGCTGAGTCGTTGCGAAATTATCGGCCCGATCTATAAATGTTAAACCCCCCCCCCCCCCCCCTCCCCCCTCCTTGAAAAAATCCTGCGTACGCGCCTGCTGTAGTTAGTATCTCGTTTGGTAATCCTCGGTGCAATTCGTGTCAGAAGTTCATGGAAATCCTGTGGTCCCATCCGCATGAAATTGGTAAATGCGGAAACATCCTCAGCATGCAGTTCATTCATCAGCTTTTCATATTGCCCCTGCAGGGGCCTGCGCTGGATCCAAGGTTTTACCCTCACACTTCTTCTTCTTCTTCTTCTTCTTCTTCTTCTTCTTCTTCTAGCTTCTTTCCTTCTCTGTTCTTGTTCTTCTCCCAAGCGTTCATGTTCAGCCACATGACTAATTAGTCTTTCCATAGCATCCAGATGCTGGAATATTGTACCTTTTTGCCGAGGGCCCAAAAAACTCATGATCTTTTTCTGCCTGTGTTATTACAACAGTCATCTGTAATTCAAACAGCAGTGATGTGTTCTGGACAGCAGGCAGCAGTGGATTGAGGGCAGAAAGAAAAGCGCCAATGGCTACACTCGCGGCTCCTACATGCATTTTTACATGTCACTTTCGCACACAGTAAGCAACCGTACGCAACCTTAAGCAACCCTACGCCAGGCCTACGCAAGCGTACGTAACCCTACGCCAATTGCCTACGCCGTAGGTACGCGGTGCCTACGCACAGGGTACGTAACTATACGCCACCGTACGCAAGTCTACGCAGGACCTACGCAGGGACTATGCCGAAGCATCAATTTATTCATGAGTACGCAGCTTAACTTCGGTGTAGTCGGTACGCAACACTACGCAACTCTACGCAGATCCGGTGTGAAAGGGGCTTTAGATAGATCTAAGAATATCCCCAAACAATACTTGTCTCCATCAATAACTTTTATGATACTACTTAATAAATTAAACACACCCACTTGAATGTGTGGAAAAGTGCTTACGAAAATCACACTGCTGAAGAATCAAGATATACTTATTTAAGCGTTTTGTCTCCCTGCTTCTCTCATGCTCTCTCTTCCCACTTCTCTCTCTCTCTCTCTCTCTCTCTCTCCCTCCCTCTCTCTCGCTCTCTCTTTCTTTCTCCCTATTTCCTCCGACATCTCTCTCATTTCTACTTTCTATCCCCCTTCTCTGTTTCTCTTCATTCTCCCACCATACTTTTTGCTTTTTTTTTTCCTGCTGTTCCTCTCTACAGATCCCCCTCTCTCTTTTTATCTGTATGTCTGTCTGTTTTTCTCTCTCTAATTGTCGTATCCGATTTTGTTTTTATTTTATTAAAACAAAAAAGTATAGCCTATACCCAGAGTCAATACTAAAATCTCTGCAGGTAACGAGTAGATCATCTGTAAATCCCCCCTACCGCTCTCTCTCTCTCTCTCTCTCTCTCTCTATGTCTCTCTCTCTCTCTCTCTCTCTCTTCTATCTCTCTCTTCTCTCTCTCCTTCTCTCTTTCTCTCTCTCTCTCTCTCTCTCTCTCTTTCTCTCTCTCTCACAGCTGTGTCTCAATATCCACCTCCGTATCTCCTTCTTCTCACACTTGCTCCTACAACCTCTATTCTCTCTCCCGCCAATTCCTCGTTGTTGTATATGCCATCAGAGTAAAGTGTATCAAGTTTCCAAAGGTGTCGTCTTTTATAAAGAGTCATTTTGACTGTGCCCATCCGGAGAGAGCTATCCGTTGATGTTGCATTTTTCAACCCACTTTAATTAACAATCGGGACACACTATCCCGGCTGACTTTTAATAATCTTGGATGGCTCGTCGTCGCTCGAGGAAACCATTTAACTTAAGGCTTGTTTAGATATGGCGCGGTATGAATAAACCGCCACAAAAAAGCCGCCGCTGTTTTGTTGTTGTTTAACGTGTAAATGAATGACAACTTCGCGCTACAAAGGACTTGCGAGTAATCGTTTGTACATGTTCATAAATTATATACACACATATACTTCAAATGCTACTTAATGTACTTACTTGGTTAACATAGTATATACATATATTACGTATACACATATGATTGTATTCTCCAATACCCTGGTTATTGGTGACATGAGAACAAATGCCATTGCCATTGCCATTGCCATTGTCGCTGAGCTCTTTGTTAAAAGATGTTGAAATGCAAAGCACATTGCACTTTAGGTCATTATAAAAAAAGATTTTTAAGATACCGCCGCGGTTTTTGCCAGGCCATATCTGAACGAGCCTTTGCAAGTATCCTTGTTGTCATGGCGACTCTTTAACGTCGCAGTGAACTGATGTGACCTTTCGTCCAGCTATCTTTATTGAAACAGTCCTTGTGTCTTTTCTAATTTAAAAAATCTCTTTCTCACCTGAGCCGGTCGGAATCAGGCTAAATTATGTACAGAATATCAACATTTGGTCCCTACAATACAAACAAACAAAGAAAAACAATAAAAACATAACAAATCGTCCCTATTTTCACGAAGTTACGGTAGTGAGGAAAATCGTAACGCAAAGTGAATGCAATTTTTTTTTCACTACCGTCACTTCGTGAAAACAGCGACGAAATGTATTACATATATATATATATATATATATATATATATATATATATATATATAATATATATACATTTTATATATTCATGATGTGGCCTGTTTGAGGAGTGTAAATCTATGTAACTACGACGGCTATCATAGACTGCCGCGTGAAACTGTTCAAACATTCAAGACACCTTTAGTGTAATATTTCAAATTTGATAAAAGGTTGACAGAAACAATATCATTAGCTGATATACACTTTTTGCGCCACTCGTCCTTTTTCACGATAATAGAGCACGATCTTTCACGAGCTTGTATATATCTATCCCGTTTCCTACGAGGACTTGGCTTTATTGTTAACAATGAGAAAGAATTGTGAAACTGAGAGCAAATATGGGAAGAACAACATAGTTTCTCCCAGAGGATGGGACCAGCGGATACAATTCAATTTATCTTAGTGAGAGGGGAGGGAAGTGGGCAGATGCAGGACATTTTCATTGAGAGTATAGGAGGACTTTATCCCCGGACTTTATCCACTTTGAAGCAAGCTCGTGCAATATCGTGCCGTTACATCGTGCGAGTGTAGGAGTGTAGGCGAGTGACATACGTCTGTAAATGCTGGACAGTTCAAACCTTGCACGAAGACTTAATTGTACGTCATTGTCACAAATCAAACAAAACCTGTTCTAGCCTCAGAACGCGAAGAAAATCTCCAACACACGATCAAACCAAATCGTAGTAAAATACCTGTTGAAAGACAGTATTGTATCTCGTTAGATGCTAAACCATAGTCAGGTTCGGCCAGAGTTGAGAAGTTGACCCTATTTGCACTGTAAAAAGCCCCTAGAATTTTGGCGGATCATTTTGAATGAAACAAAAAATATAGGCCTGTGGACATGGCAGATGATACCTTAGTATTGGTAACCTAGTACCCAATACTCAGATACTCGACCCAGACCACTTAGAATGGCATTATTCATGAAGAGATATATCAGAGGAGCCAATGTTTAAACAAGAAACCGTCATGATCTAAACGGCATGGATCGAGATGACTCTACAAATATAGCTTTCCTCCTAGACCGGTTCACGAAATGCATATACACATGTATGGGGTAACCCAATACAAACGGACTGGCATATTTCTTATAGTGTTGGATCAAATTCACTGGTACCAGCGGGAAGATGATTCTTTCACATGAAAAATAATACCAAGATATACAAATTTGGTAGATGCTTAAATATACCTAATTCATCACCTGCGCTTCAATCTGTTTCACATCTAGGCTAACATTTCCTGAAGAAGAAAAAATGTCATAGGTAAAGGCGTCAGACGGACAAAATATTAAATACAAAATTTCGGGGGAAATGTTTTAAAGGTATACAAATATAAATTTCAGAGATAAAATATCAGAGGTAGCAAATACAAGAAAAATGAACTATCAAAACAGCTTTTTCATACGGAACCCGGGAGAGAACATGCGCGAGAAATAAAATAGTAGCTAAGTCGTTTACTCCACTTAGAAAAATAGTAAGTACATTTGTAAATCGTTACCTAAAGTCGTTTACTTCACTTATTCCCACCATTGTGAGTACCCCCCCCCCCCCCTCCACCCCCACGCTTATTCCAATCGTTTACTAAATGGAGGGAACGACTTGAATTCGGTGGAAATAATTTTGTAAGTGGCGGCAACAAATTATTCAGTGGAGGAAACGACTTTCACACTTTGTATAATATTTTGTCCTAGAATGCCCTTTCCCGGGCTTTTCTAGATCGTCCTCGTTTTCCTGCAAATAATTTCTATAATTTGTGGTTATACATTTCTTCATAATATGGTCGAGCTTTCTCAGCAAGACGCCGTACATCTTCAAATACATTTTGAACCTGTGTTCTTTTATTCGCTGGCACGAAATGCGTGCTGCTCATCGCTGTCTTGTAGAAATGGACGTTATGTCGTAGAACTTCATCCCCAGCCGCTTTCCATGTAAATGCCACGTCCGCGGATGCATCCCATCGCAGTAACGACTGGTCATAAGGCAAACCAAGTGCTCGGCAAAACTTCGGCAACACTTCGTGTGGCTTCGTGAGAAGATCGTCTGACTCGATGATGACCGATTGCTTACTCCTTTCGGAACTTCCTTCCTTGGGAAGAGCACTCGCTTTTGAGTGTTGGGATGAATATCTCCAGAGCTCGCAGAGTTCTTGGTGAAACAAGCCAGCGTCCATTAAAAAATTATCCCTTTCAATGTCAAATTTGTTTTCATCTCTTGCTTCCCCGACCAGGTACCCTGCCGACAGAAAGCTTTGGTACGTGGCTCGACGGTACGATGTGATAGCTGCCGCAGGTTCGCGGATCAAATACGCATGGGTAAAACCATCGGGTAAATAACGACGATATTTCTTGTCTGACATCGACAAAGCCATGTCCTTCACGATGACGTACTTACTCGTCGAGCTTTCAAGCCTCTCTTTGACGCCTTCATACCTGTAGAAATATCAAGAGAGTGGTAGAGAGGGAGAGAGAGTGGTAGAGAGGGAGAGAGAGAGAGAGAGAGACGGGATGAGGGAGATAGAGAGATAAAGATAGAGAGGGTGAGGGAGAGAGAGAGAAATAGAGAGAGAGATAGAGAGAGAGAGATAGAGAGAGAGAGAGAGAGAGAGAGAATGCATCATCTAATGCATCATAAAATGTCCCTTTTATACTGGTGATTAAAAACTGTCAATAAACGACAATAACTGTTCATAAACACTGTATTTATTTATTCTCCGATATAAAAAAGAAAAAAGAAAAAAAAGAAAAGCTAGGCCTATCTTGATTCCAGTTACACGAGGAGGAATATATTTTTTACACACGATATATATAATCTAAAAGTTCCTAAAGCCTTTCCTTTGTCTTTCATGCTTGTGGTTTAAATATTAAGGCAAAACTGACAATAAAATATGTCGCAAAACTAGAATAAACAATCCAACTGATGAGAAAATATCGTGAGTTTCATTAAATCAGATATAAGCAAATTCTGTAGAATACGAATTTTTCTTTTTGTCATTAAAGATCATATATTAAGAAGATAAAGGTGATACTTTTTAAATATCATGGTAGTAATAAGTAGGTGTACAAAGTTTCTATTTACATATATAATATGTAATCAATCAATGCAGAGAAGAAGATCAGAGAAATTATATTTACGCCAGTCTCTCGGGGTCGATGACACCAGCAGGCATGAGCGCCACCTTCGAGAGAAGTCGCGCAGCTTCGGTGAACTTCGTCTCATTGCCTGCGTAGCTTGTCGGCAACTCTCGGCCGTGAGCCCGTCGGTATTCTCTAGCAGCCATACTGCAGAAGCAATACGGTTCAAACCAGATCTCCACGCCGTCGATCTGACTCAGGCATTTGATCAATGCTGTCGACAATGTACGAGGGAAGGTCCAGAGTATGATACGGACCTGGTCGGCCTCTCCATTGGGTTTTAGCGACGTCATCGTCGTAGACATTCACGTAGGCTATTCGTCTGTCATCTGCGATGTCCAAGACACAAACTTGATTATTGCGGTCTTTGCACTAAAACGTGAGGTGAAATGCTACTAAAAGGTTGGAAAATGAACAGTTCAGACACTCCAATTGTTCGGACTCTCTTTACAATTACATAGAGTGATCCATTAGTGATTTGTACATGCGTAGTAAATACGGAAGTCAGTCAACCGGTCGGTGTTGCAGTATAAAACATACACGCCCACCGGAACCACAAAGCATGATAAAGAAATTACATTTTTTGTCAACATGTGTCAATGGGCTGCGAATTTAACCTACACACAGGTATAGTAATGGACTTTGAACGACATGTAAAAAGGGATATCAGCACTGATTGATTTCATTGACTTCGTTATTAACACATGATTTAAAATGATATCTCCGATTTCAATCAATAAACTAAACTTTGGATGTATCATAATCATGATGCAAAAATATGGCAAACGTCAAAAACATTTCATTTTTTCATTATCATATACAGCAAAATGCCCCCCCCCCAAAAAAAAAATAAATAAAAATAAAATAAAAAATAAATAAATAAATAAATAAATAAATAAATAAATAAATAAAAAAATAAAAATAAAAAAAATTAAAAAAAAACAACACGAAACAAGGTATTATAAAATTACGCTGACATATATTAGTTCAAGAGCTTTGACAAAATAAAAATAATACAATTGAAAACGTGACATTTTGCATTTAAAAGATAATGCTGAATAGCATTCATTAATTATTGAATGATAATATTGGAGACATATTTACAAGATTATTGGTACATTGTATGCCGGTAAGAAAATTGTATCGACCTGTGTAGATACGTAGATTATCTTGAGATACGGTAGTAAAGTGGTTTGATCACTTGGCTTGGGTACGAAGGTCGTGGGTTCGAACCGCGGCACATCACTCATATCCTTAACCAAGGCATATGATCTACAATTGCTTCTCTCCACCCAGGTGTTTAACGGTTTGATTCGCATGTGAGTGCCCGAAAGGTGGCGCCTTATACACGTACTGGAATGCTCCAAGTGGAGAGACAGTGTACGCTGAAAGTGCGGAATTGTATTGAATCCGATGACCGGGTTTAAAATATACACCGTGGGCAGGTAATTTGCTTTGATCACGTACTTGCAACGGGAAAGATGCTTTTAAGACAAAGTTAATTGTTATGGCAAAATTGACAATTGTCATGATTTTAGGGTTAAAGGAGATAAACCCCATCTCATAAAACGTACCTTAACGATCCCGATGCCTCGAGTTTCGTTTATTTTGTATTCACTGACACTCTTAATGTTTCTCTTTATCATTATTAAATCAAGCGTGCATTTCATGATTTTTTTTTGTAATGGAGAGAAAGAATGGAAGAAAAAGGGAAAATTTAAGGACACCAACAGCAATTTAAAAGTAGTTTACTACTACACATGAACGTATAGTTTATCAACACAATCAAACGCATCAACATCAACGTTTAATACAAACAAAATCGAGATTGAGTGACATATACACATCCAAAACCAACCTCCCATGAAGGACAGAGCACCGTTTCACGAAACAGTCATACGAACAAGTTTGCCGACAACCTATTGAAATGCATGCATTAAATTTAACACGTATTTCAATGCCAATGGGATGTAGGTGAACTTATACTTATGACGGTTCAGTGAAGACACGCTACGGGACGCTTCCACGAGGGGTGGGAAAGGTCAAAATAAATGACCTACCTCTTACTGCATGGGATTCTAGTTACCATAGCAACGAAGGAGTCTTACCAACGCACAACCACCGACCCCGAAGAAGAACGGTGCGCTCCGAGACACATTGAAAATTGGATTCTTGATGTGACTTTAATGTTACTCAAAGTCTCGAGGCATAACTATTAGTTTAGAAAAATGAAAACATGAAACTGAACGGATAGGTTGAGATTCCAGTTCACGAAAAGGATGAGGGGGGGGGGGGGGGCATTGATATCGCATCATTTGTTTATATTTAAGAATGGCGAAAATAAGTTTGCTTGTTTTATCTGTGTATATGCATATTTTTCCATAACATATTGTCTATATCAATACCTGTCTAGATCTAACTACCCTCTGTCACTCTATCTCTCTCCCACTCCTCCTCCCCCCTCCTCTCTCTCTCTCTCTCTCTCCCTCTCTCTCTCTCTCTCTCTCTATCTGTCTATCTCTTTCTATAAAGTTGACTTAAAACATGGCTTAATTTCTTTTCTCTCTCTCTTGTATTTCGACCGAAAAATAATTGAAAAATACCCCACCATTCATAATTATAAAGTCATCGCTTTAAAGATGGTTTTATCAAAATGTGTATTTGTGAATTCGTATAAACACTGACGCAAAGTTTTATCAATTTCAGCAACTATAGCTATAGGACTTCTTCACGCAGACATAATCATGATCAAATTTTGTGTGTACTTCAATGGTTCATATTCTATTCTAGATCTCAATTAGCATCGACATAAGAACTTAAAAAATCAATTTTCTGGAACATATTTTGCTTTGATTTTGATGATAATTTTCACAGGCCGCTGTATTTCTTTATAACTAAAGCCGTATACCATAGTCTCCTCATAACCATTTATCTTACTCAAAGTATTGATCATGTTTGTTTGTGGTTTGGCTATGTATTTTGTATGTTCTCTCTGTTGTTGTCCCTCCGCTTTTCGGAGATCAGCGAGATTATCGCATTCGAAGTAGTAGGCTGCTGTAAATATGTTATAAAATCCTTAGTTGAAGGGAATGGAGTGCAGGCGATGGGCATGAATTTTGTAAAGATAGTGAAGTGTCATCTTTAAAATAGAATCATTGACAGTGGAGGGAAGGTATGGATCATATGGCAAGAGAATAGCGCAAGTCAGATGGGAGGGGTCCTGGCTATCTTCTTGATTTAGGTCCACCTGTCTCTCTCTCTCTCTCTCGCTCTTTTTAGTGTTCTCTCTCTCTCTCTCTCTCTCTCTCTCTCTCTCTCTCTCTCTTTCTCCCCTCTCTCTCTCTCTCCTTCTCTCTCTCTCTCTCTCTCTCTCTCTCTCACTCTCTCTCTCTCTCATTACGGGATGTGTAATTCTGTTCATATAACATGTTCAAAAATGTTGTTATACAATTTTAATGTACAGGACTCTCTTGCAAAGCACTTTTTTATCTACTGAAAAAGGCTACCCTGTATAAAGAACACATACTAAATAAATACATAAAATGTATATATAGCAGGTCATGCTCTGTATTTTTAATTTACTGTCAAGCCCACATTCCGTGTTTACCATTATTATTATTATGCCAAATGGGAATGGGGTGGGGGCGGGGTTCTTTTGTTTGTGTTATTCTCTCTCATCGAATTTATGAGCCAAAAAGCTTGTATGCAGTGTGCGTTATGGTAAACTCTTTTACCAAACACTAAATGCTAAAGGTATTTCAGATTTGAATTTGTCTACAAACAACGTTTATACCATTTGTGGGTTAATGTTTTCATCTTTTATCACCAAAATCTCCCTTGGAGAAGAAACTTGTACAGTTGTTGGCAATGTTTAACCATTTTGTAGTTTACCAATGGCAATCGATAGTGGGACATAAGTTTTGGTTACAAATACAAGTTCATCTAATACCTCAACACAAAATCCCACCTTGATCGCTTGTTAATGAGGTCGGTGTTCTTACAAATGGTTATCTTGTCCGTCGATATTTCTTGGCCTCAGCGAGCGAGGTCGACCCGCTTGTTGTTTACCCCCCTTCCTCCTATTCCCGTCTCGTCGCTATCATAAACATAGCTTTTGTCATCATTCAATTACACTCGGCTTAAACATTGTCATCCAAGTACCGGGCGACTGGTCGCCAAAAGGGTACGGGAAGGCCACAGAAGAAAAGTCGAATCACCCAAGCGAGGTAGATGCCCTATTGTCCCTTTCTCCCGCGAACAACACACTCAGCCGGAGGGGTAACAGACGCATTTGTATATGAATACCAACCATCCCGTTGCTAATGCCAACAAACACCCCGGTTACGATCGTTTGCCGTGTGTACAGGCACTGTATATCACTACATCGCGAACCAAAAGAGAATCTTCTGTGATCTTGCGACCCAACTTCACACCGCACCGCATGTGGATCGAATTTCGCAGCCAGACTTCAAATTTGGATTTAATTTGACAAGTAGTTAGACATTTTGCTTTTTTTGGTGAAGAAGGAAGGCATATTTTGAGGAATTATCGAGGGAAAGATTGTAAAATCTGAGAAGAAATCATGTCCCAGGCGTTGGTATCGCGGCCCGCGTCGCAGGGTGGGTTCCCCCGTCAGCCCCGCTTACCAAACCTCCCTGAGATCCAACACCCTCTATCCCGGCTGGGAGACCCAGACAAACTCAATGTGAGAGGGTTGTCGAGTCGATCTGGTGGTCGACCAAGCTCCAATCCACTCGGTGGACGAGGACCGAGACCCGCCGGAGAGGTACCCTTCAGCAGTCTTGCACCAAGAGTATCTCGGACAGCGTCTGGTGGTCGACCCCCTAGCCAGCTCCAGAGGGGTGAGTTTGGCCCCTCTCACACCAGCCGATCGCTCCCTAAGATTCCACATCTATACTCTAGCATTCCAGAAGGAATCGAAGTGTACCACTCAGATGACCCGACCAAGACAAGACTACCAGTATTTGGTAAGTTATTTATTCCCTTTTTCAATTTAACAACCATTAATATATCAAACTAAATTGATGGGGATCTTGTTTGTTGATTAGACGAGACTGAAACCTACCAAGCCCGCAGTCCCCCGATTGAACGTCAATCATGTCGATGTTTATCCTATGTATTTCAATTTTAGAATTATGGTATTATTACAAACAGAAAAAAAATATAACATGACAGGACATTCCGTGAAATGAAATAAAAGTAGAGGATTTATATACTAATGACGTTGTTAAGGTCGTAGAATCATCATTATAAATATTTCATTGTAGAGGAGAATTTCATTTGGAAAAAATAACAGAAAATCGTACATAGATTATATCGTATAGAAATATTATAACAAAGTTACACCCTTTTATGAGTACACATAGAAAATTCGAATAATTATGTTACACAACTTCATACTATATGTGATTAAGATGAGTGTGTGGCCATGTTTTCAATAACTCTCAATCATTAACATGAATCTGTTTTCACAGTCATTTTCCCGATTTAACATTAAGTCCTTTTTATCAATTATTAATAAAAGTCTGGTGAACATTGTAGTGTTGTTGCAATAATTGTGTTGACCCGGGCAAAATGATAGATATTTAGACATGTTGAGTAAAGTTCACATTTTATGACTTTAATAAATTAATACCAGAGCTATTTTTTATGATCTATTGTCATGACTTTAAACTCTGCAATCAAGCATGATTAAACATGCTAGCAATATGTAATGACATTTTATTACTCTATTGTATATCATTTAGGGTCAAAAGTTGTATTTTATTCCTGTTGAAGTGAGGTTGCCATAGGAAACCACAATATGCTTCCCATTATTTACAATAACAATGTTTCGAATCCCAAACTGTGGACGACATATCAGTTGATACATTATGGACATTTCAATGGAGTTTGAGAGAGAAAGAACAGGGAGGGGGCGGGGCGGACAATATTTTTCCCTCTAAAGTGACATTCCTTTCTAGGGTCAAAATCATGCCCTTCCTCGGGCAAGAAACTTGAACTTTGACAAAGCGAGTCTTGCTTGTTTACATGTATATGCAAAGTCGCTATGGATGGAATCTATTGTTTTAGCAATAAACATACAATGTAGATGCCAGGTTACAGTTTTGTTGTAATGATTTAAAATTAGGTGTTTTGAAAAATCGTTTTCAAACTTTATCGCTTCCTACAGAGAAACCTACAAATACACTGTATATCATTAAATATGTAAGTGATGATGTCACTTTTGGTAATCCTTGTGACCAACAATTCAAACGTACAGATTATGAGAAAATACGGGATAATACTATTGCATTAAATGCTTTGCTCAGGGACGGAATAATAAACTAGTATATTCATCCTTAAGAAAGTGAAGGGGGCACCATGGCTCAGTGGTAGAGCAGTGGTCCCGGGTTCGAAACCAAGTCGATGTGCTAGTGCCATTTGGTAAGGCATTAAAACCACTTTACCAAGTCCTTCGGAGTAGACTTAAGCCGTCACATGCAGCTTTTTTGGCAGTCAGGTGAAACAAACAATATATAAAACATTCTTCAAATACTGTGATGAGAGGTGTCCGTTTAACTCCCTGTTTTACCACGCAAGTGCAAAAGCGTCCACTTGTCAGCGCACGAGAACCCTAAAATAAGCCCCTAAACAAATGGTCGTGTTGCAGCCTTATGCTATGTAATTGTTTTCGGAAAATTATTTTACTTTGCGTTAGCAATCGGAAGCAACCAACCTCATGTTGATAATATTAGAAAAATTATACATTTTGATGTATGAGAGTGATATTCACATTCTTGTGGGTGCAGAAGAATATTGTCTCGCAGTGGCTAAATTGATAGATTTGACCTAAACATCCAAATATTATTTTATGATTTAGTAGCTTTATGGAAGCATGTGATTAATATGATTTGAAATTGCAACATTTTGAAGATGACAGGATGGGATGCAGATAAGTTTATTGATGAATACAAGACTTTGATTAGAGACGGGAAAAACAAAAATTAAAAAAATCCTCGATCTCGATTCACCATGTTCTCATGTCAATGACTCCAAAGCCGAAACGGCATTTACAATTAAGAGAAGGATGGCATATTTACAAAGAGAAGACACGACAGTGACATCTTTACCTTTGGGACAAGTCTGTGTGGTCATATTTGTTGAATGTAAACAATAAAACATGACACTTGGGTGGACTGGTTAAACAGCGCGCTACTCCAATGTTGATTCGACTTGCGTTTAATTGCTAAAAGAATCTTCGGTGTTTACTTATCTGTCTCTTGCGCGAAAGGACTCTGGCTAAACTCGTCTGAAGTAATAAACGCATTTTTATATCTTTCATTTTATTACTAAAAATAGCCCATAAAATACAAGAAAGTACTATGGAATCTCTATATAAACCAGATTTGTTTACTTGTCAATAGGGGGATAAAAAGGATAACAAGAGATTAAACATAAAAATGTATCAGGCAAAGAGAGATGTAAGCGAGGGAAACAAAAGGTAGACAGAGAGATAGATGGATAAATAGACAGAGATGAAAGATAGAGAGAGAGAGAGAGAGAGAGAGAGAGAGAGAGAGAGAGAGAAAGGGGATGTGAGAGAAAAAACAGAGTGAGAGAAATATATAGACATTATATGTATGTGTGTGAGAGGAGAAAAAGAGAAAGAGAGAGCTTTCTGGAAATAAAAATTGAGTAATTGCAAAGTAATCACAATTATAATCAAGACTAGTTTTATATAATGCGTTTTTATCTCGACCTTGATAAACACAACATAATAATGATAATATTTAGCTGAGACTGCAAAACCCCTTTTCGTATTTTCTGTTAACATGGTTATAAGGAGAGGTTTTCGAGTACGACCGTGTTTGATTAACAATATTTATTTAAATTATTCTATTTGTGTGTCCAGGAGCAAGAAGCAGCCTAGAAAGTCGAGCTGAAGGGCGAGACCAGCTTGCTTCACGAGGACCAAGCAGACCAGGAACACAATCCAGAATAGAGATAGATGAAGTAAGTATACATGCAGTCATCAAACACCTTCCTTTCTCCCCAAATATACCACATCCAAATCCTTTCCAAGAGCGGTGGTAATTCCGCATTCATTTCTTCTTCTATTCTCTTTACATTGTTTGTCTCGGAGTTGATACCCATCGGTATTTCATAATTTTGAGGTTTTCAATAAAGAATTGGATGATTTCTGATCTATTATTCATGAGTGGAAACGCCTCCCTTTGAAGATCAGATAAATGGGATTTTAATCGCATACTCGGGGCGTTTGATGACGCTATTAGAGCGATCATTATCACAGATCAAAGAAAACGGTGTCATAATATTATCACTCTATAAAAATGAACGACGATCGCAGACCGTGGGCATAGACTTTAAAATTATCTGATGAAAAAGAAATGCTTCTGAGATTTGAAATTCATAAGGCTATATGAGGTCAAATGAAATTGTGTTACGTCACAAAGGACGTCCTTCAAAACTACCGTCGCTTCTTCTTTCTTCCCCAACCCCCTCTCTATGTTCATTTCGATCAGCCGTTTTCCTCTTCTCACCATTTGTATTCCCTCCCATTTTCGAAAGGGAGGGGTGTTGTCTTTTAATTTGGTCATGTAATTTTCGTTATAAATGATGTACATACTCAAATTTGAAGAATTGTTACGAAACTGTTAAGATCCTGCCAAAATTGAATATAAATATATCATTGTAGTCCCGTTTACAAAAATCGATTAAATGTAATCAGTTTGATATTGTTTAATAATGCTAATATTGGATAAAACATTAATATATGACTAGCCGTTCTGGCCTTTTGACTATGCTACCACCAGAAGTATATACCGTTTTATTTCTTTTACATCCACGTCCTATATACAAAGCCATTGTCTTTTCTTTTGGTATCTTAGAAAATTGCATCGTGAAAGTTCTGGCAAATTTACGGAGATGAAGTCATGATATATTACTAATGATTTTTCTTCCTCTTCCTCTTTCTCTCTTTCTCTTTTTCTTTCTAGATTGAAATGATTCTCCGTGAAAAGATAAAGAGAGGTTATTACGAGTTGAAGAAGCTCTTTATTTCCAATGACCCCGATGGCCGAGGCATTGTCAGCCGGGAAGCTCTGGCGAGAATCCTCATCACATTCCTCGGTCGATTCATTAGTCTTAAACAATTCAACCAGCTCTTGCAAAGGTAAGCAGCAGAAAAACAACAAGACAAATAAACAAACAAACAAAAAGGCGAACTTTGCAATATGGTAGACGAGTAGAGCTACACCATGTCAATGGAAAGATTCTCGTCATAAACTTTGTTTTGAAGGGTAGAACTTAATTTTGATGAATACAGTACCGATAATTTTTCTCCAAATATAAATACTGAAGGAGGTAAGTTTTGAATTGAATAGTCATTTGTTGTGATCGTAAAATGAAAAACGGTCATGGAGAGTGTGGGAGGGGGAAGGAGGAAGATATCGGGGATTGAGGGAGGGAGATAGAGAGGATGAGGGAGAGAGAGAAATAGAGAGAGGGTGGGAGAGAGAAAGAAAGAGAGAGAGAGAGAGAGAGAAGAGAGAGAAGAAGGGAGAGAAGATGGAGAGAGATAAACATTGAGATAGAGATAGAGAGAGATTCAAAAAAGTTCTTTACGATCTATGATCTATTATTTTTATCATTTATTATCATTATTATTGTCATCATCATCCTCATCATTATTATCTTCATCTGCAGGATGAAGCTGGATGACAGACAGGCGATTAAATTGGAAGAATTCTACGCCTTCTTCCGTCACGTGACGAGTAAGGAGATGCCTGGTTGGATGGATCCTGTGAATAGACATCAATCAGATAAACTAGTCATGAGTGCTGCTCAGGTTCATGCTCAACTCAAAGAGAGAGCTAAACAAAGGTATGCTGGATTCATTCTTCCTTCTCCTCGCCGTCCTCGTTCTCCTCCTCCTCCTCATCCATCTCCTCGTTCTCCTCCTTATTCTACTTCTTTTTCTCCTCTTTCCTCATCCGTCTTTTCGTCTTCTTGTTCCTCCTCTCCTCGTTCTTCTTTCTCCTCTTCTTCTTCTTCTTTATCTTCTTTTTTTTAAATAACTTTTCTTTTTTACCGCATTTTGTTTTGTTTTCTTCTTGTACTTCCAGTTTTCGTATATTTATAATTTTCGGCACCCCCCCCCTCTCTCTCTTTCTCTCTAAATTATGTTTATCTTTTACTTGCATTACTTCGTTTTAACTTTTTCTTATTAAATGATATTTACCTTTTCCACGATGTGGACTACTTAAAAATGAATACAAGAAATGAGTTTCTTCTTTCGCGCATGAAGACAGCTTAATATAAGATAATAATTTAAGAAGAAAAATGTAAGAATCAACTTGAAAATTTATGGGATTTGTTTCCGATCAATATCCTAAATTATTATCATAATAATCCCACAACCTTGTTCAAACTTACATTCAGTCCCATTAATTTGTTTCGATGTTGATTGTTTTCCAGGTTCCTTGACGTCGCGGATATGATTCCCCAGCTAAACCCTGGCGGCACCGGTCGCATCCTCAAACCTGAATTCAGAAACGCCCTCAATAAGATGCTCTTCCATATGGATGAGGATGAATTTGAAAAACTCTGGCTCAAGTAAGTCAATTACGCATGCGTCGAATACGTGAGCAATCGCACATAATCATAGTAATTCAATTCAATTCATTTATTTTTCCTCTTTCAATCGTTCATATTTACAATGATGGTACATTTTAACATATTCACATATGTATATACATATAGATCAATTTGCACAATACAATACATTAACAAAATAAACATGAAATTGAAAGGGAAGGAGGGCCGACTAAAAAGCAGAGCTTGTAGGGTGTAAGCCCCCCTGTAAAAGTAATTATCATGAATAATTATTTTATGAGAAAAAAACACAACAATAACAATAACTGATTCAGTAATACAAAAAAAAAAAAAAAAAAAAAAAAAAAAAAAAAAAAAAATCAATTTTAAAGGTATTACAAAGTTTTGGTATGGGGTCATGAATTTGGTTCAAATTAACATATTGGAAGCATATGCGTTTCTACAATATTCATTGATCGTTGTCCCGGTTGAAATCGAGTCTAAAGTTATGAAATTATAAATGATAAACTCTTTATGTTGTATAGCTCCCTCTCAAGGTCAAGATATTAATTTAGCTATGAAACAATGTTTCTTGACTAAAATCTACCGATTAGCTATTCCCGTTTGGAAATTATATATCACAACTACATATTCTGAGATTTTCATGGTCGCAGCTACCATTGTACGGCCGTAGGCGCTATTTGAAGTTTTGATCAAAATTTACCGGGAGCACCGGTAAATTTGTATATTCAAGTTTTCTCGAAAACAGAAGAGTTTTAGGGGTTAATTTTTTTAGTGCTTATAATACATCCACAGGGGCATGTAAATATAACAAAATTGTAAAGATTCACTATCCACCCAATTTTCAAATTTCCCAAAACTTTGTATTACCTTTAAACGCAAAACATTGATAAATACATACATGTTTGTAAAAAGAAACAATCAAAGTTACATAAAGTCACCTGATGATGATATATAAACAAGTTTAGTAAAACTGCAATTTCTGACAGTGCTCAACTGTAGGAGCAAATGTAGATATAGAAGTTGGAAATGTTCAACTTTATTGGTAAGAGTTGCACAGTCTGTTTCACCCCAAGGCTGATCAGCAACAGATGAGCCTTCGGATGAAACAGACTGTACAACTGAACTCTTACCAATAAAGGTGAACCTTTCCAACTTCTATATCGATAAATATATATATATATATGTATGAATATATTATGACTCTATATAATATAATATATATTAGCTGCTATGAACATGATGAAGGCATCTTTTATAATATTCACAATTTATACAACATGATATCTGAATACAAATATGGCAATAGCTCTTTTGCGTAACGAACACAATGACTACAAATACAGTAATAAAGAGATTGAAAATAGTACCAGGGATAAACTCACATATTCCTGATAGTACTAAGAATATGAAACTTCTCATTAAATATAGGCCTATAAATATGTAAATTGTATATGCATAAATATATTGGTCACATTCGTAACATTATACTTTTTTTGTACAAACATACTTTGAAGGTGTACTTAACGTTAGCTTAAAATACATCTATCCAGTATTTTGTTTGGTATTCAAACTACTGTATTTTAAAGTAACTTTTTGACAACTGACTTTAAGATGTATGAGATCTTCTTGATGATGTTTTTGTAATTAATGTTTCGTTTTCAAACAGATATGACTCTGAGAATGTTGGAGTAGTAAACGGCGGGAAGCTCCTAAGCAAACTGGGTATCAATCTCCGTGCTACCACGGCTCCAACCAGTGATATCTACGTCAGGAGTCCCCGGGGAGGCGACGGCGAACCAACCTCACGTAAGTCAGTCAATCTATACTCAAGATGTACCAAAGAGGATGCAAAGTGTTCATGCATGCACTCAACAATCTCAAGTGAAACACTCGATTAAACCGAAGTGCGATTGAGAACAATGAAGACCTAATTGAACAGAACCAAAGAAACACCCTAATGTCTTTATTCACCTTCATCCGAATCAATTATGAGAAAGAATTCAAAAGAAAGAAAAGAATAGAAGAGAGTGAAGATTTAAAAAAAAAGATAATTAATGAATTGAATTGATTTTACTTTTACGATTGTTTATGTAGAATATAATACTCATCAACATCGATTCAAATGTCTCTGATTGAGACAAAATTATATTGTAATAGCTTATATGTCATGGGGCACCCCCCCCCCCCCCACCCCACCAATGCCATCACTAGCCTCATGATCAAGCATCCTAAGCTGTCTTTGACACTTTATTCGCTTAATACGATCAACGATCCTCTCTTTCAATAGACAAATATGTGACCGACTAATCAACTAATTTTATTTGTAAATTCCTACTTTGAAACAGCGAGGAGAAAGAAGAAAGCTGATACGGACCGACTAAGATCGATCCATGTTGAGAAGTGGATCAAAGACAAGTTCAGGACAGGCTGCACTAGAATGAGAAGAGAATTTGAGGAGTTTGACAAGGAACACAAAGGAGAGGTAAAACAACTTTCTTTTCCTTTTTTTCCTTTACGCAAATATAAATTAATACCGTTTCAAAATAGACCGTAATCATGATATATGCCTGAGATATTCATCATTTTTTTACATTACATTTCAAATGCAACTTTAAGTATTCAATCACTCATGTAAGGATAAAGGAGTATGAATCAATCGTTTAAGGTATGATGCTTACAAACCATGTCAATTAAAATGTGTTCCTTTAATTTGTTGCAAAAAAATGGACATGATTTTGCTCACTTGTAAGATTATCACTTTTTCAAAATTATCTCAAAGAATCGCGATCACCCACATCCACACCTCCGGTGTAAATTCCCTCGCGGAATATTTTGAAGACAGCAGCCCAAGAGATTTTTCTCGTCAATCGCTGCTTGATAGTCAACACGTCATGACTTTCCATTTTTGTCCTACTTTTTAGGTGGATAAGGAGAAATTCGGTCAGGTTCTGTCCAAGTTTGGTCTGAAGCTTGAAGGTCCGTACCTGGACGAGTTTTTGACGCGATGCGGTCTTACAGCAGACCGTGCTGGTATGGTGTCTTACAGGGACTTCCTCAGGAGGTTCCAGGACCGGAGCGAAGGAGGTGTCACTCATGATATACTCAATGACCCGACTCACAAGTGAGTTTCTTTTAAGAAGATGCTTAAACGTTGTTATGAAGTTGAGCAGGTTCTTTCTATCAAATGCAATAAATTTGTTGTATTACTTGATAAATTGAGACATGTGCAACTGATGTAACAATGTTTGTTTTACCGATATGTCACAACTTGGACTTTGTTCAAATCTATTGTTTTGTTCTTGCTCAAGAATGATTTAAAACAAATTTTCTTTGGAAAAAAAGAAGTTTACTGACAGATTTAGTCTTCTTCTTTTTTTCGTTGCTTTGGAAGACAATAAGTGACCCAATATAGCTCAGATCATCCCTAATAGTGAGATCTGCGATTGATGTGGATCAATCGCAAATCTTTTATCTTTGCCGTTAAGGCTTGTCGAGGTATGGTGAGGTAAACCGCCGCAAAAAGCCGCCACGGTTTTTTTTAACTTGTAAAAGAATATCAAATGGTGCACTGAAGGACGTTTTCACCGATATCCATGTTATATGACCCAAAAAACATGAAGCGGTTAACTTTAAGTCTCATAAAGATACCGCCGTGGTTTTACCGCGCAATATTTGACGGCCCCTTACAAGCGTTTCCAGTAATCAGACGGTTCTAACGATCTTATGTTCTCGTTTCTCTCTGGTAGATTTCACCAAGGAACCGACTGGATGGAGAACCCTGCGAACAATAACTCGATGACGGCAGCAGAGGTTAAGATGATGGATCTCTTCCAAGGGGACTTCATCGGATTATTAGGGTCCTTCCAGTAAGTACTTAAGTCTTTTTCGATAGTTGTTTACATTTTGATGCAGGAGCGTTGAAATGATCATTGTCAATGAAAACAATGAGTAGAATGGACAATTACAAAAAGTTGCGTCTCTAGGAATAGAAAGGTACATTTTCTCATTTGGGCAGCGGTGCGCAACAAAGATCTGCGTCGAACAAAAATCGGAGGCGTCATCCCTGATAACAAAAAAATAATGTTTCGAAGATTTGCGTCACACAAAAAAAATCGCAAGCGTCATCCCAGGTAAAACATGACGTTCTTGGGGCAGAAAAATGTTAGACATTCTACAATTATTAAATGAAAAACATTCTTAGGATTTTTTGGAAAGTTTCTCTGGAAAAAAAAGCTAAACAAAAAAAAAATGTTTTGACAATGTTTACAAGCGATGTGTGTTTGTTGGGGGTATTATTCCATTTTGAAAAGATTTGGCCGCTACTCCCAGCTGCTTATCCCAACCCGTCGCGTCCAACCATGCTATACAACTAAAAACATTTTCATTTGATAACCTTTTTATTTTTTTCCTTATTTTCTACGTACAGGAAAATTGACAAGTTGCGTTTGCGAGTGGTAAGCCAGCAAGAGTTTCGTGCTATCATCGAGAGTCGGTTCAATCTCGGCCTCTCGGACCAGGAGTTTGAAGCTTTCCTCGACAGGGTTCCATTCGATGACGAAGGGAATGTCAAGTACCACGACTTTATGGGACAGTTCGACACCAAGTAAGTCCATTTTAAATGCAACTTGATATAGGCTTCTTGCCATGTGGTGCGGTAAACCGGCTTAAAAAAAACCCGCGACAATGAATGATTACTTGAGGTATTCACCGAGCTCTGCATTATTCAGAAATGGGAAGTATATTTCCCTTAAAGTCATCACCAAAAAGAAAAACGACGCAGTTATGTCGCGTCATAATCGTCTGAATGAGTCTCAATATTGCAAAGACTTTTTGAGAAATTTTACCGAAGGGCAAATTCACTATGAATGTTTATTTATAGGCCTATTTATGAAAGTATTGATCAAAAAGCAAATCGCAGCGAAATATAAATAGTGTAGTATTCAGAACACTGTGAATACTTTTTTCTTTGGAGACAATTGATTATTTGATATGATTCGATTCTTTAATTAAGACGTCATATTTTCTTCAAATTTAGGTACGGACCTGCTCCTAGTTTGTTTGACAGCAAGACCGTGAGGGGAGGCCCAGAGGAGATGGACCTGGATCTAGATGAAGCTCTGGCCGAGGAAGAAGAGCCAAAGAGCTACGATGAGTTCAAAAAGGGACGGTCCGTAAGACAGGTTCGTAATCAAAACTTATTTGATCTAGTAAAGGGATTGATCAATGTGCGACTTTTTGTCTGATCTGGATCTTAATAACAAAACCTAATAAATACTACAAGGAAAAAAACACATAAGAACATCAAGTTTGGAGTGAGAGAAGGAGAAGTTTATGCTTTAAAGTTTTTGGATTTATAGACAAAATGATGAATGCTGGAGACATCATTAAATTATCTTGAGTATTCATGAAACAAAGCAGGAACGGGAATAGTCGTAACGTCTTGATACAATAGTTAAATTGAAAACTATTTCCTTATAATATTTCTTTTACTTATCTCTCTGAATATTCAGATCTCAAAGATGCTCAAACAGATGATCAAGAACCGCATGGCTGAAGTCGAGACAGTTTTCACCGAGATAGATGTTCACAATTCAAGGAGATTTAGTCAAGAGATTATGTATGAATTGTTTAAAAGGTGAGAAATCAATTTCCTGTTAAGTGGTTAGCAATGCTATCAGCCACGCTATTTAGTATTAAACTAAGGGTTTCAATATTTGTTGTTTTAGCATATTAAAAGATTATCCTCCAGTTCGGATGATTGATCAATATACATTCCTATATATGTTAAAGATTGCACATGACATTTAGACCAATTTGTGTACATCCTAATTCATCAATAATTATTGCTTAATGTTTAATATCAGAACTTAATCTGTAGAAATTGTTTTTGTTTTTACTTTTGGGAAAGAAAAGAAAAGAATTCTTAATAACTACTAGACAAATAACCGTGTCATGTTTTACAATGAAATTCACAGACTAAATGTTCGGCCAGAAATCACGAGAGGAGAGATCCGTCGTCTCTGGGACACATTCATCACTACACAGCACAGAACGCTCGACTTCATGGAGTTTGTCCGCCATTTTGGATACTCGCCACAGAGCGCTGCCTTCCCCAACGCCAAGCTAGCACCGCCTAAACGAGGCGATTCCGACTTCCTGATCCGGTCAAGAAAACTCAACTGTGCTGCTGATATGCTCGAGGACAACCTGAGGTCAAAGGTAGGTAGCTCCGTTCACACATCAGGGACCTGTTTCACAAAGCCTTTTCGCAATGACAGATGACAAAAATCAGTAACAAATCCGCTGATAACCAATCAGAAGCAAGGATTTCAGTAGCTTCTAAACAACAACTATCTTTGGTCACTGATGACAAGTTTTGTGAAATGGGGCCCAGGCCAGGTATTGCAACAGTCATGGATTTTAAATCAAACGATTTGTTTGAAATACTGGAACAAGATGCTTCCATTCATTACTACAACCGTTTGCCCGGCCGTGCACCGTCTTTTAAAACTCATTCTGGCATTCCTAATTCACACAAAATATTTTTTTTTTTGGGGGGGGGGGTGGGGGTTGTCAGGGATTTTTTTTTATCAGTGTGCCTGTCCTCACCATTTCTTTTCAATGTCAATTTGTTGCCTCACAAATTGACATTACAAGAGAAAGGTGATCCCTGAATTGAACAAAACATTGAAAACAAATCCCAAAATATCTTCCAAATCTTATTCCTCTCTCTTTTTTGTTTCTGATATAGGTTGATTATATGTGGGATGATCTTCGCAAGGAGTTCTTGAATCTTGACACCTATGGGACTGGTTTCGTCAGTGCAGAAGAGTTCCGGGACGTTCTCCAAGAGCTCTGTGTTCATCTCAACGCCTACGAATTGGATATGCTGAGCAGAAAGTTTGACACGCAAAAAGATGGCAGGTATGTAACATCACATCGTCCAGTAGTAAGATATCAATAGTAAGTTCTTTTCTTTTAGGTGATATATTCATGTATGTTCTGATGTTTTATGCACAACCACAAAAATCACAATTTTGAATTATCTTATATACACCTGAGTTTTCATAGTACCTTTAAAAAAGATGATTGAGGCCGTTTAGAAATCAAATCGGATTTAAAAGTATGCTTGGTCAATTTGATGAATAAATCCCTCTACAGTGGTGTTGATGGTAAATGGTAAACATTTGTAACATCTTACTAGATGAACTTCCTTCCGAGTTTAGTCTCAGAGTAACGAATATGCACTTTCGATCGTTCAAGGTTACTAACTTTGCCTTTCTGTCAATGTGTCTTTGTAGAGTATCATACGTGGAGTTCCTGCGACCTTTCGCTATACGGAAGTCAACGCATCGCCATGGTAACAACATGATGGGTTTGATGGCCCATCCACAGGCTGAAATGCCAATCGACGCCATTGTCGATGAGCCTAATAAGGGTCTGAGTGGAATCACAGCTCGATTAAGACAAAAGGTAAGATATACTAATCCATTCATCAGTAGGAAAAAATGTTTTAAGTGAAGTTTTCTTTATTTCGTTTTAAGTTGTGAACTTAGAAACAAATGTTAAATCATGTTTGAAGTCCATTTAGTGTTTGTCACAAGTACTTTGTTCAGAATGTTTTAGAAAGAGCGGCAATTGCTCAGCCCTGTTTCCTTTTTAAATTATAAATCATATTTTGTGATTATGTCTTTTTAAAATTGAAAGCAAGGATATGAAAATAAAAACAAGACGAATACATGTATTGCTACAAGAACTTTTGATGTATCCACTGATGTACTCATATGGGTAATATCTTCAGATAGATGATGGTTTACGGACAATGTCTCTAAACTGTAAATAAGTCAGCAATGAAGCTTAAAAATCGAGTGCACCTTTAGAATGTTTCAGAGAGTTACTTCTCTTCGTAGAATTCCTTGTTCATGGATTTTCAAGTCATCTCAATTAATAGAACTTGGAAAAAGAAAGAAAAACTCTGCATGAAAATTGTTGTTTGGTACCGACAAGTTCCATAAACTAACTATGGCTCTCGTATCTTGATTTGCAGTTGGTTGGTGACTGGCGAAACTTGAGGCGGGCCTTCAAGAAGATCGACACCGAACGTACCGGGTACCTCACCATGCCCGAGTTCCGGAATGTCCTGAGACTCTGCAACATGGTCCTCGACGAGGAAGAAGTCTACCAAGTCATGGCCGAGTTTGACGAGAAAATGGACGGCAAAATCAACTACTACAAATTCATTTCAGACACTTTCCACGCTGATCCAACCAAACCATAGGTTAACCCATTGCAAACATGGGCAATGGTGATTCCTGTGTAATGCCTAGGAGAATGAAAGAGTTCAGTAGTCGATGGATTAATAGTGGGGACTCTGTACCTAGTGGACATTGGAGGTTGGTCACCAGATATGCAGTGGCCAAAATGCAGTCTCTGAAGACAGGTCCGGTCAGTGCTGATTTAGGGCTGCTGCGATTTGACTCCCATCTGGAAGTTGACACCACCCACGTTTCTCAAAGAGGTTCAGGTGGCCAGAAACTCTCTCTTGAATTCACCTTGATGTGGGGCATTAAGTTTAACAAACTTATTTGCCTCTCTGCGTCTTTTTACTTGAGGTTCTTGTAGCACAACTTAAGCTGCATTGTTGATTGCTAGATCATTCCTTTGTTGACTATAACATCTACAAAATAGATCTTGAACATTCAGATTTTCAAATCAAATCAAAGGTGCCTTTTACACTACACTTGTGTATATAAAAGAGTATTTGAATACTAATTTGATTCCATGAAGTATTACAGTATTGTCAATTTGCAACTATAAATCTTTCCTATTATGATTTACTCTACAGTACCATCCGAGCCAGTAATTACATTACATGTACATAAATCATATACAAAATGTGAACATGTTTATATAGAGTTACGTTTGTGTTTTGAATTGCCTGTTTCGTATCAACAACTGCAACCATATGTTACATGCCTGATTAAAACTTTCGACCGTGTTTCATTTCTAGAAAAGTCCTTGGAAAGGTCTTATTCGTTTGTGAAGATTGTTGTAGCTTACATCGACTTATTAGGATCGAGACAATCACAGTATATAGTGACAAATTATGGTAAAGAAGAATATAAAACAATGCATAAATGTTGCATTATAATACTTGGGTAAAAGAGTACAGATGTTTCATATTTGTGTAATCATGTCTACTGCTAGTTGTTGCTGTTGCTTTATCATCATTTTAAACATGTACAAACAAATGATTTGTATATTTTGTGTTAAAACATGACATTGTTTTGCATTCAACAGTATATTCTCTGTGCACCATGCTTTTAAAACTTTGTGGATTAATGAAAATAAGAGACAAACCTATGTACATTTTTTTTTCTGGCATTTATTTAACAAAATTTTACAATTGAACAATACAAAATGTAAAATTGTCAGTATATACAATACAGTGAAGTATGACAAATCAAACCATTTGAACCTTGTATCAACTAAAAGGGAAGAGAATTTATGAGGATAAGAAACTTTGGCTGATAAAAAAGTGATATTAAAACGAAAAGTTATTTCTTTCATTGTTTTTAAATGAACTTTTATGTGGTTGTAACTAGATTTCATGAAGTTTCAAATATTTTGAATATTTAAACAGTTTTGCACAATGTACTCTTTATTTTTCATTTTTTTTTCTTCTTCTTTCTTCTAGACTGAAATGTCTAAATCTAACTGTAAATATATATACAGAAGTGTTGTACAGTAAAAACTTGAACTCATGTACATAGTATGAAATTCACTTCTTTGCCTTTCTTGACTCAACTCACTATTTTCAAGTAAACTGCCCCAAAACACTTGTCTTTTAAATACACCTTTGGGTTTTGCAGTGTAGTAATGTCATTATTGGCATTATTTATTTTAGTTAGGAAGATTTAATAAGATTTAAGTGGTGGAGGGAATCCTTTCAGTAGATAGAAATGTAACTTTCTTTGAGTTTTTAATGATGTAACATTATTCAAAATATACTAAGATTGTGATTAATCTTGTATCCTAAAACTTAGTACACAGAGGCTGCTAAACTGTGACCGAGTTATATATCCAATTTTAATGTGCTTATGATGTTAATCTTTGCTACATATTGAACTTGTATATCTTATAAATGTGATATTTTGTGAATAAAATTTGCATGGCAAAATGAAAAATAACAAATACTGGTGTTTTGTATTCATTACTATGTACATAAGAAATTACACAACTTAAGAATGTAAGCATATTGTTAAAAATAAACATATTCAGAAGAATAGACAAAATATACAAAAGTACTTTTGTAAAAAAGTTCAGTTACCTTAATCATTTTGATCTTAAAACCTCTTTACATGCAAGAATTTTAAAAAATTCTCACTAAAATATAATAAAAAGGTATACCACATAATTTTATTATAGCTTACAGCAGCAAGAATTCCATATCGATCCATGTCAAGCAAAAGTAAAGCAATGAATGTTTGTAGTTCTGGGCCCTTTTTCATAAAAACTTGTTATCAATAACAACTGTCACAAATCTATGACAAATTAAATCCCTTGCCCCTTTCACTGAACCCTCCCTGACCACCTCTCCCTCCTCGGTCCCCTCCGCCCCTTCAACCATACCCTCCTCGATCCCCTATCAGAACCCTCCTCTTTGTCCAAAGCCACCTCTATGTTCTCCCCTGCCCCTTCCACCAAACCCTCCCGCCCCCCTCTCCCTCCTCGATCCCCTCCTCGATCCCCTATCAGAACCCTCCTCTTTGTCCAAAGCCACCTCTATGTTCTCCCCTGCCCCTTCCACCAAACCCTCCCCGCCCCCCTCTCCCTCCTCGATCCCCCTCGATCCCCTATCAGAACCCTCCTCTTTGTCCAAAGCCACCTCTATGTTCTCCCCTGCCCCTTCCACCAAACCCTCCCCGCCCCCCTTTCCCTCCTCGATCCCCTCCTCGATCCCCTATCAGAACCCTCCTCTTTGTCCAAAGCCACCTCTATGTTCTCCCCTGCCCCTTCCACCAAACCCTCCCCGCCCCCCTCTCCCTCCTCGATCCCCTCCTCGATCCCCTATCAGAACCCTCCTCTTTGTCCAAAGCCACCTCTATGTTCTCCCCTGCCCCTTCCACCAAACCCTCCCCGCCCCCCTCTCCCTCCTCGATCCCCTCCTCGATCCCCTATCAGAACCCTCCTCTTTGTCCAAAGCCACCTCTATGTTCTCCCCTGCCCCTTCCACCAAACCCTCCCCGCCCCCCTCTCCCTCCTCGATCCCCTCCTCGATCCCCTATCAGAACCCTCCTCTTTGTCCAAAGCCACCTCTATGTTCTCCCCTGCCCCTTCCACCAAACCCTCCCCGCCCCCCTCTCCCTCCTCGATCCCCTCCGCCCCTTCCACCGAACCCACCCCGACCACCTCTCCCTCCTCGATCCCCTCTGCCCCTTCCCCCTCTCCCACCAGGATTCTTGTTGACGGGGGACTTGGGGCGTAGTCTCTCGATCTCATCAGGGCATCCAGTCAGGTAGTCTTCAGAGTTCTTGTTGAAATAGCCCTTGAAGGTGTCCTTGTTGAAATTGCTGTTGGTGAGCTGAGGACCTATCGTCAGCCAGCCTGGAATGTAGAAATGAAGGGATGGTTTAATTATACATTCTTGTATGGCACATACCACATTACAATAATGATAATAATATTCTGGGTTTATGAAACGATTTATACATTTATGATGTCTCTTAACGCTTTTGGAGTGGGGACTTTTTACACATATTTAAGTGAATATATAGGTACACGTAGTAACTTGTCATTCAGATTATGAGACATTTTGGTGTTTGTCTACAAGACACTGGTATAACGGCATCCCCTTTCAAGAATGAATTTGAAATGACCACAAGCCTAGGTCTATTAAATTTTTATATGCCACACAAACAATTTCCCTGTGGCATATTGTATTCATCATGGGACAGATGTAACACAGGCTTCAAGATTATTTAACCATTTTCAGTGCAAGATTAATCTACAATACCCATGTTAAAAGGGTTGTCATTGAGCTAATTTAGATTAGAAATGAGTCACATTGCAAAGCCATCGTGTTGCATAAATCAATCCTTCCGTCAAGTGGTGCCTATTGTTTTGTGCAAAATTGCATGTGTGGTAAATGAGTGACCTTGCAGAGAGGCAAAGAAAGCAAGTGAAGTGTTGAAGTTACGAACCGGGTCTGATGGGTCTCATAGAAACCTGAAAATTTGCAAACATAATAACAGAGCAATTCTTCCGTTAAGTGGTGCCTATTGTTTTATGCAAATTCCATGTGTGGCAAACAAGCAACCATGCAGAGAGGCAAAGAAGGCAAGTAAAGTGTTGAAGCTACGAACCGGGTCTGATGGTCTGGTCGTTGCCGAAGATGTTGAGTCGTCTCCTCCCGAGGCAGAAGTGTTCGATGAGGTGGAAGATTTCTTCCGGTTTCTCCAGGCTTCCCGTCTCCGGTTCCTCCGTAATAATGACGTCCAGATCGATGTTGGCGTGGATGAAATCACCGTCAGTTGACCGACGCACGGTCCCCTTGATTCCCATCAAACAGTGCTCCTAAGAGAAGAACAAAACATGAAATCTACTCCATTCCTTGGTATCTATACAGTAATTGCAAACATTAGCCACTTTAGTCCTAACAAAATCCTAGGAAATTCAGGAGAATAGTGGGGCGTTGAGTTGAGTTGCAATCAATCGTAACTTTTGAGCAAACCCCCATTACAGTGTGAGTAAAAAAAAAGTTTACACCTAGAATATTGCTAATTATTTTGAAAATCATCTATGAAAAGTAAATTATCATACATCTCATGAAAGAGTGTTTTATCCCGAATCATTCAATATCATTCTGTGTGGTATATGTTCACGCTTGGATGAACAGGAGTCATTGTTTGCGAGTGCAAAAATCGACTTGGACCAAAGTTGCTTATGTGATGTTTGAATAAAACAATTGGGATTTGGGTATTGATTCCGTCTTTGCAGATCCAAATAACATCCCTTACAAAATTAATTATGCCACACATATCACATATCGAATATCAAATATCAACGAACATTTGTGCCCGTGTGTTTGCATGTGTGACTTTGCTTCTGCAAAAATCATATGCAATGCATTTCATTTGATACATTCAATTCATTCTCTCACTCCGCTTATCCCAACACAAAACATACTGTAGGCCTCACCCTCACCTTAGCGCAAGTCGATTTTTGCACTCTCGCAAACAATGTCTCCTGTTCATCCAAGCGTGAACACATACCACACAAAAATGCTACCAAATTATTTGGGATAAAACACTTTTACATAAGATGTATAATTATAAGATGTATAAGTAAATATTTTACTGTTCATAGATGATTATTAAAATAATTAGCAATTTTCTAGGTGTAAACTTTTTTGTGACTCACACGGTAGACTACTTGTATCCTAAGCCAAGAAGAGATTTTGTCTCTTTTTGGAGGTTGGAGGGGGGGGGGGTGGGTAGCAAAAGGTTTTTATACCTATTTTAACATGATTATTACTGTGAATTACTGAGAAAGAATTGGATTTGTTCTTACTTTGGTTCTTTGCAGGATAGCACCAGGTTCCAGACTAATGTTGCCGGGATTCTTGCAGTTTGTCTTGATCCAGCAGATGTCCTCCGATCTCCTGAAGCCCCATTCTTTCAAACACTGAAAGGAAGATATTCGAGTAAATATGTCCATCATTAAAACAGAAAATTAGACAAGCTTAGCAATTAGAAACAATAAAGAACCTTTGCCACCACTATGTCCATTAATAAAAAAAAATAACAAACACTTTGGTAAGCTTTGATTGAAAACAATGATTAAAATTTCTTTTTGAAATTCCTAGCATCAAATACATTATAGTCACAAAACAAAAATGGATGCAGTGTGTGAAGAAATACTGCCCTTTCTACAAGTTTATCTGGTAAATTTTTAAGGCTAACAATAAAAATGATTGAGCCAAACCACAAAATGTGAAATAATTGCTGTGAAAGGTTTAAAGAAAACTAGTATTTAGCAATTCATAAATCCAGATTATTATCATTATCACCAGTATAGTGCAGCATCACAAATCTGGCAAGTTCAAATAAAACTCCTTAGACAAGTGCTTCTTACATGGCAATCACCCCTACCATACTGCACATCTCCATGAGCTTTGTGGTATGCGATGTCATCACCTCTATTAAAATTTATTCAACAAAAAAATAATTCAAAACTCCCCACTTCTGATAATAACAATATTGTAAAGCGCATTTGAACATGTAGATGCAAAATGCGCTATATAAATAATTTATTATTATTATTATAACTATTATCATCATCATCGTCGTCATCGTCATCACCACCACCACCACCACCACCACCACCACCACCACCACCATCATCATCATCGTCATCGTCGTCATCATCATCATCACCATCTTCATCATCGTCATCATCACCATCTTCATCATCGTCATCATCATTATTATTACAATTTTCAAACTTACCTCTCTACCTCTCGCTAAACCATCTGAAGAACCCACCCAGAGGAAGATGAAGGAACGGAATGATGATATGGATGGTATATCTAATCTCATTATCTGTGGTATTCAAAGAAAGACATACAAGCACATTTACAATTTTGGAAAAAAAATGTCAAAAGAATTAATCTAAACTGATGATTGTGTATTGAATAAAACAATCCTTAATAGATTACAGATTCTTTTATTCATCAGTAATTTCTAAACAAAATCTGAAAGACTTGCTGAAACCACAGGTAGTCAAATACAATAATTTGTCAAAGGCAAACTTATTATACTGTAGTCTTGAGAGGACAATCTTCCTGATTTTTCTTTACTGATGAGTGATTGATGGGCGAATATTGTTTTATCTTACTGCTAAGAAAGCATTTATATGCTTGTAAGTATGCAACAAGGGAACCAACGGCTTTAAGTCCTCTCCGAGGGACTTGGAAATGAGGATTAAAGCCTTACCAAGCACACAATTGCATTGACTCTGTTTCAAAATCAGGACCCCTTGGTTTGAGACCTCTGCCGTACCACTGAGACATCATGCCTTCTCATTACTCCTTACTCAGCTTTTATGAATTTGATTTGGCAGATTATATTTATGAACATGTCTGAAAATTTGACCATCATTCAGAGGAAATTTTTACTGGATTTAGTATTTTTTAAAATCTGATTCATTACCAGAAGTCACGATTAGGTTCACAAATAAAACGGCAGCTTTCAAACACTAGCCAATCAACTGTTACTGGTTAACAGGAAGATCCTGATTCAGACAATGATATAGAGATGAATTGCAACTCCTAAGCATCGGCCAATCAGGATCAAGGTTTCAATTGTTTATCATAGACACGTTTATACTCAGGTTTGTTCACATATAACGCAGTGGGTTTTTAGTGTTTTTGTTTGTGTGTAACTGTGTGCAAAACATGTGAATGAACAACAATTTGGCAGAGTGATTGCCACAAACGTCTTATCAATGCATACAAATGTATATGTATGTTATAATCAGGGATGCCAGATAAAATTGATCAGAGGGCCTGAAAATCAACTAGAATGAGCTACTTTGTACACAAAAAAGCCTAAACTATGGTCTAAAAATAACTCGCCAGGGCCTGAATTCAGGCTATTGCCTGAAAGTTGGCATCCCTGTATGATAAGATACAGAAAGGGGGTGAAAACTCTGCTCATTTTGGTCTGGTAGTTAACCACAACAAATGCAAACAAGGTTTTATTGGCTAATGATGGCAAGATTGATTACAACTTTCTGGCATCAGCCAATCAAGATCATCCTTTCATCACGACTTCCTGTAACGTAGCGCCTGATTGGCTATTGAAAGCAAATTTCACTCACATCATCCCAGCTCCAGAACTTCTGATTGGTGATTACCCCTGGCCGATGTCTGTACTCTTCCAACGGCGGCGCTACATGGATGCAGTCAAAGATATTGTCCATCTCTGAAAGCTCATAGTTCTCCAAGTCACACTGCAAGTACCTGATTCAACAACAAAAACGTTTGAGGTTAAAGAAGAGCTTGCAGCAAGGGGACCACTTCTAAGTTCTACTGTTCTAGTGATTTTCTTTAACAAGTTTTGTCTTCAAAATGTTATTGCAGTTAAATATCATTTGTGACTTTACAGGGACTTAGTAACATTGTTCAGACGAGAGAAAATGGTGCTTAGGTAGACTTCAATGCTAGATGTACTATTAAAGATAATCTGAAAGTTTGAGTGAAAACAGACCATTATTAGTGATACAAATTGGGAAAGACTGATCTGATCAATTCCTCAATTCTCCCAACTATATTATTACAATTTACCGTTTATTTCATTTTAGGCGAATAAAAATCATCACAAAGCAATGAATTGGCTCTATATACAATTCCAGACAGTAAGTGTTGAAAGATTTTTTTAAAGCCTCTTTTATGCCTTATTTTCATGAAAAAACAGTCGGGAAAGTACAAAAATGGTTGGGAGAATGAACTGTTAGAGGATGTCGCACAGTGGCACCTTCAAAGAAAACCATAAATATCTTTGTGGTTTGAGAATTTTTTTCAGGATTTTTTGCATGTTAGAGGGTAGTACAATAGAAGGAATATAATACGTAATATTTCATACAAAAATTACGCGGTTTTTTCATCAACCTTCACTTCAACAATGTTACCGAGTCATTTTAAAGTACATGTTGCAGAGTTGAAGATAAGAATTTGAAGGATATTGGCGAGCGAGCAATCGTCACGAGAATATGTGCCAAACAACCATCAGGAGAGGTACATTACTCACATAGGAGGAATGTTCCTCTGTGATATCAATTCATCTTTGAGCCTGATCAGTTCTTTCAACTTAGGGTACTCTTCAAAACGATCAGCTAAGCCTAGGGGAAGAAAAATACATATATGTTACAAAGTCAAACAAATTCTCATTAAACAGAATAATCTTGAAAAGCTTTTTATTTGAATCTCAGACTTCTATAAAATAGAAAAACCGTAATCAGTTCTTTCAACTGATCAGTTCTTTTAACTTATGGTACTCTCAAAACAATCAGCTAGGCCTAGGGGAAGAAAAATACATAGATGTTACAAATGAATTCTCATTAACTGGAATAAAATTGCCACTCTATCTTGATTTTTTTTTCATTGAAATATAAGTCTCAGACTTCTACAATTTCATACTAAACTTCTATGAAAATAGAAAAACTGTACTTAATGCAAGCAACAGTACTAAAAAAAAGACTTATGCAGTATTTCAGAAAGCCATTGCTTTTACGATTAGAAATATTTTTTTCTAAACAGACAGCACATTATAATTTCTGAAGTTTAAACCAATGTTAGTCAAGTTCATTAGTTTTTTGACATTGTTCTTTTTGTTGCTTTTATTACAAGTTCTGATTCACGTCAAGAATCAAACCATAGTTTGCCTGAATTTGCCAATTGGCCTGAGATATTTTTGAGGAAAAAATGTCAGATTTTATTCGATCCTCTATATATTTGTTGTTCCCTCTGAGTAAAAAAATAAATAAAAAAAGCAGTGATTTGACATATCCCTTGGTGTAAAAATACAAAACAAAACAATACAGAACAGAGCCCATGAATACAATACCATACAAAGTTCCAAAACAAACCTCATGCTTTTTCCCCCCTGTCCAAATAGGCTAGAATGTCCAAAATGGAAAAAAAAAAAAAAGCCGACCATAGATTTCAAGATTTTTGGTTCTTTCGCAAGGGCAATACAACATCTTTTATTTTAGGCCTCATCACAATAAATCTAGATTTATATGTTGCTTGATACATAGTTCATAGTTCAACTTACCAACATCTCTGATAAAGTTCTGTGGCCTTTGACCTGTGTCCACAAAATGTTGGCAGTAATCATTGTGAGGGTTTGCACTTTGAGTACCCTGTTAAAATACAAACAAAAACATCTTTCATTCCTGATGAGCAATAAAAACAACAGCAATAAAACCAGCACTTTGTGATTGTCAACTACAAGTATTAGTAGTATCCAAAGATCTGGGCCCTGTATTACAAAGAGTTGAAATCAATCACAACTATGTACATGTACATAAGAGATAAGAGATTGCAAACTTGTGATTGATTAGAGGACTTGCGATTGATTTGGATCAATCAATCGCAACTCTTTGTGAGACAGGGCCCTAAACTCAAAGTGAGAATCAGCTCACTTTCCTTCAGAAAGTGAAATGATTCATGGCTTTGAATAGAATATTGACAACTGCTTGCCTTGATGTATTAAAGGGTGAGACTGAGTGATGGGTGGCTCAGCACCTTCAGATGACTTACTCTGAAAGCAGGGGGGTGTTTCACAAAGATCATAAGTCAAACTTAACTCTAAGTTGACTTACAAATTATGGAGAGCCATTTGTAGCCTTAAAATGAAATATATTCAAAAGCAGAAATTGAAGTATTTTAGACTTTTCATAAATTCCACATCCAGAACCTAAAACCTCCTTGATGATAACAAATATGAAAGATTTTATAACTTTTAAAATAACTTTTACAAAATATTTTCAAAGATACTATCAGCTTTCCATAATTGTAAAGTCCAACTTAAAGATAAGTTCAACTTAGGATCTTTGTGAAACACTCCCTGATGTAACTGTATTTGTATTTGTAGGTAATGTGCATTACAACATTACAGCATATTTTGAAAAAATCATTTTATCTTACAGGTATGCTTTGCACATGAGAACCCGGGTGACTGTCCAATTTCAAAATTACATCTCATGGTTTCCAAAAATGTATCCAGATGATTATGCAATCTTGTTTCAGTATCTCACGGTCTGAGTTGTGCAAATGTGTAAAAAAAAGGTGAATACCTGTTTAAATAGGGAAAAGGCTAAAACAATGAATGTATGGGCACGACCCTTGCAAAATCCTTTAGTAAGGACAAAAATATAATTTCCCCTCAAGTCAATATGAAAACATACGGGTTTTGTACACATAACAATTATAGTATTGAATGGCTTTTCTATCATGGGAGGCACGGGTATATTACAAATTGCTTTGAGAATATTTCACTTGTCAGGTTGTGTGGTATACCCTTTTACTCAACTCAGGGCCATTTAATGTTATTATTATTACAACGAGAGGGTTCTACATGTTTGTTTTTTATTATCCCTCTCACCTCACACAACACACAATTACTAGAAAAAGCAAAATATTAACAAAAAAACAACTAAGTTTTACCCGTGACAGTTCATTGGATCTCCCATGCTACAATTTCACAAATCCATATGCGCATACATTTACATAATCATGAATATGCATATGATAAACAATAGTTACAATTTGTAACATTATACGATTACCTTGAGAAAGGTGGAGGAGTCCTCGTAAACCTTATCTCCAGCTTCTTCTCCATCCTGAGGGGACAAACAAAACAATTAAAAGAAATCTTAAGGAAACAAAGATAGCAAGTTATCATGATCATTGTACAGGTAATCTTTGTTTAAAACTTGCTGTAATGAAACTGGTTATACAGTGCGTTCCCGAAAAAAAAATCATTAAAACAAATTCGTTTTCACTGGCTTTCTGCCGTAGCAACAAACAACAAACTCTGTTTCGGCGATCAACCATGCATGAATTCTTTTGTCTTCTTTGTTGTTAGGGCAGACAGCCAGTGGAACGGATTTGTTTAATAAAACTATGGAAACACAAGCATTACTTCTACTTTGTTATTCATAGCTCATTTTTCCTGATTGAGGTGTCATATAAAAGAGCAGGAAATGATCTCTCTAGAAATGTGATTTTCTCTTGAAATTCAGATACCATTCGTTGAATGACTTTTTGGGACCCTTTTTTTAATCGCCGATGCGTGCAATATGCATCATATGAGTGGCATCAAATGAAAGAGGAGGTACTAAGCTTTAGAAGTATGTGTCATTTGTCAATTATAATTGTGATTAAGTTATGATAAAAGTAAATCTTGGTTTTGTTTTTCTGGGATGCACTGTATAAAGGCCGTTCACGTGAGCAAAGAAAAGCGATCCTGAGAGGCAGGTGGTGTTTATGAACAATTTTCTTCGACACTTTTTAATAAGAAGAACTGTTCAAGGGAAACTAAAACATGGAGAGGGCTCTTGCTCCTGCTTAACAGGTTGGGTAGCCATACCAAGCAAAGGGGTGCAGGGAGGGGGGGGGGATAATCATTCCACATTTGTAAATTAAAACACACGTAGTCCCAATTTTTGAATTGATTCAGTTTAATACTCGCATATTTATGTTTAAATTTCAAAATCGCCTATTGCCAGAAATTCCTAATATAAACTTTGTTATTAATAGTGATATTCACTCGTATTCTACTCCTCAGAAAAATGATTTACATTTATTTAAAGTTTGTACGAAAAATGCAAAAAATTCTTTCTATTTAAATGGTATTAAGGAATGGAATAAGTTGAGTAATGATATTAAGGAAAGTACAACTCTATCTCGAAAGTACGATGTACACAGTTATTATTTAATGATTTATGTAAACAAGTTTGAGCAGAGGAGGATATTTTGAATGTGTGTATGTATATGTGTGAGCATGCATGTGTGTTTGTATCATGTTATTTTAAAGTTTTTAAACTGTATAATTTATGTGTAGTTTGTTTTTTCTTTTTAAGGCCCCACCACAAGCAATTTGCTTCTAAGGGTGTCTTTTACCATATTATGTTTACTATGTTACTCATTTGTTTGTACATGTTTCATTTTATGGTTAAATAAACTTTACTTACTTACTTACTTTACTAAATTGGCTCAATAACTTTTGATTCAGTGCAATAAAAAAAATATCAATATATGCCAAATAAATGCACACACTGCTTCTTTGACTACATTGGGCTTAATGCCATGGCAATCCCGTGTGGTCTAGTGGTTAGGATTCGTGGTATTCACCCATGCGGCCCGGGTTCGATTCCCGGCACGGGAGACCTTCATTATTTTTTCGGACCGGAGTGTTGGCTCAGTCAGTGGAGCGTCCGCCTCACAACTGGGAGGTCGTGGGTTAGATCCCCGGCCGCGTCATACCAAAAGACGTTAAAAAATGGGAGTTGCTGCTACCTTGTTTGGCGTTAACAATAAGGGATAGAGCAACGTCGATCTGGCGCTGCTCAGTGGCTGCCGGGCTCACAATCAATTGGGCAAAAAGAATTTTCATTTCAGTTTAATAAAATTTGGAGTGGACTAAAAGATTATTATGATTATTATTATGCCAGCAACTAAAAAAAAAAATATTAACTTTTAAAACCCTTAATTAGCCTCACAATTGCATGTACAGTATGTAAGTCTTGTTGTACAATAAAAGAAACAGTTCTTACCTCTGTTGATTTTCTCCTATCCAGACTAGAAGAAGGTTCTTCACCTTCACCGATGGCCCTTCGTTTAATCGGTGGAGCAGACCCACTAGCCCTGTCAGAGCTACAATAAAATCATGATTTCACAAGCAAAAGTTGTAAGGGAAAAAAAATAATGAATAGAAAATGACAATTATAGGTCCCTTTAAAAGGAAAAGACCCTCAGGAATGCGTTAAACATTACGGATTTTCATTTGATCTTCATATGATTTCTAAGTGCATTAAGTATGTAACTCTGTCGAGAAATAAATTCTAGGTAGTAATTCAGAAAACAATTTCATCCTTTAAAGATAAACTCCAGTTGTGGTAAAATTAATTCTCACAGAATCAATTTATTATGATTTTGATGACTCCAGAACCTTGCAGTGCACACCAATACTTACATGCTACATGATCAACTGTTTCTGATCCTTACCACACCTTTTCTTTCACAATGCAATCGCATTACCAGTACTAAAGTTTATCTTTAGTCAAAGAGTCTTATTCTAAGTGTTGAAGGTAATTTAGCCATGTTTGTTTAAAAAACTGCAAATTAATTGATGCATGGGAGAACAATTCATGATGGCATCTGTACAAACACGGATAAAAAGAGGCAATAACAAACTGGTTATGATGCTTTGGATGATATCGTTGGAATGAAACATAGGTCTATCAACACTCACATATCGTCGTGCACGAGGAGATATCTTAGAAATGTACAAATTATTTTGATGTGACCACTGACCAAGACAAGAGGTAGACTTTGGCCAGGTGCATGGGCCAACCAGAGGTCCCAGTGTTGATATTAATCCAAGGTCTATCACTGAGAAATGTAAGAACTCTTTTTACATAAGAATGAGAACACCTTGGAATACTTAAAGCCCCACTGTCCTACTTGTAGCTACTTGCTCCCTCTATATAGAAAACTTCCCCAATCGGTGCCTGTTGGTCCCCCATGATCCTCTATTTCTTATGTTATTTGAGAGCTGAGTTGATGAGATAGCCACCTGTCAGTAACCTCGCTGTGTGGTCTAATCCCTCCTAGCCACACGAGTGTTGATAAGCTTTAAATTTTAAATGATGATTTAGTTAATGCTTTGACTTTAGCATCGCAAATAAAGATGAAATAGCTTAGTAGGGGTTAGACCGAAAACTTCAGTCTCTCTAATTGTCGGTTGTTCCACTGAGACTACGTCTGGCTCCACTAGACCTCCGATTAGAGAGACTGAAGTATGGCCTATCGGGACTGTACGGAACAAATGGTTCGGCTCGACCGGACTGCGATGAATGAGATATATTCAACGAGATTTTCACTCTTTACATCCTCATAACTGCTGCAATTATGATAAAAATTAAAAATAACATATATATAGCTTATTTGACTTACGATAGCTTGCTCATTTAGATCCTAAATTAATGATTAATCCGAGAAAGTCTCGTCGTCAACATTATCCATCTTTGTTTTAGTTGATGAATATTCATTTTTTCTTTTCGAACGTCCAATAGCTACCGTAGCTACGTACGAGTCAGCCCGGCTTGACCAACGAACTCCCACGAAACTAGTGCTCTGATTAGCCATTGGCCATTGGCTATGTTTTGGTAGGTTGAACCGGAAATATATCGGCCGCCGGGTAATAGCTCGAATGCATGAACCTAATGCTTCGCGGTTCTGAGATAAAATTGGATAACTCATAATAAGTAAGTCCGTAAATTATGTATTTAATATTAAGTTATCAAATTTTGATAACTGTAATTAGGACAAATGACATACCAACCTAATTTACATCTGATTTAGAAATCAGAAAATTAGATCTAGAGGTCTAGATCTAACTTAGATCTAACAAAGTTAGAGTCTATACTATAGACTAGTTCTATACTATAGATTTAGTAAATAAAGAAAATCGGGGGAGAAATGTCGGGAACGAAAAGATGTTCCGCTGTGGCTCTAAATTACCCCCACCGTACGAGATCTCTGGGATACCATCTGTATTGGGGAATGTCAACAAATGTCAGTTTTATTAAAGAAATGACCCAAATCAGATGGTTATTTCTGTCTAAGTAGGGGTCTAACAGTTACTACTAACTTACATTGAACTTCCTGTGCACATGGTGCATCCGGCTTGTGTAAGTTGTGTAAATTCTTCATTATCTTCTTTGCTGTTTAGAACTGAGGCAAGGTTGTCTGCATCTTTGACTCCCAGCTAATGAATGAAATATAAATAGACCCTAGATGTTATATGTTAACGGTGAATAATAAATTCTCATAGTTATTGTTGCAATTAGCATTGTCCCACATGTTTAAAACAGCGTTGGTTATCAAACTGATTTCCCTTGATTCGTATTACTCCGGCAAGGAAATAAATTCATTTTCAAACTCACCTGCTGTGCAAGGATTTTCCTTCGTTGGTAGGAACGTTCCCTTATTTCCTTTAGCCTTTCAGACATTTTTTACGATTCTTTGATAACGTGAAATAACAAGAAGCCGTATCCACAGACAATGCAATAAAATGCACAACTCCACATCCAGCTCAGCGCTAGTACTACGTGACGTCACGATTGTTAACGAAAAGGTTATTTAGAGTTCACGGTGCATTTTTCATAGTTGTATGTTGGCCTCGTACTCAAAGGGCTTTCATCGAAAGGGTGCGGTGCGGTGCGGCGTGGTGTGGTGTGCTCAACGCACCCATTCGATAAAAGAGGGGGGGGGGGGGCTTTTCTCGAAAGGGTGCGTTGAGAGCGGAGTACCGTTTTAACACACCCTTTCGATAAAGGCGGGGGGGGGGGGGGGCTTTTCTCGAAAGGGTGCGTCGACTAGTCTTTCGCATCAGTCGTTTAAAATGCGGATCTGGGACAGAAGGTAATAGTTGCCAATTTAAGTATATCGAAAATGTAAAATGGAATGGTCTTGATTACAGAGTGGTCTCTTTCGTTATTACTATGTTGATGGGAGAGACAGAGAGAAGGAAAAAAAGGGAAAGGGAAAGGGAAGATAAAAGGAAAGAAAGAAGAATAAGAAGAAAAGAGGGAAACGGGAGGGAGGGGCGAAGGGCTCTTGCCTCCTCCTCACCCCCCCCCCCCCCCCCGCCAAAAAAATAAATAAGAGAGAGAGAGAGAAGGGAAAGGGAAAGGGAAAGAAAATATAAAAGGAAAGAAAGAAGAGGAAGAAGGAAAGAGGGAAACGGGGGAAGGGCGAAGGGCTCTTGCCTCCTCCCTCCCCCCGCCAAAAATAAATAAGAGAGAGAGAGAGAGAAGGGAAAGGGAAAGAAAGAAGAGGAATAAGAAGGAAAGAGGGAAACGGGCGAAGGGCGAAGGGCTCTTGCCTCCTCCCCCCCCCCCCCCGCCAAAAATAAATAAGAGATAGAGAGAGAAGGGAAAGGGAAAGGGAAAGGGAAAGAGAAGATAAAAGGAAAGAAAGAAGAGGAAGAAGAAGAAGAAAAGAGGGAAACGGGGGCGAAGGGCCCTTGCCTCCCCCCGCCAAAAAATAAATAAAGAGAGAGAGATAGAGAGAAGGGAAAGGGAAAGGGAATAAAAAAGGAAAGGAAGAAGAATAAGAAGAAAAGAGGGGCTCTTGCCTCCTCCCCCCCCCCCCTTTCCGCTAAAAAATAAAACGAGAGAGAAAAGGGAAAGGGAAAGAGAAGATAAAAGGAAAGAAAGAAGAGGAAGTAGAAGGAAACGGGGGCGAAGGGCTTTTGCCTCCCCCAGCCAAAAAATAAATAAAAGAGAGAGAGAGAGAGAGAAGGGAAAGGGAAAGGGAATAAAAAAGGAAAGGAAGAAGAATAAGAAGAAAAGAGGGGCTCTTGCCTCCTCCCCCCCCCTTCCGCTAAAAAATAAATACGAGAGAGAAAAGGGAAAGGGAAAGAGAAGATAAAAGGAAAGAAAGAAGAGGAAGTAGAAGGAAACGGGAGCGAAGGGCTCTTGCCTCCCCCCCAAAAAAATAAATAAGAGACAGAGAGAGAGAGAGAAGGGAAAGGGAAAGAAAGAAGAGGAATAAGGAGAAAAGAGGGAAACGGGAGGGAGGGGCGAAGGGCTCTTGCCTCCTCCTCACCCCCCCCCCCCCCCCCGCCAAAAAAATTAATAAGAGAGAGAGAGAAGGGAAAGGGAAAGGGAAAGAGAAGATAAAAGGAAAGAAAGAAGAGGAAGTAGAAGAAAACGGGGGGGGGGAAGGGCTCTTGCCTCTCCCCGCCAAAAAATAAATAAGAGAGAGAGAGAGAGAGAAGGGAAAGGGAAAAAGAATATAAAAGGAAAGAAAGAAGAGAAGAAGAAGAAAAGAGGGAAACGGGGGCGAAGGGCTCTTGCCTCCTCCCCCCGCCAACAAATAAATAGGAGAGAGAGAGAGAGAGAGAGAGAGAGAGAGAAGGGAAAGGGAAAGGGAAAGAAAATAAAAAGGAAAGAAAGAAGAAGAAGAAGGAAAGATGGAAACGGGGGAAGGGCGAAAGGCTCTTACCTCCCCCCCCCCCTCCCGCCAATAAGAGAGAGAGAGAGAGAGAGAGAGAGAGAGAAGGAAGAGGGAAAGAAAATCTAAACAACACGAAAGAAGAGGAAAAAGAATAAGAAAAGAGGGAAACGGGGCGAAGGGCTCTTGCCTCCTCCCTCCCCCCCCCCCCGCCAAAAAATAAATAAGAGAGAGAGAGAGAGAGAGAGAGAGAGAAGGGAAGGGAAAGGGAAAGACAATATAAAAGGAAAGAAAGAAGAAGAAGGAAAGATGGAAACGGGGGAAGGGCGAAAGGCTCTTACCTCCCCCCCCCCCCCCTCCCGCCAAAAAAATAAATAAGAGAGAGAGAGAGAGAAGGAAGAGGGAAAGAAAATCTAAACAGAAAGAAAGAAGAGGAAAAAGAATAAGAAAAGAGGGAAACGGGGGCGAAGGGCTCTTGCCTCCTCCCTCCCCCCCCCCCCCCCGCCAAAAAATAAATAAGAGAGAGAAGGAAAGGGAAAGAGAAGATAAAAGGAAAGAAAGAAGAGGAAGAAGAATTTGTGTCCTGCCAGTGTCACAAATAGATATAAAAATATGTTCATCTGACCGTTATTTATTGCCCAAAACCCCTGAGCTTCCGGAGGCTCCACCCCCTGGACCCCACGCCAATTCGTGACCCCTGTGTCACACATAAGGTATAAAATAATAATGATTTAATGTACAAAACTCCTGAGCTTCTGGGGCTCCGCCCCCTGGACCCAACACCAAATTGTGTCCTGCCACTGTCACAAATAAGGTATAAAATTATGCTCATCCGACATTAAAATCGCTCATTTTTGTGATTTATGTACCTAACATAATATGGAAATACCATTTATTCTTTTAAAAAAGAGAAAACATTGGTTATTTGGTCTTGTTTCAAGTTAATGTGTTTGTTTTGGGGTCAAAATAGTTGAATTGTGGTTAGAAATGAAATAAAACAACAAAAACAATATAATACATAAATACAAATTATCAAAACAAGAGATAACATAGGGATAAACTGGCTCTTTCATCTTTGTTGTCGTATTATTATTATAACGAATATATGTAGTGAAAAATAACGCTTGAATATAAATTATATATGATTTATGGGTAAAAATGTGAATTCTCTGACCTTGTTTGCATAAATTACCATAAATATGCAAATGAGTGAATTTTTCAAAAAAATGAAATTACCATAGTTTTTTATACACTTCACTTGACATGCATGCACATTTTCGCGGCGATAGGCTGTGAAACGGCCGAGACCCTCAAGTCTACTCCAATCACATTGAAAAAAAAGTATGACTTAAATCATCTCTCTCATCATTATACCGCTATAGTATTCATGTTTTTAATATTATTTATTATCCTTCCATCATAGAGAAAATACTTCAGCAAATCTCTCTGCAACATTAAAAAAGAATCTTCATTAATATGTCTTAATTTGTATTGATAGCCTTGTGGTCGCCAACAGTGGCGTAGGTAGGGGCGTCTCCAAAGGGGGGTGTGGGGGTGCGACACCCCCCCCTACCTGTCAGGATATTGTCGGTAAAATTGCGCTGCTGCCGTCGGGAAAAAGAGAAAAGGGGGAGGGGAAAAAGAGAGGGAAAGGGAAAGAAGAAAAAAAGAAAAGAAAGAAAGAGAAAAACGAAAAAGAGGGAGAATAGGAAAGAAAGGAAAAAGAAAGGAGGCAAGAGCCCTTTGGCCCCGTTTCCCTCTTTTCTTCTTCTTCCTCTTCTTTCTTTCCTTTTGTCTTCTCTTTTCCTTTCCTTCTCTCTCTCTTTCTTATTTATTTTTTGGCGGGGGGGGGGGGGAGAAGGCAACAGCCCTTCGCCCCCGTTTCCCTCTTTTCTTCTTATTTTTCTTCCTCTTCTTTCTTTCCTTTTATATTCTCTTTCCCTTTCCCCTTCCCTTCTCTCTCTCTCTCTCTCTTATTTATATTTTTGGCGGGGGGGGGGGGGGCGAGGGCAAGAGCCCTTCGCCCCCGTTTCCCTCTTTTCTTCTTCTTTCTCTTCTTTCTTTCCTTTTATCTTCTCTTTCCCTTTCCCTTCTCTCTCTCTCTCTCTCTCATTTATTTTTTTGGCGGGGGGAGGAAAGAGCCCTTCGCCCCCGTTTCCTTCTACTTCCTCTTCTTTCTTTCCTTTTATCTTCTCTTTCCCTTTCCCTTCTCTCTCTTATTTATTTTTTAGCGGAAGGGGGGAGGAGGCAAAAGCCCCTCTTTTCTTCTTATTCTTCTTCCTTTCCTTTTTTACTCCCTTTCCCTTTCCCTTCTCTCTCTCTCTCTCTCTCTCTCTCTCTCTCTCTCTCTTTTATTTATTTTTTTGCGGGGGGAGGCAAGAGCCCTTCGCCCCCGTTTCCCTCTTTTCTTCTTCTTCTTCCTCTTCCTCTTCTTTCTTTCCTTTTATCTTCTCTTTCCCTTTCCCTTTCCCTTCTCTCTCTATCTCTTATTTATTTTTTGGCGGGGGTGGGGAGGAAGGAGGCAAGAGCCCTTCGCCCTTCCCCCGTTTCCCTCTTTCCTTCTTATTCCTCTTCTTTCTTTCCCTTTCCCTTCTCTCTCTCTTATTTATTTTTTGGCGGAGGGGGGGGGGGGGGTAAGAGCCTTTCGCCCTCGTTTCCCTCTTTCCTTCTTCCTCTTCTTTCTTTCCTTTTATATTTTCTTTCCCTTTCCCTTTCCCTTCTCTCTCTCTCCTATTTATTTTTTTGGCGGGGGGGGGGGGGGGTGAGGAGGAGGCAAGAGCCCTTCGCCCCTCCCTCCCGTTTCCCTCTTTTCTCCTTATTCCTCTTTCTTTCCTTTTATCTTCCCTTTCCCTTGCCCTTTTTTCCTTCTCTCTGTCTCTCCCATCAACATAGTAATAACGAAAGAGACCACTCTGTAATCAAGACCATTCCATTTTATTTAATACATTTTCGATATACTTAAATTGGCAACTATTACCTTCTGTCCCAGATCCGCATTTTAAACGACTGATGCGAAAGACTAGTCGACGCACCCTTTCGAGAAAAGCCCCCCCCCCCCCCCCGCTTTTATCGAAAGGGTGTGTTAAAACGGTACTCCGCTCTCAACGCACCCTTTCGAGAAAAGCCCCCCCCCCCCCTCTTTTATCGAATGGGTGCGTTGAGCACACCACACCGCGCCGCACCGCACCGCACCCTTTCGATGAAAGCCTATTCAAAGGCTCCGATCCGGTCCGACGACGAACTTGTATACAGCGAATATTGTCGAAAAATCAAAGTTCATGTTTAGCTATATAGGGCATGTAGGCAGGGGCGTACGCAGGGGGGGGGGGGGGGTTTGGGGTTCAAACCCCCCCCCCCCTTTGGTATTTTTATGTATGTAAACCCCCCCTAAAAAAACCTAAACCCCCCCCCCCCCCCTCCCCTTTGGTTTTTTTTTTTTTTTTTTTTTAATTTTTATTTAAAAAAAAAAAAAAAAAAAAAAAAAAAAAATTAATACCCACGGCTAACCTAAATAAGGTGACCTTACCCCCCCCCCCCCCAACGACAAAAAATGTCAAATTATGAAATTTTGAGACCAAAAAAAAAAAAAATGTGTCCGCTTACCCCCCCCCCCCCCCCCCCCCCCCCCCCACACCCTTTCGAGAAAAGCCCCCCCCCCCCCCTTTTATCGAATGGGTGCGTTGAGCACACCACACCGCGCCGCACCGCACCGCACCCTTTCGATGAAAGCCTATTCAAAGGCTCCGATCCGGTCCGACGACGAACTTGTATACAGCGAATATTGTCGAAAAATCAAAGTTCATGTTTAGCTATATAGGGCATGTAGGCAGGGGCGTACGCAGGGGGGGGGGGGGTTTGGGGGTTCAAACCCCCCCCCTTTGGTATTATTATGTATGTAAACCCCCCCTAAAAAAACCTAAACCCCCCCCCCCCCCCTTTGGTTTTTATTTTATTTTTTTTAAAAATTTTTATTTAAAAAAAAAAAAAAAAAAAAAAAAAAAAAATTATACCCACGGCTAACCTAAATAAGGTGACCTTACCCCCCCCCCCCCCAACGACAAAAATGTCAAATTATGAAATTTCGAGACCAAAAAAAAAAAAAAAATGTGTCCGCTTACCCCCCCCCCCCCCCCCCCCCCCCCCCCCCCCCCCCCGCACCCTTTCGAGAAAAGCCCCCCCCCCTCTTTTATCGAATGGGTGCGTTGAGCACACCACACCGCGCCGCACCGCACCGCACCCTTTCGATGAAAGCCTATTCAAAGGCTCCGATCCGGTCCGACGACGAACTTGTATACAGCGAATATTGTCGAAAAATCAAAGTTCATGTTTAGCTATATAGGGCATGTAGGCAGGGGCGTACGCAGGGGGGGGGGTTTGGGGGTTCAAACCCCCCCCCTTTGGTATTTTTATATGTATGTAAACCCCCCCCTAAAAAACCTAAACCCCCCCCCCCCCCCCCCCCCCCCCCCTTTGGTTTTTATTTTATTTTTTTTAAATTTTTTTATTTAAAAAAAAAAAAAAAAAAAAAAAAAAAAAATTATACCCACGGCTAACCTAAATAAGGTGACCTTACCCCCCCCCCCAACGACAAAAAATGTCAAATTATGAAATTTCGAGACCAAAAAAAAAAAAAAAATGTGTCCGCTTACCCCCCCCCCCCCCCCCCCCCCCCACACCCTTTCGAGAAAAGCCCCCCCCCCCCCTCTTTTTATCGAATGGGTGCGTTGAGCACACCACACCGCGCCGCACCGCACCGCACCCTTTCGATGAAAGCCTATTCAAAGGCTCCGATCCGGTCCGACGACGAACTTGTATACAGCGAATATTGTCGAAAAATCAAAGTTCATGTTTAGCTATATAGGGCATGTAGGCAGGGGCGTACGCAGGGGGGGGGGGGGGTTGGGGGTTCAAACCCCCCCCCCCTTTGGTATTTTTATGTATGTAAACCCCCCCTAAAAAAACCTAAACCCCCCCCCCCCCCCCCTTTGGTTTTTATTTTATTTTTTTTTATTTTTTTATTTAAAAAAAAAAAAAAAAAAAAAAAAAAAAAAAATTATACCCACGGCTAACCTAACTAAGGTGACCTTACCCCCCCCCCCCCAACGACAAAAAATGTCAAATTATGAAATTTCGAGACCAAAAAAAAAAAAAAAATGTGTCCGCCCCCCCCCCCCCCCCCCCCCCCCCCCCCCCCCCCCCCCCCCCCCCCCCCCTTGAAAAAATCCTGCGTACGCCCCTGCATGTAGGCCTATGTCCCATACGACAATATGACACTGGCATGTTCGTCCGGAAACGCACAATTATTGGAATTGCGCCGTTAGGTTAATTTTCGTAAATACATGTATAGTTGCCTGTTTTGACGGGAATTTTGACTCGCTATTCGACTCGGGATTGCTTAGCATTATTCTACCATGAGCCGCTTTTTCGAAGATGCCGATACCGCAAAAAACTATCTACGGTACCGCCCTGGATACTCTAATGAAGTGGTTGATACGATGATCTCATTTCTTGCTGCAAAGGTAAGACGGTGACAATCAGAACAATTTTTTGTATAAAGGGATTGGGTATCTTAATTGCCTCGATCAGATTCTTTTTAAAAAATCCTGGATTTAGCTCATGCCTGCAATCGTAATTAGCTTTAGATCAGTCAGAAATCACACTGATTATCAAGATACTTATGCTTGGAATTAGTAATGTAAAACAAAAAAAAAACGTTTCCCATTGTTTTTTATAACACGTATACAGTCTATTAGGAGAAATGAGTATGGTAAAACAGGTCACTCAAAGATTTTTTACTTTGTTGAGGCACTTTATGATCATATTAAATCGAAATTTGTTTAAGGCTTCAATTTATTCAAATTAATATTCTAATTAATTGTTTTCTTCATTAATTTTACAATTACCATTACCCCCCCCCCTCCCCACCCTGGTATGGTATGGTATGGTATATTTTATTTATTCACGGTTAAAAACAAAAATACAATTGTGCCCGCATTCAGCAAAAGCTGTTTTTCAGCGAGGCCGTGATTACATATAATTAGAACAGAGTATACAACAATGAAAATACAATTTACAAACAAATATGCAAGTTATAATAAGTGAACATAATTTACAAAAATTTAAGTACGAAATAGAATCATAGTGAGTTTAGTGACAAAGTGAGGGGGAGAAGAAAAAAAAAATTATCTACGAGATGAAAGAAGTGAGCAAATATCTTGAATTTTACTAATCTCAATGTTGAACATGTAAGATTTAAAAACATTTATAATTCTGATATCGTTGGGTATGGTATTAAAAAGCTTTGATGCATGACTATGTTGAAGAAAATTTGTGTAAGGTCTTGGAAGGGGGATTTGTGAATTTGTATAACGGAACATAATTATATAGCCTACATTAGTATTAAATTCGATCAATGACGATCAAACAGGTGGACCAAGATTATGTAATAACTTAAATAATAGTCATTTATTGTTTTACTCTTGAAGCAAAGTTTACTTTATATTTGTCATAATGTACATGTATATCGCTGTAGAACATGTATTTTTTATAATTCATGTCATGCATTTATGTTATATTGACATTGTCATTGTACATTTATCTTTTGTTTTAATGTTTTCAATGGTGGTGAATAAATAAATTCAATTCAAATATAGTAACTAAAAGCCTGTTTGTCCCAGTATTCTTTTAGCATGTCAATTTCAAGGGTTTTATAAGGAATTTCAGTGTGATATCTACTATTAACTCCAAGTACAGATCTCAAACACCTATTTTGTATTGTTTGAAGTTGTTTTAACCGAGTTTCTCTACCGTTCATCCAAATCGTGCTGCAATAAGCGAAATGAGGCTGAATTAAGGTTTTGTACAGTATTAATGCTACCTTTTCATCTGTGAATTGTCTCATTCGCTTTAGAGAAAAATACGTCTCTAAAACCTTTTTCTTTACATGGTCTTTTTGTGGGTTTCATGAAAAATTGCAATCAAGCAAAATACCAAGATATTTGCATTCCATTACTCTAAGTAATTTTTTGGTTATTCAGACGAATATCAACATTACAGAAACGACTCAAATTTGACTTTGAACCAGTTAACATGACCTGACATTTGTCAACGTTAAGCAATAATTCATTTTGAAAACCATGTCGTAGTTGATTTCAAATCACCATTGATTACTTTCTCTAACAAATACAACAAAAATGCAATAAATTATCAATAATTTTATTCATTGCATTTAACAGGAAAAATTCCTCTGTAGGGCCATGCGTTATGGTCAGGGATATGCTTATTTTGATGGGACACATGTCCCCCCCCCCCCTCCCTCATGGATCTACCAACGTTCCCATACGGCCATATGTCAGGAGTTTATAGGCCATAAATGTACAATTATATTCATTTACAAACAAAATATGTTGTATTATTCTTGCTGTTTTTGTCTTGTAGAGAGCAGGACCATATGAGTTAGCTTTGGATGTTGGATGTGGGTCTGGCCAATTGACGCGCTCTCTCTCAACTCACTTTGCCCGAGTTATCGGTTTGGATATAAGCGAAGCGCAGATCGACGCCGCACAAACTGTCCCAAATCCTCAGAATGTGTCGTTCAGTAAGGCTTTATGTCCTATAGTCCCCCCTTGTATTTATTCGATTCACTATGAACATGACGGACAAATAAAGAGGACAAAATATACAGTTCCTCATGTAGACAAAGGAACATCCCTTCACTGCTATTATGTAAAAATATGTAGAACACGGTGTCTCATGCATATTCACCTGTTCTACTCATTTTTACATAATAGCAGTGAAGGGATGTTCCTTTGTCTACCACAGCAATTGTTGAGGGTAGAATGAGGAACTGTATATTTTGTCCTCTTTCTTTGTCCGTCATATTCATAGTAATTGTCACTTGCAGGGTTGGACGAGCAGAGAACCTACCGGCGGCCGACGCATCGGTGGACATCATCACTTCGGCCACCGCTAGTCATTATTTCAACTGGGATATCTTCGGAAAGGAGGTTGAGCGTGTCCTGAAACCGAACGGTTGCCTCGTCGCATTGTCCTACGATTTCTTCTACATCGAACACCAGGATGAAGGCGTGGCAAAGAAATTGGCCGAGTGCATTGAATCGCATATGGACTATGTAAGATGATCCCCTTGTGATTAATGAAAAGATTATGATGATTACGATGATGCCGGTAGGACAAATTTTGACAAACAGCACTAAAAAAAACATAATACACGCCTCTATTTGTTGATTTGAAGAATAATATTTCCTTTGTGAAATCATTGATGATATTATTATCAATCAGTTGCATATCTAATTGGAAAATGGTATAAGACTTTCGGATTGTATGTCTATATACTTTATATGTCCATCTATACCCCTTTTATTCTCTCTCTCTCTCTCTCTCTCTCTCTCCATCTCTCTCTCTCTCCCCTCTCTCTCTCTCTCTCTCTCTTATCTTTCTGTCTCCATCTGTCTGTGCCTCTATGTCCTTCTTTCTCTCTATTATCATATTTTGTAATCCTGTTCATGATCTTACAGATTACAAACTCTGAACTGAGAAAAAGTACTCCAGAGGATTACCTAACGTACAGAGATCAGTACAAGGAATGTCTTCCACTGTCATACACTGACCAGGAAAGGTATGTGTACATTTTTTTTAAAGCCCGTCATTACTAATATAAAGGAAGGATTAGACCACACCGCAAGGTCACTAGACAGGTGGTTTTCTCATCAACTCAGCTCTCAAATAACATAAGAAAAAGAGGGTCACGGGGAACCAATGGTCACCGATTAGGCTTTGTTTGTTATATAGAGGGCGCAAGTAGCACCAAGTAGTGCAGTGGGCCTTTAAAGAGTAAAACGAGAATAAAGGTGCGCCAAGATAATTATGCTACAGTAAACCGCCGCAAAAAAGCCGCCGCGTTTTTTAAAATTTTATCCGTGTAAAATAAAATGGCAACTGCTCGCAACAAAACACCCGGCGCGTTCTCACTGAGCTCAGTGTTATAAGATACAGAAATTAATGTGAAGCGTTTTGCACTTGACGTCATCATAAAAACCCCAAAGCCGCGTGACATCTGAACGAGGCTCAAAATTATACAATTGTTTTCTTTAATGCCCAATACATACATTAGTTTATTCCAAGCAAGCTCCTGCGTGTTTTGTTTTTATAATGCAATGGATTTTTTAAACAGAATTAATTACTTTTGTTTGACGAATAAGTCAAATCGGTTTATGAATAGTTATTGACCGTTTTAATGTTTTAAGGAGCTAAAAGGTCAATTTGTTTCCATCAAAACAAGAAACAATCAATCGAGTCATAAATCAACTTTTCTCGACTACAAATTCATTGAATACTTATCAGCCGATCGAGCAACATATATTACCCAGTCAAACACTCGGTGTAGAGAAAAAAAAAAGTAATACAACGTTTAACATATTTTGTTTTCTTCTTTACTTCAGGATCGACATGACAATGAACAAGACCATGAATCTACGAGAGTTTATTGAGTTTCATAAAACTTGGGCTAACTTTATCAAACTACACAACGAAGACCCGGATGCTACACTTGCTCACTTTGAAAAAAAAAATTTAATGAACATCAGGCCCTTACGGGGCCTTATTGATAGTAAGATCAAGGAATTTATCAGGAATTGTATTTGATGATGACGATAATAATGATGGTGATATTAATATTAGTAGTAAGAAGAGCAGCAGCAGTAGCAGATGTAGTAGTAGTAGTAGTAGTAGTAGTAGTAGTAGTAGTAGTAGTACAGTCAAACCTGCTTTAGTGACCATCTGTCTACAAAGACCACCTGTCTACAACAAGCACATTTTTTGTTTCCCTTGAAAATGGTTTCTCATTGAAACATGTATTAAAGGAACCTGTCTACAAAGACGACTTTTGTGTTTCCCTTTGGCGGTCACTGTAGACAGGTTTGACTGTAGTAGTATAGATACTAATACAAATATTAATACTATTACTATTAATAATTGATAATAATAATATAATCTTATTAACATAGTCATAATAACGCATAATGATGATAACAATGCTATGACACTACTTTTTGTATTTTTCATACCAGAAAGAGAAAAACAAATGGAGCTCCAACTTAAATATCAATTGATCTAAACACCTTTCAGCTTTAAGATTTTAAAGCATTATAAAATTATTACATTTCTTCTTTCTTGTCCTTCTTTTTCAATACATTAGTCCGCATGTTATGTTGTTATCTTTATCTCTACCTCTCCCTCTTCGTCCCATCATCATCATTATGCGGTATGTTTAGTCTGATGGAGCTCTTAGATCCAGAGAGAACTAGACTCGATGTCTGGGCCCCTGTCTACCTGCGATGCGCCAGGAAGCCATAGTATAATACCGGTTATACAGTGCGTCCCAGAAAAAACGAAACTGAGAATTATCGATGTTTTATCATAACTTACTTTCTAGAAATGTAATTTTCTCTTTGAAATTCAAATACCGTCCGCGAAAAGACTTTTTGGTTCCCTCTCTTCAAATTGATTTTAATCACTCATGCGTGAAATATGCATCATATAAGTTGCAGCAAATGAAAGAGGAGACTCTAATTGTGAATAAGTTATGATAAAACATCGATAATTCTAGGTTTCTTTTTTTCTTGGACGCACTGTATATACCCCTTACTGCACCTGAAGTTCTCGAGTCAACTATATTTGCTGCTATACCTAATTTTGGGAAGCTATGTACATGTGTTCCCATGTATTAGTGATGCACTTTGATAAAACACACCCCAACTTCTGCTTCAACGTGTTTTTATTCATGCATACACTACCAGGGGACGGATGTTCATCCGCATCATTTATATCAAACGCTGGATGAATATACATCTCATAAATTGCAATACTACTCGATATTTTAGTTAATTGTAATTGCTATCCTGCAATATTTTTGTGTTCCAATTATTGTTATATTAAATGTCAACGTAATCGCTAATTAAGACGAAAGCTTCTGAATAATATAAGAGGTCGACAGCTGAGCTTCTTGGTCATGTTATACAAAAGGATGGTTTGGAAAATCTTGCACTGACTGGAAGAATCGAGGGGAGGAGGATTAGGGGTAGAAGGAGGATTCTGTGAATGAGTAGCATAAGGAGTGGGATATCTGAAAGTGGAATCGATCTCGTGGAGAATGAATTACTTCATAGAATATGGGACAGAGAGTTGTGGCACTCCATGGTCGCCAATGTCTTATGACATGGCACGTAGAGAGTGCTCATTTTGATATTACTGTGCATACTACTGTATTTTATCAAATTTCTTTGTACTGTATTTGAATGTATTTTTTCATATTTTTAAAATTCAAATTATTTCAGCCTCTGGCTACTAATGTTGAATGTATGTTTTTAATCGGTAAACCAGTTCATTTAAAGGTAATACAAAGTTTTGGTATGGGGTCATGAATTTGGTTCAAATTAACATATTGGAAGCATATGCGTTCCTACAATATTCATTGATCGTTGTCCCGATTGAAATCGAGTCTAAAGTTATGAAATTATAAATAATAAACTCTTTATGTTGTATAGCTCCCTCTCAAGGTCAAGATATCAATTTAGCTATGAAACAATGTTTCTTGACTAAAATCGACCGATTAGCTATTCCCGTTTGGAAATTATATATCAAAACTACATATTCTGAGATTTTCATGGTCGAAGCTACCATTGTACTGCAGTAGGCGCTATTTGAAATTTATCAAAATTTACCGGGAGCACCGGTAAATTTTTATATTGAATTTTTCTCGAAAACTGAAGTGTTTTAGGGGTTGATTTTTGTAGTGCTTATAATACATCCACGGGGGCATCCAAATATATCAAAATTGTAAAGATTCACTATCCACCCAATTTTCAAAATTTCCCAAAACTTTGTATTACCTTTAAAATCGAAGTAATACCCATCAGGCACACCGACGTGATTAACCCGAGATCGATGCCAGACCGAACATTAAAAACACACTAGACGGGCTCCAGTCATACCGACAAGACCGACACAAGACTAACTCCTTATTCTATTATACGTATACTTATGTACTTATGTATACGTATATACTTACACGTATATGCTTATACTTAAAATAAACGGAGTGTAACAGTCATTCACTTTCTTATGGACATATGATTTTCTGAGAGTATCAACTCAAACTGTGTGTAATCGATCATATTTAAATTGTTGATCATATTTTGGGGGTGTTATATGCAGGAGGAGTAGACATGCTATGTAAACATTAATGAAGAACGGATGGGAATTAATTAATGAGTACTTACCCATTACGTTTCAAAACGGACCAAGAAAGTTGACAAAGTTAAAACAAAATAGTAATACCATATGATGCCTTCCTGTCAACTCGCACAAACTCTCAACTGTTAGGATTCTTCATAGCAACGTGCATTAAATATACTTTTTCCCGTTAATTTTATCATTTTTTTTCATTCAATATCATACTTTTTAAAGTCAATTTTGTCCCGAAACTTCGTCATCCTGCACATCTGATGATAAATTTTGTCTTCGGTCATTCATTTTGACCTTTAATAGAGGACACTCTTTTTTTTCGGCGTCCCCAAAAAAAATCGCAACGACTCAGCCAGCCGCTGAATAAGCGGGGGGGGGGGGGGGGGGAGGGGGGGGGGTGGTAAGAGGACACTTTTTTGGGGGGGGGGGAGGGGGGGGGTCTCGAAATTTGAACATTTGACATTTTGTTCCGTTGGGGGGGGGGGGGTAGGTCACCTTTTTTAGGTCAGCCATTGGCATAATTTTTTTTTTTTTAAATTAAAAAAGCCCCCCCCCCAAAACATACACAAATCATACACATAAAAAAAACTCAAACGTGCCCCGCCCCCCCCCCCCTGCGTACGCGCCTGTGTGGGTGGGAGGGTGGGTGGGTGTATGCAAGGGCGTATTAAGGGGGGGGGTGTTTTAGGTGTGGGGGTGTTTTAGCATTTTAGAGACACCATTTTTCTATGTATTTTTTGGGGTGTCCCCCCCCCCCCCCCCTCCCCCCGCTAATTCACCGGCTGGCTGATTCGCCGCTAAATATTTTCTCATCAAATTGGGCCGACAACTCATCGTATCATTCTCTTTATTTCACCTCCATTCTCTCTCTATCTGTTTTCCTCTCCATCATCTACATGTACCTCCTCCCCTCTCATTCCATTTTTCTCTCAATCCATTTTCGCTTCCAAGTTATGCTGATAACATTCACGAAGTCATTGTACGTGTAGCTAGGAGGTTTCGAACACTCCCGCCAGCCTGATATAATTACATGTATAGAGAGCAAATATCCTTTCAAGGAGAAATTTAAATATCTAACACAAAATAACGCTATGAAGAATTTTGATCAAGAAATATAGAAATACATATTTTAATGCGGACAGGAGCTAGCATGACTAGAATTTTTTTTATAAATCGCCATCGCTCTATGAGAGACCTAAAAATAATGAGGGGTGGGGGTGATATCAATGCCATTTTGGCATACTACAAATTGTTTTCACTACCCCCCCCCCCCCCCCCCCCCCATGGCATAGGAAACATTGTTGATTGTATGACTAGATTTCCACAGGCTTTCAGGAGGACACCCCTTACAGTTATACTCGTTTTTATGTTTATATTTCCAAGTAAAAAGTGCAATACAACACTGATTATCTTGTTTTACAAGACAGGAACACCCCCATCTTCCTCCTTTCTCGCTCCGTACATCTATGATACTTTTGACCTTTTCGTTTAAACCGTGAGAAACACATTAATTTCGCTGTAAAACGATATGATATTCCTTTGACACAGCATTTTACATTGATAATGTGAACTATCATAAAACAATCATACATCAAGTATTAACAAAATGCCACTGACTGCATAATTTACATAAATGTGCATAAATGTATAAATAAAGCATTAAGCTATTCCACAGTCATTTTTTTATATAAAAAAAAAAACATTTTAACAATTTAACATAACCGAGAACACAAAAAGTTCTGTTACATATAAAATCATTGATTTTGATGACATAATAATTACAAACAGTACATTAACATACATGTAGCACCAACACAAAATATATAACAAGTCGTACCATTAAATGAAAATGAAAGTTAAAATGTTCTAATATCCAGCATTATAAAAAAACATATTCCAAAACTGCTACATGATAACCACTATACGTGCCAATTTTCCAACTTTTTCAGGTACAGCGCTAAGGAATGACGTAAAAGTACTAACTTGTTTTCATCTACTTTATCTCGTTCAATCTGGTTTAAAATATCATAATCGGTTGGCGGTATATTCCTTTTCCTATTCAGCAACAGTAAATATTTTACTAATATATAATACATGATGCCACTAATCGTCCTTTTCCTCTATCGGGTAAATCTTTTCCGATTTTTTTTTTCTCTTCCCAGTCTAATTTTCGCAAATCAACAAAACACCTTTCCGATACATTCCGAGTAAATTCCTACGTACTAAATATATGCCTATAAGTTTTTCCCTCTAAAAGAAACAACAACAATGATAATGGCGATGGTGATGGTGATGATAACGATAATAATAATAATGTCGACGATGAGTATATTAATGATAATGACAGAGGCGGCGGAGCGACTTCCAAAGTGAAGGGGGCACTTTCTGGAAAAAGGGGCACCTCCAAAGGAAAATCTCAAAGCGAAAATATACAATTTTTTAGACATTGGTACATGTATATACCCCTAAAATTGTGATTACATTATCAGGGAGGATTTCAATATTTGTTTCTCTTTATACATGGTATAAGATATTGCCTAAGCATCATACCTTGCAGTTCGGTGTGATGGTCTGAAATTCATTTGCGAGCGCGGAAAAAAATTAAGATTTGTGAGGTCGCAGAGCGAAAAACTATATCTTATAAAGAGGAAAAACCCAATCCTGATGTGGTTATAAGCACATTCTCATAACAGAAGCCTGAAAAGGCCTTTGACAAGTAACATAATTATGACATCTATAAATGCGAGCGAGCGTAGCAAGCGATCTTTGGGGGATATTGCTTTTAGTCGCTTGAAATTAGGGGCACGTTTAATGATGAGAGGAAAAGGGGACACTTATCGAAAAGGATGACACTTATTAGAAGAAAAAAAAGGAGCACGTGTCAAAGTACAACCGGTAATTATCAGAGGTGAAAATGTGGCACTTCTTCCACCTTAAAAAGAGCCACTCACCAGGATGAAAAAGACACTTATGAGAATGAAAAGGGGGCACTAATAGTAAAGGGAAATGTGCATTTGTTGAAAGAAAAGGAAAACCGATCATATTTTAATAGGGGCATTTACCAGAGAGGAAAAGGGGCACTTATGAGAATGAAAAGGGACTATTTGCATAGGTGAAAAGGGGCATTCATAAGAAGAGGATGGGGCTCTTTATTAAATGGGGCACTTATCATAAGGAAAAGGGGCACTTATTAGAAAGGAAAGGGGGCACATGTGAAAATATAAAGTGCGCACTTATCAGAGTTAGAAAGGGGTAGTTATGAAAAGGGGGAAGGGGCAGTTGTCAAAATAAAAGGGGCACCTCTCAGATTTGAAAGGGGCAATTTTAGAGGTGAAGGGGGCGCTTATCAAAGTAAAAAGGGGCGCTTCTCGTACCTGAAAAGGGGCACTTACTAGAGATTACAAAGGGCACTTATGAGAATGGAAAATGGACACTTATTGCAAAGAAAAATGGGAACTTGTCGAAGGAAAAGGGGTACGTGTCAAAATAAAAAGGGCACTTATCAGAGGTGGAAGGGGGGAGGGGCACTTTTAAAAATTAAGAGAGGCACTTGTAAAAGTAAAAGGGGCACTTTTTATGTAAAAAGGGGCACTTCATACAAAGCTAAAGGGGCATTTTTCCTATGTATAAAGGGGCACTTTAGAGGTTCTTGAAAAAGTGGGGAGGGGCACTGTGCCCCCCTGCCCCCCCCCCGGGTCCGCCGCCTCTGGATAATGATGATAATGATAATGATGATAGAGAATGAGTATATTAAGAAGACAATTCTAAAGACAGTATAATAGTAAAAATATTAGAAGCGCGATTATACTACTACTACTACTAATACTACTACTACTACTACTACTACTACTACTACTACTACTACTACCACTACTACTACTACTGATACTACTACAACTGCTACTACCACTTTCATTACTGATAACCATCACACGTATCTCTAGGTTCCCTTATTACTATTACCTTTAGCCTTTCAGACATTTTCTACGATTCTAACGAAAAGGTTATTTAGAGTTCACGGTGCATTTCTAATAGTGGGCCTCAAATTCAAAGGCTCCGATCCGACGAAGGGCATAATGGGGGGGGGGGGGGGGGTCGAGAAGAGGAGGGGGAGGGGAGGGGGACAGAGGGGAGGATATATGATTGCATAAATTAGCACAATAAATCATGAATACATGATATACAGGCGCGTACGCAGGATTTTTTCAAGGGGGGGGGGAGGGGTTTAACATTTTTAAATCGGGCCGTAAGGTCAACTTTTTTAGGTCAGCCATTGGTATAATTTTATTTTATTTTTCATTTTTTTAATTAAAAAAAAACAAACCAAAGGGGGGGGGGGTTCCTCTAAAACACATACATAAAAAGCACAAAAGGAGGGGGGTTAACCCCCCCCCCTGCGTACGCGCCTGATGATATAAATTGGGTGGGGTTTGTGCATGGAGAAAGACGAAGCTCAACATGCATGCGCTCGTTGAATGCCTTTTTTGCACTGTATAGCCTATGTCCCATAAAAATCATGTTCGCATAATGTATTAGCTGTTATGTTATATTTATGGTGTATTCTTGTTTGTATTTTTATCAGATTGTGGAAATAAACTAAACTTGAATTTGAACTTGAACTTGTATACGACAGCGAATTTTGTCGAAATTCAAAGTTCATGTTTAGCTATAGGGCATGTATATATGTCCTATATAAATCATGTAGTAGTACGACAATGACATTGTCATGTTCGTCGGGAAACGCACAAGGCTATTGGAATTGCGCTGTTAGGTTAATTTTCGTAAATACATGACTATAGTTGCCTTTTTGACTCGCTATTTGACTCGGGATTGCTTAGCATTATTCTACCATGAGCCGGTTTTTCGAAGATGCCGATACCGCAAAAAACTATCTACGGTACCGCCCTGGATACTCTAATGAAGTGGTTGATACGATGATCTCATTTCTTGCTACAAAGGTAAGACGGTGACAATCAGAACAATTTTTTGCTTTAAATGGATTAATTTGCCTCGATCAGTCCTTAAACAAATCCTGGATTTAGCTCATGCTGCAATCGAAATTATAAACCTTTAGGTCAGTTAGGAATCCCATGAATTTTACATGCCTATCGCTACCTTTATTGTCTGATCATCAAGATATTTATGATTGGAATTAGAAAAGTCAAAAAATGTTTTCCTAACGTTTTTTTAGGAAGTAGTTTTGTAGGAAGCAGCCGATTAAACACAAATGTGTGTACTTCTTTTGTTGTCTATGGCCTATGGGTATGCTAGATGTGCCCATTCCCCCCCCCCCCCCCCTCCCCCTCCTCATGGACCTGCCGACGTTCCCATACACTCTTAAAAATGCGTGGTCAAAAAATGACCACGTCGTGGTCGTTTTTAAAGGTGCATGGTTGACTACCAAAACGTGGTTAAAAACGACCACGACGTGGTCATTTTTTAACCACGTATTTTTAAGAGTATGCATGCATGGTTGACTACTAAAACGTGGTTAAAACGACCACGACATGGTCATTTTTTACCACGTTTTGGCAGCCAACCATGCGCATTTATAAACGACCACGACGTGGTCATTTTTTGACCACGTATTTTTAAGAGTGTACGGCCATCATGTCAGGAGTTTACAGGCCGTAAATGTACAATTAGATTCATTTACAAACAAATTATTTCGTATTATTATTTCTGTTTTTCTTATAGAGAGCAGGACCATATGAGTTAGCTTTGGATGTTGGATGTGGGTCTGGACAGCTGACGCGCTCTCTTTCAACTCAATTTGCCCAAGTTATCGGTTTGGATATCAGCGAAGCGCAGATCGACGCCGCACACACTGTCCAAAATCCACAGAATGTGTCTTTCAGGTAAGGTTTTGTATCCTCAGTTTACACCAACAAGATCGAACCCAAACCGACAACAGACCACCCCTCCCCCCTGGGGTCTAGTGACTAGTTGTTCCATTAACCTGGTATTAAAGAATGAACTAGATAAAATACTTGGAATCCATTCTGCATAATTATGTTACCTTTTGCTAGTCGGACAAGCTTCCGGGCAAGCCTTTTTGGTTGTCGAGAGCAACCTTTGTTTAAAATATATGCATTACATTGGTGACCCCGCGTTTACTTGGAAGCTTGGTTGTACGATTATGCTCTTGCATTTATACAAGTTTATTCGATGCATACCATGTCATTCATTACTGTCTATTTAATGGCAACTAAACAGCCGTTCGCATACCATGCTTGTTGTTTACATTTTTTTCAACATGCATGCTTGTACATTTCTTAGGCTGCTGTAAATTACTGCATACACTATATAATTTATATATTATACATTTATACATTTATCAGCCGTTAATTCTTTTGACATTTTGTACTTCGCTCCTTTATATCTTTATCGCCTCTCATCTGTGTATTGTATACACAGCTTCAATTCTGTCAGGGGAGTAATGTAGCGGCTCTTACATTCGCCCTACTTTTACCGTACATTCATGTCTCCAGTATTTTTCCATCACGTCGGGGTCACCAATGTAGTGATATAAACGCTTTCAAATATCCATTCACATTACCTCACACACTCATATCACTACATACCTTTCATCCATGTAATGTAATACGGTATACCTCAGTCACACCGCCAAACCGATCCACTCCAAAGTCCAAACCCACTGCCTTTCGCCATTGGGGGTATTGTAATTGTTTGATCGGTCTTCTGTCAGGCTCGTTCTTGTGACTTGGGTATAAAACTTGAAAAAAACCTTCAAAAATGTATCTCCATGATCCCTACTTATAGTGCAAGTTCAACAGCCTAGGCGTCACATATATATTGCAATGGGCGATCATGACAGTGACATGTTACGCACTCAGAGCATGATATTCAGTGGCGTATTGGAGTTGAATTCTTGAAAGTCTGTACGACCATAGTCATAACAATCCAATTAAATTCAATTTATTTATGTTTCCAACAAAACATTTCAAATAAATCATAAACATTTACAACAATTTAGGAATAGATTTTGGAAACAGAGGGGTCACTAAAGAGCAATGCTTGTTCAATTATTGTGGACCCCTCAAATGATACTTAGGAATAATGAGTAATTTAATTCACAAATTCGTAACTACAAAAAAGGAACTACATGATAGGGGGAAAGGGGACAAGACAGTACTTTACGAAGATCGGAGAGCACGGTCACAATACAAAGAGTAGACAATGTCAAAAAAGCAGTGAGAGATCGGGGGTACAGAAATGATATAAAAAGAATGAGCTGCATGTGGGGTTGAGAAGAAGATGAGGAAAGACAAATGCGCATTAAAAAGGAGATAAGCATATTATGATAGGGCACAATATAGTATATCAAATTACATTTTGAGTCAGCTAGTAGAGAATGATCTTGTATTCACTTAAAGGGATAGTTGAGTTCTGTTGCAGAGGGCGCTTCACAAAATATTTTTTTGTGTGAGATAATGAAAAACTGAGTGTCAAATTTGAAAGAACATAATATTTAAATGACAAAATCATCTTTGTTTGATCAAAATCGGTTTAGAGACGGCTGAACTTTAACAATTTCTAATATTTGTGTACCACCCAGGGGCGTACGCAGGGGGGGGGGGTGTTTTGGGGGTTCAAACCCCCCCCCCCCTTTGGTATTTTTATGTATGTAACCCCCCCTAAAAAAAACCTAAAACCCCCCCCCCCCCCCCTTTGGTTTTTTTTTTTTTTTTTTATTATTTAAAAAAAAAAAAAAAAAAAAAAAAAAAAAATTTACCCACGGCTAACCTAAATAAGGTGACCTTACCCCCCCCAACGACAAAAAATGTCAAATTTTGAAATTTCGGGACCAAAAAAAAAAAATTATACATTTATCAGCCGTTAATTCTTTTGACATTTTGTACTTCGCTCCTTTATATCTTTATCGCCTCTCATCTGTGTATTGTATACACAGCTTCAATTCTGTCAGGGGAGTAATGTAGCGGCTCTTACATTCGCCCTACTTTTACCGTACAGTCATGTCTCCAGTATTTTTCCATCACGTCGGGGTCACCAATGTAGTGATATAAACGCTTTCAAATATCCATTCACATTACCTCACACACTCATATCACTACATACCTTTCATCCATGTAATGTAATACGGTATACCTCAGTCACACCGCCAAACCGATCCACTCCAAAGTCCAAACCCACTGCCTTTCGCCATTGGGGGTATTGTAATTGTTTGATCGGTCTTCTGTCAGGCTCGTTCTTGTGACTTGGGTATAAAACTTGAAAAAAACCTTCAAAAATGTATCTCCATGATCCCTACTTATAGTGCAAGTTCAACAGCCTAGGCGTCACATATATATTGCAATGGGCGATCATGACAGTGACATGTTACGCACTCAGAGCATGATATTCAGTGGCGTATTGGAGTTGAATTCTTGAAAGTCTGTACGACCATAGTCATAACAATCCAATTAAATTCAATTTATTTATGTTTCCAACAAAACATTTCAAATAAATCATAAACATTTACAACAATTTAGGAATAGATTTTGGAAACAGAGGGGTCACTAAAGAGCAATGCTTGTTCAATTATTGTGGACCCCTCAAATGATACTTAGGAATAATGAGTAATTTAATTCACAAATTCGTAACTACAAAAAAGGAACTACATGATAGGGGGAAAGGGGACAAGACAGTACTTTACGAAGATCGGAGAGCACGGTCACAATACAAAGAGTAGACAATGTCAAAAAAGCAGTGAGAGATCGGGGGTACAGAAATGATATAAAAAGAATGAGCTGCATGTGGGGTTGAGAAGAAGATGAGGAAAGACAAATGCGCATTAAAAAGGAGATAAGCATATTATGATAGGGCACAATATAGTATATCAAATTACATTTTGAGTCAGCTAGTAGAGAATGATCTTGTATTCACTTAAAGGGATAGTTGAGTTCTGTTGCAGAGGGCGCTTCACAAAATATTTTTTTGTGTGAGATAATGAAAAACTGAGTGTCAAATTTGAAAGAACATAATATTTAAATGACAAAATCATCTTTGTTTGATCAAAATCGGTTTAGAGACGGCTGAACTTTAACAATTTCTAATATTTGTGTACCACCCAGGGGCGTACGCAGGGGGGGGGGGGTGTTTTGGGGGTTCAAACCCCCCCCCCTTTGGTATTTTAATGTATGTAACCCCCCCTAAAAAAACCTAAAACCCCCCCCCCCCCCCCTTTGGTTTTTTATTTTATTTTATTTTTTTTTTTATTATTTTAAAAAAAAAAAAAAAAAAAAAAAAAAAATTATACCCACGGCTAACCTAAATAAGGTGACCTTACCCCCCCCCAACGACAAAAAATGTCAAATTTTGAAATTTCGAGACCAAAAAAAAAAAATTATACATTTATCAGCCGTTAATTCTTTTGACATTTTGTACTTCGCTCCTTTATATCTTTATCGCCTCTCATCTGTGTATTGTATACACAGCTTCAATTCTGTCAGGGGAGTAATGTAGCGGCTCTTACATTCGCCCTACTTTTACCGTACAGTCATGTCTCCAGTATTTTTCCATCACGTCGGGGTCACCAATGTAGTGATATAAACGCTTTCAAATATCCATTCACATTACCTCACACACTCATATCACTACATACCTTTCATCCATGTAATGTAATACGGTATACCTCAGTCACACCGCCAAACCGATCCACTCCAAAGTCCAAACCCACTGCCTTTCGCCATTGGGGGTATTGTAATTGTTTGATCGGTCTTCTGTCAGGCTCGTTCTTGTGACTTGGGTATAAAACTTGAAAAAAACCTTCAAAAATGTATCTCCATGATCCCTACTTATAGTGCAAGTTCAACAGCCTAGGCGTCACATATATATTGCAATGGGCGATCATGACAGTGACATGTTACGCACTCAGAGCATGATATTCAGTGGCGTATTGGAGTTGAATTCTTGAAAGTCTGTACGATCATAGTCATAACAATCCAATTAAATTCAATTTATTTATGTTTCCAACAAAACATTTCAAATAAATCATAAACATTTACAACAATTTAGGAATAGATTTTGGAAACAGAGGGGTCACTAAAGCGCAATGCTTGTTCAATTATTGTGGACCCCTCAAATGATACTTAGGAATAATGAGTAATTTAATTCACAAATTCGTAACTACAAAAAAGGAACTACATGATAGGGGGAAAGGGGACAAGACAGTACTTTACGAAGATCGGAGAGCACGGTCACAATACAAAGAGTAGACAATGTCAAAAAAGCAGTGAGAGATCGGGGGTACAAAAATGATATAAAAAGAATGAGCTGCATGTGGGGTTGAGAAGAAGATGAGGAAAGACAAATGCGCATTAAAAAGGAGATAAGCATATTATGATAGGGCACAATATAGTATATCAAATTACATTTTGAGTCAGCTAGTAGAGAATGATCTTGTATTCACTTAAAGGGATAGTTGAGTTCTGTTGCAGAGGGCGCTTCACAAAATATTTTTTTGTGTGAGATAATGAAAAACTGAGTGTCAAATTTGAAAGAACATAATATTTAAATGACAAAATCATCTTTGTTTGATCAAAATCGGTTTAGAGACGGCTGAACTTTAACAATTTCTAATATTTGTGTACCACCACAAATATTAGATATTTTGAAAAATTTGCAAAAACCGTTGAAAAAAACGAAATAACTAAACGCCTTTACGTCGTATTTTAGCCAATGCCGATGTTGGCTTTTTTGTTGGCATTTTCGTGTTGCATTATTACGCTCAACCAGCCGGCCCATGTATTTTATTTTTTATTAAACAATTAATTAACGGTCACCGTGTTTTTTTAAAGTGGAGCTGAATTGGTATGGTCGTATTGGCTAAATTTCACACATTTTGGGGTCTAAAATTACCTTCATAGCAATTTTATGTTCTAAAAAGGGCACTATAAAATTGTCATAGATAAGAATAAGAGCAATAACCATGCGCTTTGAAGGCATTTGCGGTAAAAAAAAACAGAACTTATAATTGTCACTTGCAGGGTTGGACGAGCAGAGAACCTACCGGCGGCCGACTCATCGGTGGACATCATCACTTCGGCCACCGCTGGTCATTATTTCAACTGGGATATCTTCGGAAAGGAGGTTGAGCGTGTCCTGAAACCGAACGGTTGCCTCGTCGCATTGTACTATGATTTATTCTACATCGAACACCATGATGAAGGCGTGGCAAAGAAATTGGCCGAGTGCATTGAATCGCATATGGACTATGTAAGATGATTCCCTTTCTGATTTATGATAAAGATTATAATGATTACGATGATGCCGGTAGGACAAATTTCGACAAACAAAACTAAAAAAAAAACATAATACACACCTCTATTTGTTGATTTGAAGAATAATATTTCCTTTGTGAAATCATTGATAATACTATTATCAATCAGTTGCATATCTAATTGGAAAATGGCATAAGACTTTCGGATTGTCTGTCTATATACTTTATCTGTCAATCTATATGCCTTCCATTCTCTCTCTCTCTCTCTCTCTCTCTCCCTCTCTCTCTCCCCCCTCTCTCTCTCTCTCCCTTATCTATGTCTCTCTCTGTATCTCTCTGTCTCTATCTGTCTGTGCCTCTATGTCCTTCTTTCTCTCTATTATCATATTTTGTAATCCCGTTTATGATCTTACAGATTACAAACTCTGTACTGAGAAAAGGTACTCCAGATGTTTGCCTAACGTACAGAGATTGGTGCAAGGAACGTCTTCCACTGTCATACGCTGACCAGGAAAGGTATGTGTACAATTTTTTTAAAAAAGTAAAACGAGAATAAAGGTTCGTCCAGACACGACACAGTATAAAACCGCCGCAAAAAAGCCGCCGCGTTTTTTAAATTTTGTTATGCGTAAATAAATGGCAACTGCTCGCAACAAAAACCCGGCGCGTTTTCACTGAGCTCAGTGTTATAAGATACAGAAAGTAATGTGAAGCGTTTTGCCCTTAGGGCAATTCCACGGTAACGGAAGGACACTCAGACAAGATTTTTGAACTTCAGGTTCATACTAAAAGAACTGTTTTATTAGTATAAGATGTGAAACAGTACAGATATAATACCTATATAAGTGCCTTTAATTCTCCTCAAAAAAATTGTCATTATAGTTAAGTAGTTTAAGAATGTGCATATTAATTATCTCGGTAACGGAAGGACATAAAAATGGACATGGTTTTTCCAGTTAATTAGTGTTTATCCAAACTTTGTGAAGTTGATGAAGCTTTCCACTTGACTGAAACACATTTTGTTCCCCATAGTTTAATACATACTAATAAAACATTTCTTTTAGTATGAACCTGAAGTTCAAAAATCTTGTCTGAGTGTCCTTCCGTTACCGTGGAATTGCCCCTTACCTAGCCTTGACTTCATCATAAAAAAACCAAATCCGCGTCACATCTGAACGAGGCTCACAATTATACCATTTTTTTCTTCAATGCCTAATGCATACTTTGGGTTATTCCTAGCAAGCTCCCGCGTGTTTTGTTTTATAATGCAATGGATATTTTTTAACAGAAATAATTACTTTTGTTTGACGAATAAGTCAAATCGGTTTATGAATAGTTATTGATCATGTTAATGTTTTACGATAAAATTTACAGTATTTTGACAAGGCCAAGGAACTAGAGCGTCAGTTTGTGTTCATCGAATAATTTTTTTTTTTTATGGTCAGTTTTTATTCTTTTCTCTCTTGAAACAAATTATAATCATAGTACAAATTACAATCATCATATGTAACTCTCACTGCAAATGTGATGACATTATAAATCAGTATAAATTTTTGTCTTACAAACGGCTTCAAAAGAAACTTACATAGTTAGTTCCTATACATCATATTTGAAACAAAAATTCATATTTTCAAAGAAAACATATGCAGTTGTATAATCCAAATTTTTTTTGTTTTAACAATGTAGCAACTTATACTTCTTTTTATACTGTTGTCCTGAGAGAAAAGTTTTCTCTTTTTGTTAACCCTACCCTACCCGACCTCTCCCTTATCCCCACCCCCCCCCCCCCTCTTAACCGGTGGACGACTGGCTCTGGGTTCCAATTGTTTGTCTAATACTCAGGTTTTCCCATTTAGAAAAATGAATAGTGAGAGTTCCCCTCATTGCTGCCAATTTCCTTTCTTCTACTTTATCCCCTATTATACTATTCTTTATTATTTCATTAAAAGAAGGTGGTTTTTTAAGTTCTCTATTTCTATAAATCAGATATTTAACAAGAATTAAAACATGATTCATTAATTGATATTTTCCTTTATTTCTCTTCTCTTTCCCATACAGAATTTCCTCCAAACTACAGTTATGTATTTCAAAGTCTAAAAATCTCGTGCACATTTCCCACACTAATTGTGCAAATTCACAAGTATAGAATAAATGTTTATATGTTTCTTCATAAAGAACCATTTAATCGATTCAGAAATCGATCGAGCAATATATTACCCGGTCAAACACTCAGTGTAGAGCAGAAGATAAAAAAAAGTTTTTTTTTTTTTTTTTTTTTTTTAATTTCAGGATCGAAATGACGATGAAAAAGACCATGAATCTACGAGAGTTTATTGAGTTTCATAAAACTTGGGCTTACTTTATCAAACTACACAACGAAGACCCGGATGCTACACTTGCTCACTTTGAAAAATTCGAAAAGAGGTAATATATATATATTTTAATGAACATCAGAGCCCCTATCGCCAAAAATAGTACGATTCTGATTGGTTAATGTTCTGCCTTTTAAATAATATGTGCGTGCAACTATGATTTTGATCGGACTTTGAAATTTTTCAATCGCTCGCAAACCTTTATGTTACGGGGCCTTATTGATAGTAAGAATCAAGGAATTTATCAGGAGCGGTATTTGATGATGATGATGACGATGATGGCGATGATGACGATGATGATGATGGTGATATTAATATTAGTAGCAAGAAGAGCAGCAGCAGTAGCAGCAGTAGTAGTAGTAGTAGTAGTAGTAGTAGTAGTAGTAATATAGATAATAATACAAATATTAATAATATAGATATTAATAATGATAATAATATTATTATTATTAATTATAAATCTTAATATTAATCATGATCATAATAATAAAATCTTAATAAAATAATCATAATAACGCATAATGATGATAGCAATGCTATGACACTACTTTTTGTATTTTTCATACCAGAAAGAGAAAAACAAATAGAGCTCCGACTGAAATCTCAATTGATCTAAACACTTTTCAGCTTTAAGATTTCAAATAATTATACTTATAAATTTAATTATCAACATTTCTTATGTCTTGTTCTTCTTTTTCAATACATTTGTCTGTATGTTATGTTGTTATATTTTTATTTACCTCTCCCTCTTTCTCCCTCGTCGTTCTTTCTCTCACCATCATCATTATCTGGCACGTGTAGTTTGATGGAGCTCTTAGATGGAGTTGATCCAGAGACAACACGACTCGATGTCTGGGCCCCTGTCTTCCTGCGATTCGCTAGGAAGCCATAGGATCATTACGGGTTATACAGTGCGTCCCAGAAAAAACGAAACTGAGAATTGTCGATGTTTTATAATAACTTAATTTCTAGAAATTTGATTTTTCTATTTGAAATTCAGATACCGTCCGCCAAATGACTTTTTGGTTCCCTCTCTTCAAATTGATTTTAATCACTCATGCGTGAAATATGCATCATAATAGTTGCATCAAACGAAAAAGGAGAATCTAATTGTGAATAAGTTATGATAAAACATCGATAATTCTCGGTTTCTTTTTTTCTGGGACGCACTGTTTATACCCCTTGGTGCACCTGAAGTTCTCGAGTCAACTATATTTGCTGCTATACCTAATCTCGGGAAGTTATATACGTATTATGTACCCATGTATTAGTGATGCACCCTGATAAAACACACCCCAAGTTCTGCTTCAACGTGTTTTTATTCATGCATATACTGCCAGAGGTCGGATGATCATTCGATATCATTTATATCAAACGCTGGATGAATATATATCTCATAAATTGCAATACTGCTCGATATTTTAGTAATTGTAGGTATTATCCTGCAAGAGTTTTGTCTTCCAATTAACATCTCTTATTGTTATTTTAAATGTCAATGTAATTGCTAATTAAGACGAAAGCTTCTGAATAATAAGAGAGGTAGACAGTTGAGCTTCTTGGGTCATGTTTTACAAAAGGTTGGTTTGGAAAGTCTTGCACTGACTGGAAGAATCGAAGGGAGGAGGAGTAGGGGTAGAAGGATGATTCTGTGGATGAGTAGCTTTAAGGATTGGGATTTCTGAAAGTGGAATCGATCTCGGGGAGAATGAATTACTTCATAGAATATGGTACAGAGAGTTGTGGCACTCCATGGTCGCCAAATTCTCATGACATGGCACGTAGAGAGTTATTGCTAATTTTGATATTACTGTGCATACTACTGTATTTTATCAAATTTCTATGTACTATATTTGAATGTATTTTTTCATATTTTTAAAATTCAAATTATTTCAGCCTCTGGCTACTAACTTTAAATGTATATTTTTAATCAGTAAACCAGTTCATATAAAATCAAAGTAATACCCATCAGGCACACCGACGGGAGGTGAGCACTAATTTTATGCACGTGCCCCCCCCCCCCCCTAGATCCGCCACTGACGTATACGTATTTACTTATACGTAAATGCTTATACTTAAAATAAACGAATTGTAACAATATATGAGTTTCTGAGAGTGTCAACTCTGGAATCGAACATATTTAAATCGTTGATCATATGTTTGGGGTGTTGAAGGAAGGATGAGAAGACATGCTATGTATACATTAATGAAGAACGGATGGGAATTAATTAATGATTACTTACCCAACAAGTTTCAAAATGGACCAAGAAAGTTGGCAAAGTTAAAAAATAGTAATACCATATGATGCATGCCTTCCTGGCAACTCGCACAAACTCTCAACTGTAAGGATTCTTCATAGTAGCGTGCATTAAATATACTTTTTCCCGTTAATTATATCCCTTTTTTCATTCAATATCATACTTTTTAAAGTCAATTTTGTCCCGAAACTTCGTCATCCTGCACATCTGATGATAACATTTTGTCTTCGGTCGTTCATTTCGAACTTAGTCCAATCAAATTCACCATTTTGCATCCATTTAAAAGTAAAACCAAGGTCGTCATTCCCGAGTGCTAACGAATAATTGCATAAATAAATTTCGCCATTTTGCAATTAATTTTGACGGCGTCATTCATATTCGTCACTCTTGTCATTTCTACTTGAAAATTGCTCCGAGTGTGTGTTTGTGTGTGAGGGTTGGTGTATTCAAGGGCGTATTTAGGGGGGGGGGATGTTTTGGTGTTTTGACTTAATAGCGACCATTCGTCCAAAGCCCCCCCCCCCCGGTTTTGCCGAAAGGGTGTGTTTAATAAAAATATAGAGAAGCAGAACTAAATAATGCCAGAGGTAAAAATGCCAATGGAAAAAATGCCAGTGGCAATATAACCGTGTAAAAGACTGCAAAGCTCCCCTTCTTTTCTGTTTTACCTCATCAAGGTGCCCTCATGTCCTAAGTTTGTTTGGCTGTAAAAGGAAATCTCTCTCACGGAGGCACTCCATAACTACCTTCTGTAAGTTTGTTTTGAAAAGGCAACAGATTCCAAGTTTTCAGGCTCTCGTACTTCTCATCACTTTTTATCTCATATTTTCAGGTTCTCAAGTTTCTCCAAGTGCTCACATCAATAGACAAAGAAAGGGAACCAGGGCCCTGTTTCATAAAACTCAATACCAATAACAAGTTATAAGCTACTGTTAAAAGTTACTGAATCCCCGCATCTGATTGGCTGAGAACACATTTGTCATAGGAATTTAGCAGTTGTTATAGATAACAAGTTTTGTGAAACGGGGCCCAGGGCCCTGTTTCATAAAACTTGTCATCAAGTAATGACAAGTTACAATAACGGTTGTGAGCTACTGAAATCGTGGCATATGATTGGCTGAGAGCAATAGAAGCATGGTCATTTACTTCGAATGTGCAATACAACGCTGATTATGATATTTTTAAAATACTCAAATTGGACGGGGACACCCCCATCTTCCTCCTTTCTCGCTCTGTACATCCATAGTTTTGACCCTTTCGTCTAAATCGTGAGAAACACAGGTACACATTAATTTCGCTGTTAAACGATATTATATTCCTTTGACACAGCATTTTACACTGATAATGTGAACTTTCATACGACAACCATACATCAAGTAGTAACAAAATGCCACTGACTGCATAATTTACATAAATGTGCATAAATGTATCAATAAAGCATTAAGCTTTTCCACAATCCTTTGTTTTGGTTTGTTTAACAATTTTAACACAACCGAGAACACAAAAAGTTCTGTTACATATAAAATCATTGATTTTGATCACATAATAATTACAAACAGTACATTGAAATACATGTAGCACCAACAACAAATATATAACAAGTCATTACATTAAAGGGACTTAGTAACATTGTTCAGATGAGAGATAGTGGTGCTATGGTAGTGACTTCAATGCTAGATGTACGATTAAAGATTATCTGAAAATGTGGGTGAAAACGGACCATTATTCATGGTACAAATTGAGAAAAACTGATCTGATCGATTCCTTAATTCTCCCAACTATATTATTACAATTTAATTAAATTTTAGGGGAATGGAAATCTCACAAAGCAATAAAATGGCTCTATATTCCATTCCCGACATTTAAGTGTTGACAGATTTTGTATAGCCTGTTTTAAATCTTTTTTTTCATGGAAAAACGGTTGAGAAAATTCAAAAATGGTTGGGAGAATTTACTGTTAATCATTGTTAGAGGGTGTCGTACATCGACGCCTTCAAAGAAAACCATAGATATCTTCGTGGTTTGAGAACTACTACTACTACTACTACTACTACTACTACTACTACTACTACTTATACTACTACTTCTGCTGCTGCTACTATTAAAACTACAACTGATACTACCACTTTATATGACTGATAACCATCACACGTATCTCTAGGTTCCTACATGACTGTTATGCTACTCGTTTGGGATCAAGTCATTCGTCCTTAGATTAATGGTCAGATTTTTGGTCAATTCTTCCCAGAAATAATCCTGTTCTCTCACGTCCTCAGTCCAGTGAATATAGGGCCTGCCATCACTGAGATACAGCCTCGCCAAGAATGGCATTTCATCATCTGGGATGTCTTCGAGGAAGACCACAACTACGAATTCAGTCAGAGTGTCACTCACGTGGTCCATGGCCGTCCGGAACTTGAGTATGAACCAGTGGTCGTGCACAGCAGCTCTGCTAAGCAGTATGACGGTCTTGTAACTATGGCTCACCACGTAATCGACGGAATCTAAGTAATGCATATCCAACACAAGGTCTTCGTCACCAACGACGTTCCTCTGAAACTGTGGAAGCCGTTCTTCGAGAGCCGGTCGAAGCTGTTCGCGAATCCATTCTTCGTCATCGTCGTAGAAAATGATGTTCACGTCAAACTCGTAGTCATTGTGGTCTCGAGCGTCTCGCATCTCTTTGTACCCACATGCGGCCAGTCTCAGGAGAAAAAGCTTGTACCTCAACTGCCATCGGTAGTGATACAATAGCACGCTGATTACAACCAAGCTAATGGAGATGAGGGGAATCAGAGAATAAAGACTATTGTTTATCTTACAGAGTTCATTTGGATCAAAATCCATCAGGGGTTTCTTGCGAAGAGGCTCCAGAGATGCTGACGAACAGATAGTTTTATCCCTTTTTTTCAGGCGTATAGGTCCATTTAACCAATCAATGAGCCACTTTAGTTCACAGTTACATTCAATTGGGTTCATTGATAGATCAAGTGATGAAATGGAGGAAAAGATTGGCTTAAAAGTGCTTTGATAAACGCGCGTTAGTCTGTTGTTGGCCAAGGACAGATTTGTGAGATTCCAGTTACTTGAGAACATTAGCTCCTCCAAGTACGCGATATCGTTTCCTTTAAAGTTAATACTTTTTATTTGACCCAACCTCGACAAAACATCATCGTGAATATGCTGGATGTTGTTTCCTTTCAAACTCAACTTCTGAAGCGATTCCAACCCAGAGAAAACAAGAGGATGTAGATATCCAATTTTGCAATAATCTAGATTTAGCTCTTGTAAAACAGAGAGTTGCCCGAATATCCCTGGCGGTAGATCACTTCCCAAACTCAGGTAACGGTTACGACTCAAGTCCAAATGAATAAGATCCAATAAACCATCGAAGAGAGATGCGTTTGCATTTGTATTCCATAGGTTTATCAGGTTAAGCAAAGAGTCTTTCATGTTTAAATTAACGAGAGATTGTAAATGTCGAAATGATTCTCCTGGTCGCAAAGGAAGCAATTCTGAACGAAGATAGTTTAGGGAAAGTGATCTTAATATTGGGGTGTACAATTCCAGAACAGTTATACAACTATCACACAAATCAATGATTTGAATATTTTCAAGTCCCGAAAAGGCCGTCAGCTCAAAAACAGAAAGGTATCTGTTCCTGCTCATGTCTAGGAAAGTCAAATTTCCTAAACCACGAAATACAGATGCAGATATTTTTGTAAATAGATTACCGGATAAGTCAAACTCCGATAAGTCCACTGTCCAAGTCTGATTGTGAGGATTAATTTGTCTCACTCGGTTGTCGGTGATTGTAAGGACCTTTAATGCATTCATTCCCTCGAAAAAGTCTGGTTGAATTTCATCTATGGGGAGTTTGTTATCAGTGATGGTAAACTCTCTGAGTTTTGTCAAATTTGAGAAGACTAAAGGATGGAAGCTATTCAGTTCGTTAAATACTAAGTCCAGAACAGAGAGCGAAGAATCGCGCAGTGGATCAAAAAAACCTTTAGGAAACGCACCAACGGATCCTTCCATGATCGTGAGCACTTCGATGTCTGATTTTGAGATTCCGAGGATGATGTTCGCCAACACCTCGTCACTTAAAGGGTAGCCACCTAGCACCAAATAGCGAACACGTAGTGATGCGATCACATCAGGGTCTACTGATTGGATGGGGTTTTCCCTAATATTTAGAGTATCAGTGTGGCACTCGAAGGTGAATTTTTCAGCCGTAAGGTGTTGTAGTCGATTACCAGTCATGAGTACAATGTCGGCCTTGCCACAAGAACTTACATTGATGAAGGAGAGCTGGTTGTAGAACAGACGTGCAGTATCTAGATTTAGACTCCACTTTAGAATGTCATTGGGGAGCGATTTCAAGTTTGATGCCGTTAAATCGAGAATGGAAAGCTGTGACGACATCATAAAGACGCCTGTTGCTGGAAGCACAAGACCCCAGTTGAAGGAAAGAGACAGGTACAGTAAGGCCTTAAGGGGGTAAAAAGCGGCGGATTCTATCGCTCTTACATCGTTGTGAGAAATGTCCAAGGAGTTGATTAGAGGATATAATTCAAACGAGGAGTTCAAGAGTTTTGTGATATTGTTATGAGACAGGTCAAGCACCTCGGTATCCCCAGATAGACCCGTGGGAACCAATCCCAGACCTTTATTGCTGCAAGAAGCATTTTTCTGTTCAAGGTTCTGATCGCATCCATGGAAAGATTGATCCATGTCCAGTCTTAAGGATGTCATCGCCGAATCTCCATCGTGTCGATATAAAGATTGGAAGGACGAGCTGACGAGGAGACAAGCGACGAGCAATGGGGACAAGATTGAGCCGTTTGCCATGACTTTGATATAATTTGATCAAAGGTACACCGCTGTCGGATGATAATATATCGATCTTGAATATATGCTAACACAAGCTCATAGAAACATAACCAAATTGGTATTCTTTGCTGCAGACGGTCAGCCTGATTTTAAGCTGTGAAAAGGCGCTCGGAATCAGAATTGTACAATGTTTATTAATCAATGACTACAAATAGTTGTAAAGGTCAACAGGAAAAGCACATCATCTTGTCTTAAAGTTCCTCAAAAAGATCGCCTTTCCTAAGTTGGTTCTCAACTATTTATACTTATAGTATCTTCGTGTAAAAATGATTTGATATATATTTTTTCATCTGTACGAGGAAAATGACATTTATTCTGTCGTTATTTTACATCCTATGAGCAGCCATTTCCCATTAACCTTTACACATCTCAGGAAATCTGAAAGAAATGTCATGGTTTACAAACAAAAATAGATCCTCAAGCAATTATGAACGTTGTTCATACAGTGAATATCACGTCACTGATATAAAAAGACCCTACGAATGAGGAAGTTGGTATTTATTATTCTTAACATCTTATGTAATTTTTATCTATTAACTTCTAGCTCCCCCCCCCCCCCCCAAGCTCTACATCTCATATTCACAAAAAAGATCGATGACTGTATGACCAGTTAACTTTTCCTTTTGTCAATAGAAAATGTTACCAACATAAATGCAGCATTGTCTGGATGATCTAATGATAATTCAACTCATAATTTATGACATGCTCAAATCCTTAATCAATTTCAATTATCTACATTTGCCTCTACATACCCAGGAGAATTAGGAAACCTTGTAGGACGTCAAAGGCCTTTGTTTTAGTCATTGCCACATCCAGCTCTCACATTAACCTTAATTTTATGGTAGGAATAATCCCCAGGGAGTGGAGATGGTGCACACAGTGTGTATTTAAGAATCCGACGACCGGGGTAATAATGATATAATATTATCTAAAGTGACTCGTTCGTTCGTGTCTCCTTAGATCAAGATAGTTATGTAAAGTTCCTTAATTAAAATTAAATTAAATTAAATTAAGTTCTTCCATCGCCCGATTGCTGCAATGGCCGTTTCATTAACAAGGGCCAGGTCTTCATCTGTGCAATCCCGTTTCGCCGCACTGCAATATGTGGTCCATCGTCTGAGTCTCTCCGCAGTCGCAGAGAATATCTCCTTCATGGGCATAACCCCATCTTGCCATATTGACCTTACACCGTCCTATTCTCGTCCTCATTCGGTTTAGGCATTACCACTCCGGCCACTTCAGGTTAAGCCCTTCAATGAGTACGGGCTTGGCTGATGGTGGAGGATTCTGTTCAGGTGGTGGGACAGAATCAAGGAAGCTGTGTCGGGATATAAGTCGTTTGTGGGGTTGTAAGTATCCGTGTAGCGTGTGTCTGTCGCCTGCTTCATCCGTTCCTTTAGGCAGGTGTTAGTGCGCCTTTGGTTAGGAGATCCAATGCCAGCGAGGTGATATATCTCCTCAACTTTTGTCGGTTTCAGGCAGCCTGTTATCTTTCGATATGTGTTATTGAGTGTGGTGTCAAGCTTCTTCACATGAGCTGATCTGCTCCAAACTGGGCAAGCATATTCTGCGGATGACATGCAGGGCAACAGCTGCAGTTTGTACAGTTTTGGGGTCAGCGCCATAGTGTGAAGATGCTACATATAGCTTCCCGATGATGGCATTTCGAGATTCTACTTTGTCTATTGTCTTTTCGATGTGTTTCTTAAAGGAAAAAGTGCGATCGAGTTTTACACCTAGATACACTGGATGCTCGCAGTGGTTTAGCTGCACACTGTTCCACTTTAGCTTCAGTTCTCTCTTTGCCTCCCTGTTCTTCAAGTGGAAAACACACACCTGAGTCTTGGATGGGTTAGCCCGTACCCCGTAGGTAGTTTGCTCTGTAGTATTCCGAAAGGCTTGCAAGCGCTGTGTTGAAATGGAGTTCAACAGCTTCGAAGGTACTATGCTGGGCTGTGACTAAAGCTACTGGAAACAGTATATTCCGTATCAAGCATTATAATTCAGATTTATCATTTGTGTGTAACAAATAGATTTAAAGGAAAATGGGAAACTTTGAAACATGTTTATGTCGTGTAATATATATTAATCATATGTGAAGAACATTAGTGTTGTGTCAGGGATCGAACCCATGGCCTTTGTATATCCAGTCAAATACTCAATCTCGCAGGAGATAAGGATGGGGAGAGTAAGATGGTACGGTCATGTTGATAGGAGAGAGAAAAGCCATTGGCTTAAGAGAGCAACGAACTACCAGAATGCTGGCTCAAAACCATGTGGTAGACCTCGCAAAACCTGGAAAAAGACATTAGCGTATTTGATATAAGAGCATTTGACCTCACCCAGACAGATGCTGAAGACCGTAAGGTTTGGAGAAGTGCCATAAGGGAAAGGATACATCTGATCTCACAGCATAGGCAAAATGGACTCTAAACAATTTTGTTTCATAGATATCAACCAACAAACATAGCTATTTAAAACTTATTATTGTTTAAATATGACACCAGTTGTGGGTTGTCAAAGTCAGTGAGAAGACATGGGTTCCTGTTATAGCACACTCGTTCAGAACAAGCACAACCGTCTGAATGTGAGCACATGATGATGCTGCTGCTGCTGCTGATGATGATATCCTTAACTGCGTATACCCTCTCAGCCATTATCGATCTCCCTTCCTCTACAAATAATCTTCTACTTGAATAGATGGTATTTTGCTTTCATTTGGCTGTTTGAAGCATTGATTAACATTTACAAAGGTAAGTCTATTCCTGATACAGCCCTGTAAAACAAAGCTTAGCAACTGATTGTATGATTGATTTTTACGGTAGATTGCAGATAATGATTAATGTAATAAATTACAACAATTAATACTACGATGAAGAGCAAGGCTTTGTGTTAACTGCATCTGTAGCCTGATAATGATACTGATGATAGTGAATGAGAATATTAAGAAGACAATTCTGATGACAGTATAGTAGCGCGACTATACTACTACTACTACACACAGAGAAAAGTAGGTGTAAATTGACTCCAAATAGGGAGTAACTGCTTGTCACATAAGTAACACCCCAGGGAGTAAATTTAATCCCAAATGTAGGGAGTAAATAATTTTTGTTTCATAAGAAGGTGTAAATTTGCACCCCAAGGTTATGATTGTACTCCCTTTAAGGAGTGAAATTTGCACCCAATGGTGCTCATTTAACACCTTTTGGTTCCAATTTCATGAAAAATGGGTTCAAATTTACACCCGTGGCGTTGAATTTTATACCCTTTATGATCGTGGGGAGTAAATCTACACCCTTTTTATGCACAGCATCAACCAAGTGATCATCCCTCGAGTAATCATCCATGCTTCGTAATCACCTACAGTCACATATGGAAACGTTTGCTTGTATTTGTATCATAAAAGAAGTTGATCACAAACTGACTCCCACACGGTGTTGAGTGCTCAGGGGTCACAGGTCACGGGCTTCATTGGGCAGGTAGTTCCATTATGTGAATGGGTAAATTAACTATTACAAAATGAGGGGACACATTACATTGTACAATAGGGACACACATTGTTTTTATTGTGCAGAACATACTCTTTTATTGACTTACTTATTGCATGAAACTATAAAACCAAAATGCATTTTGTATTCTAACAATTGGAGTGCAAAGAATAATAACAGGTGAATGAAATGCATAAACACCACAAACACCTGGGGAGGAAGCATTCATAAATTTGAATACATATAGTTAATAAACGACTCCGATGAAACTATAAAACCAAAATGAAATTTGCGTTCTGGCAATTGGAGTACAAAGAATGATAGAAGGTGAATGAAATGCTTCAACAGAAACACAAACACCTGGGAAGCTAGGAAGCTTCCATACATTTTAATAATTTAGTTGATAAACGACTCCGCATGTGGACGTTTGTGTTGGAGCAGAAAGCAGTGGATTCTTAACAACACGAACCCATTTAACAGAATGTCGAAACGTAAATTAAATTTGGCGCGGTTGGAAAATGCATCTTTCTACCCTGCGACTTGAATGATATGATCCAGTAAAATAAAACAGTAAAATGGCTCTTATTTTAAAATTACTCATTAAATAACACCCAAAACTTCAGTGATATCAGAAAAAATATGTTAAATCTTACTAATAGTTAAAAAAATATGTATAAACTTTGTGAAAGTGTCGCATTTTACGATAAAAGACGCCGATTTAGCGAAGATGACGTCATTAGTGCGCTTGCATCAAGGAAATTCAAGGTCAAAAGGTCAATTCAGACACTGATAAGTTATTGGTCGAGTCTTTTTGTTTCCTTTATTCCGACAAAATTACACAATCAATCAAAACAAGTTTAATACCAAAAGAAAGCTAACGATTAGTATTTTCATTAACCGCTTGCCCCAAAGTCGCTTGACCACAGTGAAAGGACTGAGAGCTTGCGAGAGCGGCCAAAGTGTGATTGAAACTCGCTATTTGCTCTTCTCCAACGCAAAAAGGGACGACATTGTGCTGGATAAATGTATTTTTTCCGACAAAAGTACAGAAAATTTGCATATGGTCTTTTTATATTTTACTTTATGAAATGTTACCCGAGTGAATTCCGGGCGCCCCAACGCTGGGAAGTAACGCACATTTTAGAAAACTTCACTTTTTCATGGAAAAATGCTTATTTGTTCTATGCACGCAAGTCAGATTGAGCGGATGATACAACGTTTCCATATGTGATTCTCACCCTTTTGTCTACGTTTCACTGCTCTAAAGAAATCAGACCAGAATGTCGAGTTATATGTTAAAAGGCTTTAATGCTTACCTAAACAACAATTAGTGTGAACTCAACACAAGTGCAGACTGTAAGAACTAACTTATGGCTGGACGTATTGGATCAAATGTAATAGAATTATCTAAACGCACAATCCTGCCTTACCGAATATCTTCCCTTTACTTACACGTATAAGAAGACAATTATGTACTAGTTAGTAAAACAACACTTCTGCTAATTTCATTAAATTATCAAATATAACCTTCGGTACAACCCCTTATTCTTGATCGGATAACTTTCACACAAATAATATGCCCAAATGAAACATGATAATTTTCCTCTAACATGACTAAAATATGTGAATTATGCTAATTTTTCTTCATAAGGCAGTACCTATATTGACACGATGCGCCATTGCTGTATCGCATGCGCATATGTACTGATCAACCAGAGCTCGTCTGACTAAAATAGGGTGTAACATTACATCCCTCAAATATACACCCTTGCATATTTCCGTGTTTCACTCCCTAAAAGGTGTAATGAGGGGCGTCCTATTTTTCAATTTTGTTTTACTCCCCTGTTTTGCTTACTTATTTTATTTCTCTGTGTGTACTATCACTACTACGTCTACTACTACTACTACTACTACTACTATACTACTACTACTACTACTACTACTACTACTACTACTACTACTAATAATAATAATAATACTGCTGCTGCTACTACTACTGCTACTACCACTACTACTATACTTTTACCAGTTTCGTTACTAAAAACTATCCCACGTATTTCTAGATTTGTACATGACTGTTATGCTACTCGTTTGGGATCAAGTCATTCGTCCTTATATTTATGGTCAGATTTTTGGTCAATTCTTCCCAGAAATATTCTTGTCCTCTCACGTTCTCAGTCCAGTTAATATAGGGCCTGCCATCACTGAGATACAACCTCGCCAAGAACGGCATTTCATCATCTGGGATGTCTTCGAGGAAGACCACAACTACGAATTCAGTAAGAGTGTCGCTCACGTGGTCCATGGCCGTCCGGAACTTGAGTATGAACCAGTGGTCGAGCACAGCAGCTCTGCTAAGCACGACGATGGTCTTGTAACTATGACTTACCACGTAATCGACGGAATCTAAGTAATGCATACCCAACACAAGGTCTTCGTCACCAACGACGTTCCTCTGAAATTGTGGAAGCCGTTCTTCGAGAGCCGGTCGAAGCTGTTCGCGAATCCATTCTTCGTCATCGTCGTAGAAAATGATGTTCACGTCAAACTCGTAGTCATTGTGATCTCGAGCGTCTCGCATCTCTTTATATGCAAATGCGACCAGTTTCAGGAGAAAAAGCTTGTACCTCAACTGCCATCGGTAGTGATACACCAGCACGCTGATAACAACCAAGCCAATGGAGATGAGGGGAATCAGAGAATAAAGACTATTGTTTATCTTACAGAGTTCATTTGGATCAAAATCCATCAGGGATTTCTTACGAAGAGGCTCCAGGGATGCTAACGAACAGATAGTTTTGTCCTCATTTTTCAAGCGTATAGGTCCATTTAACCAATCAATGAGCCACTTTAGTTCACAGTTACATTCAATTGGGTTCATTGATAGATCAAGTGATGAAATGGAGGAAAAGATTGGCTTAAAAGTGCTTTGATAAACGCGCGTTATTCTGTTGTTGGCCAAGGACAGATTTGTGAGATTCCAGTTACTTGAGAACATTAGCTCCTCCAAGTACGCGATATCGTTTCCTTTAAAGTCGATACTTTTTATTTGACCCAACCCCGACAAAACATCATCATGAATATGCTGGATGTTATTTCCTTTCAAACTCAACTTCTGAAGCGATTCCAACCCAGAGAAGACAAGAGGATGTAGATATCCAATTTTGCAATAGTCTAGATTTAGCTCTTGTAAAACAGAGAGTTGCCCGAATATCCCTGGCGGTAAATCATTCGTAAAACACAGGAGAGGGTTACTACTTAAGTCCAAATGAATAAGATCTAATAATCCATCGAAAAGAGATGCGTTTGATGTTGCATTCCATATGTTCATCAGGAAAAGCCGAGAGTCTTTCATGTCTAAATTAACAAGGGACTGTATATGTTGAAACGATTTTCCTTTTCGCAAAGGAAGCAAGTCTGAACGAAGAGAGTTTAGGGAAAGTGACTTTAATATTGGGGCGTTCAATTCCAGGACAGTTATACGACTTCCGGACAAAACAATAGTTTGAATGTGGTCAAGTCCCGAAAAGGCCGTCAGCTTAAAGACAGACAGATATTTGTTCCAGCTCATGTCTAAGACAGTTAAGTTTCCTAAACCGCGAAATACAGATGGAGATATTTTTGTAAATAGATTACCGGATAAGTCAAACTCCGATAAATCCACTGTCCAATTCTGATTGTGAGGATTCATTTGTTTTACTTGGTTGTATTTGATTGTAAGGACCTTTAATCCCTTCATGCCGTCGAAAAAGTCTGGGTGAATTTCGTGTATAGGGCGAACGTTATAACTGAAACTGAATTGTTTGAGTTTTGTCAAATTTGAGAAAACTAAAGAATGAAGGCCATTTAGGTCGTTGCTGTAGAATTCCAGAAAAGAGAGAGACGAATTGCGAAGAGGCTCAAATAAACCCTTAGGAAACGCACCAACAGATCCTTCCACGATTGTAAGCCGTTCGATGTCTGATTTTGAGATTCCAAGGATGATGTTCGCCAACACCTCGTCACTTAAAGGGTAGCCACCTAGCACCAAATAGCGAACACGTAGTGATGCGATCACATGAGGGTCTACTAATTGGATGGGGTTTTCCCTAATATTTAGAGTATCAGTGTGGCACTCGAAGGTGAATTTTTCAGCCGTAAGGTGTTGTAGTCGATTACCAGTCATGAGTACAATGTCGGCCTTGCCACAAGAACTTACATTGATGAAGGAGAGCTGGTTGTAGAACAGACGTGCAGTATCTAGATTTAGACTCCACTTTAGAATGTCATTGGGGAGCGATTTCAAGTTTGATGCCGTTAAATCGAGAATGGAAAGCTGTGAAGACATCATAAAGACGCCTGTTGCTGGAAGCACAAGACCCCGGTTGAAGGAAAGAGACAGGTACAGTAAGCCCTTAAGGGGGTAAAAAGCGGCGGATTCTATCGCTCTTACATCGTTGTGAGAAATGTCCAAGGAGTTGATTAGAGGGTATAATTCAAACGAGGAGTTCGAGAGTTTTGTTATATTGTTATGAGACAGGTCAAGCACCTTGGTATGCCCGGAGAGATTCTGGGGAACCGTATCCAGTCCTTTATTGCTGCAAGAAGCATTTTTCTGTTCAAGGTTCTGATCGCATCCATGGAAAGATTGATCCATGTCCAGTCTTAAGGATGTCATCGCCGAATCTCCATCGTGTCGATATAAAGATTGGAAGGACGAGCTGACGAGGAGACAAGCGACGAGCAATGGGGACAAGATTGAGCCGTTTGCCATGACTTTGATATAATTTGATCAAAGGTACACCGCTGTCGGATGATAATATATCGATCTTGAATATATGCTAACACAAGCTCATAGAAACATAACCAAATTGGTATTCTTTGCTGCAGACGGTCAGCCTGATTTTAAGCTGTGAAAAGGCGCTCGGAATCAGAATTGTACAATGTTTATTAATCAATGACTACAAATAGTTGTAAAGGTCAACAGGAAAAGCACATCATCTTGTCTTAAAGTTCCTCAAAAAGATCGCCTTTCCTAAGTTGGTTCTCAACTATTTATACTTATAGTATCTTCGTGTAAAAATGATTTGATATATATTTTTTCATCTGTACGAGGAAAATGACATTTATTCTGTCGTTATTTTACATCCTACGAGCAGCCATTTCCCATTAACCTTTACACATCTCAGGAAATCTGAAAGAAATGTCATGGTTTACAAACAAAAATAGATCCTCAAGCAATTATGAACGTTGTTCATACAGTGAATATCACGTCACTGATATAAAAAGACCCTACGAATGAGGAAGTTGGTATTTATTATTCTTAACATCTTATGTAATTTTTATCTATTAACTTCTAGCTCCCCCCCCCCCCCCCAAGTTCTACATCTCATATTTACAAAAAAGATCGATGACTGTATGACCAGTTAACTTTTCCTTTTGTCAATAGAAAATGTTACCAACATAAATGCAGCATTGTCTGGATGATCTAATGATAATTCAACTCATAATTTATGACATGCTCAAATCCTTAATCAATTTCAATTATCTACATTTGCCTCTACATACCCAGGAGAATTAGGAAACCTTGTAGGACGTCAAAGGCCTTTGTTTTAGTCATTGCCACATCCAGCTCTCACATTAACCTTAATTTTATGGTAGGAATAATCCCCAGGGAGTGGAGATGGTGCACACAGTGTGTATTTAAGAATCCGACGACCGGGGTAATAATGATATAATATTATCTAAAGTGACTCGTTCGTTCGTGTCTCCTTAGATCAAGATAGTTATGTAAAGTTCCTTAATTAAAATTAAATTAAATTAAATTAAGTTCTTCCATCGCCCGATTGCTGCAATGGCCGTTTCATTAACAAGGGCCAGGTCTTCATCTGTGCAATCCCGTTCCGCCGCACTGCAATATGTGGTCCATCGTCTGAGTCTCTCCGCAGTCGCAGAGAATATCTCCTTCATGGGCATAACCCCATCTTGCCATATTGACCTTACACCGCCCTATTCTCGTCCTCATTCGGTTTAGGCATTACCACTCCGGCCACTTCAGGTTAAGCCCTTCAATGAGTACGGTCTTGGCTGATGGTGGAGGATTCTGTTCAGGTGGTGGGACAGAATCAAGGAAGCTGTGTCGGGATATAAGTCGTTTATGGGGTTGTAAGTATCCGTGTAGCGTGTGTCTGTCGCCTGCTTCATCCGTTCCTTTAGGCAGGTGTTAGTGCGCCTTTGGTTAGGAGATCCAATGCCAGCGAGGTGATATATCTCCTCAACTTTTGTCGGTTTCAGGCAGCCTGTTATCTTTCGATATGTGTTATTGAGTGTGGTGTCAAGCTTCTTCACATGAGCTGATCTGCTCCAAACTGGGCAAGCATATTCTGCGGATGACATGCAGAGGGCAACAGCTGCAGTTTGTACAGTTTTGGGGTCAGCGCCATAGTGTGAAGATGCTACATATAGCTTCCCGATGATGGCATTTCGAGATTCTACTTTGTCTATTGTCTTTTCGATGTGTTTCTTAAAGGAAAAAGTGCGATCGAGTTTTACACCTAGATACACTGGATGCTCGCAGTGGTTTAGCTGCACGCTGTTCCACTTTAGCTTCAGTTCTCTCTTTGCCTCCCTGTTCTTCAAGTGGAAAACACACACCTGAGTCTTGGATGGGTTAGCCCGTATAGTTTGCTCTGTAGTATTCCGAAAGGCTTGCAAGCGCTGTGTTGAAATGGAGTTCAACAGCTTCGAAGGTACTATGCTGGGCTGTGACTAAAGCTACTGGAAACAGTATATTCCGTATCAAGCATTATAATTCAGATTTATCATTTGTGTGTAACAAATAGATTTAAAGGAAAATGGGAAACTTTGGAACATGTTTATGTCGTGTAATATATTAATCATATGTGAAGAACATTAGTGTTGTGTCAGGGATCGAACCCATGGCCTTTGTATATCCAGTCAAATACTCAATCTCGCAGGAGATAAGGATGGGGAGAGTAAGATGGTACGGTCATGTTGATAGGAGAGAGAAAAGCCATTGGCTTAAGAGAGCAGCTAACTACCAGAATGCTGGCTCAAAACCATGTGGTAGACCTCGCAAAACCTGGAAAAAGACATTAGCGTATTTGATATAAGAGCATTTGACCCCACCCAGACAGATGCTGAAGACCGTAAGGTTTGGAGAAGTGCCATAAGGGAAAGGATACATCTGATCTCACAGCATAGGCAAAATGGACTCTAAACAATTTTGTTTCATAGATATCAACCAACAAACATAGCTATTTAAAACTTATTATTGTTTAAATATGACACCAGTTGTGGGTTGTCAAAGTCAGTGAGAAGACATGGGTTCCTGTTATAGCACACTCGTTCAGAACAAGCACAACCGTCTGAATGTGAGCACATGATGATGCTGCTGCTGCTGATGATGATGATATCCTTAACTGCGTATACCCTCTCAGCCATTATCGATCTCCCTTCCTCTACAAATAATCTTCTACTTGAATAGATGGTATTTTGCTTTCATTTGGCTGTTTGAAGCATTGATTAACATTTACAAAGGTAAGTCTATTCCTGATACAGCCCTGTAAAACAAAGCTTAGCAACTGATTGTATGATTGATTTTTACGGTAGATTGCAGATAATGATCAATGTAATAAATTACAACAATTAATACTACGATGAAGAGCAAGGCTTTGTGTTAACTGCATCTGTAGCCTGATAATGATACTGATGATAGTGAATGAGAATATTAAGAAGACAATTCTGATGACAGTATAGTAGCGCGATTATACTACTACTACTACACACAGAGAAAAGTAGGTGTAAATTGACTCCAAATAGGGAGTAACTGCTTGTCACATAAGTAACACCCCAGGGAGTAAATTTAATCCCAAATGTAGGGAGTAAATAATTTTTGTTTCATAAGAAGGTGTAAATTTGCACCCCAAGGTTATGATTGTACTCCCTTTAAGGAGTGAAATTTGCACCCAATGGTGCTCATTTAACACCTTTTGGTTCCAATTTCATGAAAAATGGGTTCAAATTTACACCCGTGGGGTTGAATTTTATACCCTTTATGATCGTGGGGAGTAAATCTACACCCTTTTTATGCACAGCATCAACCAAGTGATCATCCCTCGAGTAATCATCCATGCTTCGTAATCACCTACAGTCACTGATTCTCACCCTTTTGTCTACGTTTCACTGCTCTAAAGAAATCAGACCAGAATGTCGAGTTATATGTTAAAAGGCTTTAATGCTTACCTAAACAACAATTAGTGTGAACTCAACACAAGTGCAGACTGTAAGAACTAACCTATGGCTGGACGTATTGGATCAAATGTAATAGAATTATCTAAACGCACAATCCTACCTTACCGAATATCTTCCCTTTACTTACACGTATAAGAAGACAATTATGTACTAGTTAGTAAAACAACACTTCTGCTAATTTCATTAAATTATCAAATATAACCTTCGGTACAACCCCTTATTCTTGATCGGATAACTTTCACACAAATAATATGCCCAAATGAAACATGATAATTTTCCTCTAACATGACTAAAATATGTGAATTATGCTAATTTTTCTTCATAAGGCAGTACCTATATTGACACGATGCGCCATTGCTGTATCGCATGCGCATATGCACTGATCAACCAGAGCTCGTCTGACTAAAATAGGGTGTAACATTACATCCCTCAAATATACACCCTTGCATATTTCCGTGTTTTACTCCCTAAAAGGTGTAGTGAGGGGCGCCCTATTTTTCAATTTTGTTTTACTCCCCTGTTTTGCTTACTTATTTTATTTCTCTGTGTGTACTATCACTACTACTTCTACTACTACTACTACTACTACTATACTACTACTACTACTACTACTACTACTAATAATAATAATAATAATACTGCTGCTGCTACTACTACTGCTACTACTACTACTACTACTATACTTTTACCAGTTTCGTTACTAAAAACTATCCCACGTATTTCTAGATTTGTACATGACTGTTATGCTACTCGTTTGGGATCAAGTCATTCGTCCTTATATTTATGGTCAGATTTTTGGTCAATTCTTCCCAGAAATATTCTTGTCCTCTCACGTTCTCAGTCCAGTGAATATAGGGCCTGCCATCACTGAGATACAACCTCGCCAAGAACGGCATTTCATCATCTGGGATGTCTTCGAGGAAGACCACAACTACGAATTCAGTAAGAGTGTCGCTCACGTGGTCCATGGCCGTCCGGAACTTGAGTATGAACCAGTGGTCGAGCACAGCAGCTCTGCTAAGCACGACGATGGTCTTGTAACTATGACTTACCACGTAATCGACGGAATCTAAGTAATGCATACCCAACACAAGGTCTTCGTCACCAACGACGTTCCTCTGCAATTGTGGAAGCCGTTCTTCGAGAGCCGGTCGAAGCTGTTCGCGAATCCATTCTTCGTCATCGTCGTAGAAAATGATGTTCACGTCAAACTCGTAGTCATTGTGATCTCGAGCGTCTCGCATCTCTTTATACGCAAATGCGACCAGTTTCAGGAGAAAAAGCTTGTACCTCAACTGCCATCGGTAGTGATACAACAGCACGCTGATAACAACCAAGCCAATGGAGATGAGGGGAATCAGAGAATAAAGACTATTGTTTATCTTACAGAGTTCATTTGGATCAAAATCCATCAGGGATTTCTTACGAAGAGGCTCCAGGGATGCTAACGAACAGATAGTTTTGTCCTCATTTTTCAAGCGTATAGGTCCATTTAACCAATCAATGAGCCACTTTAGTTCACAGTTACATTCAATTGGGTTCATTGATAGATCAAGTGATGAAATGGAGGAAAAGATTGGCTTAAAAGTGCTTTGATAAACGCGCGTTATTCTGTTGTTGGCCAAGGACAGATTTGTGAGATTCCAGTTACTTGAGAACATTAGCTCCTCCAAGTACGCGATATCGTTTCCTTTAAAGTCGATACTTTTTATTTGACCCAACCCCGACAAAACATCATCATGAATATGCTGGATGTTATTTCCTTTCAAACTCAACTTCTGAAGCGATTCCAACCCAGAGAAGACAAGAGGATGTAGATATCCAATTTTGCAATAGTCTAGATTTAGCTCTTGTAAAACAGAGAGTTGCCCGAATATCCCTGGCGGTAAATCATTCGTAAAACACAGGAAAGGGTTACTACTTAAGTCCAAATAAATAAGATCTAATAATCCATCGAAAAGAGATGCGTTTGATGTTGCATTCCATATGTTCATCAGGAAAAGCCGAGAGTCTTTCATGTCTAAATTAACAAGGGACTGTATTGTTGAAACGATTTTCCTTTTCGCAAAGGAAGCAAGTCTGAACGAAGAGAGTTTAGGGAAAGTGACTTTAATATTGGGGCGTTCAATTCCAGGACAGTTATACGACTTCCGGACAAAACAATAGTTTGAATGTGGTCAAGTCCCGAAAAGGCCGTCAGCTTAAAGACAGACAGATATTTGTTCCAGCTCATGTCTAAGACAGTTAAGTTTCCTAAACCGCGAAATACAGATGGAGATATTTTTGTAAATAGATTACCGGATAAGTCAAACTCCGATAAATCCACTGTCCAATTCTGATTGTGAGGATTCATTTGTTTTACTTGGTTGTATTTGATTGTAAGGACCTTTAATCCCTTCATGCCGTCGAAAAAGTCTGGGCGAATTTCGTGTATAGGGCGAACGTTATAACTGAAACTGAATTGTTTGAGTTTTGTCAAATTTGAGAAAACTAAAGAATGAAGACCATTTAGGTCGTTGCTGTAGAATTCCAGAAAAGAGAGAGACGAATTGCGAAGAGGCTCAAATAAACCCTTAGGAAACGCACCAACAGATCCTTCCACGATTGTAAGCCGTTCGATGTCTGATTTTGAGATTCCGAGGATGATGTTCGCCAACACCTCGTCACTTAAAGGGTAGCCACCTAGCACCAAATAGCGAACACGTAGTGATGCGATCACATCAGGGTCTACTGATTGGATGGGGTTTTCCCTAATATTTAGAGTATCAGTGTGGCACTCGAAGGTGAAATTTTCAGCCGTTAGGTGTTGTAGTCGATTACCAGTCATGTTTACAGTGTCGGCCTTGCCACAAGAACTTACATTGATGAAGGAGAGCTGGTTGTAGAACAGACGTGCAGTATCTAGATGTAGACTCCATTTTAGAATGTCATTGGGGAGCGATTTCAAGTTTGATGCCGATAAATCGAGAATGGAAAGCTGTGTAGACATCATAAAGACGCCTGTTGCTGGAAGCACAAGACCCCAGTTGAAGGAAAGAGACAGGTACAGTAAGCCCTTAAGGGGGTAAAAAGCGGCGGATTCTATCGCTCTTACATCGTTGTGAGAAATGTCCAAGGAGTTGATTAGAGGATATAATTCAAACGAGGAGTTCAAGAGTTTTGTGATATTGTTATGAGACAGGTCAAGCACCTCGGTATCCCCAGATAGACCCGTGGGAACCAATCCCAGACCTTTATTGCTGCAAGAAGCTTTTTTCTGTTCAAGGTTCTGATCGCATCCATGGAAAGATTGATCCATGTCCAGTCTTAAGGATGTCATCGCCGAATCTCCATCGTGTCGATATAAAGATTGGAAGGACGAGCTGACAAGGAGACAAGCGACGAGTAATGGGTACAAGATTGAGCCGTTTGCCATGACTTTAATATATCACCTCTAAAAAAGGAAAGGTACACCGCTGTCGGATGATAATATATCGATCTTGAATATGTACTAACACAAGCTCATAAAAGCATAAACAAATTGTTATATTTTGCTGCAGACGGTCAGCTTGCTTTTTAGAATTAGAATTGTACAATGTTTATTAATCAATGACTACAAATGGTTGTATAGGTCAACAGGAAAAGCACATTATCCTGTCTTAAATTTCCTCAAAAAGATCACCTTTTTCTAAGTTGGTTCTCAGCTATTATTATAGTATCTTCGTGTAAAAAGGATTTGATATAATGTCAACTGTACGAGAAATATGATAACATCCTGTCGTTATTTCATATCAAATGAGCAGCCATTTCCCATTGACATTTACGCATCTGAGGAAATCAGAATATTGACATGGTTATGAACAATAGGAGATCATTTGAGCAATCTATTTCCTCATCTCTTTGTTTCACATTCTACATTTTGGCTATGGATTTATTGTTTAAAGGTAAAGACCAGTATTGGAAACGCCCCAATTTCAAAAAATGAAATGGAAGCTCTTATTCCCAATCATGTGAGAGAATATGTTTTGACTAATACATGATGATAACAAATTTGCCGGGAAACCGCCTACTAATTCATATATTTGGTAAATTTGTTTCTCTCATGGTCTGTGAGAGATATAGGGTAGTCCCATACACATCTTTCTGTGTATAGTGCTTGTAACTTTACGAAGAATGGGCCAAATTTCTTATCATTTTGATGATTCCAGAACCTTGCAGATGCTAGATGCTAGATGATCAACCTTTTCTGATCGATTCCACAACGTTTCTTTCACAATGCAATCGCATGACCATAACTGGTCTTTACCTTTAAGCACTGATCATTGCTTATCATGTTGATTATATGGAGGAGTAAGAATACAAATTAACTTGAATTTTATCAATGACATGTAGTGTGTACTCCGAATCATTAATTAACAGATTGAAGGAACTTATATTTTCACTGAAATAACATCTGGAAAAGTTCTGAACTTTCATTTCTATTTTCAAGAACAATCGACTAACTATGCCTTTGTGTTCCTAGGAATGTTTATCATATTTCTCGTCTTCCAATTATACGGTATTTAGGAGGGAGTAATTAGGGAGATGTGTATACAGAGAGAGAGAGACACACACACACACACACACACACACGTTAAAAGAGAGGGACTGGGGAGAAGCATATGCAAAAACGTACACAACGAGCTCTTTTTAGACACATTCTTTTATTAATCACTTTATCACAAAAGCATTTTAATTTTACCGATTATTGTTTTCAATAACATAAATCATGAGACGCTTAGTATCAAATAGACATGAAAGATGAAAACGAAAAAAAAATCCCAACATGCAACATTTCATAATAGATAAGATGAAAAACCTGCAGTATATTTTTGAATTTCGGATGCGTGACATGCTTTCAGTATATTCAACTGAATGGTATGCTGGATTAGAATTTATCCTTTTATCTATGTATATAGATATCAACATGCACATTATCTTCTTTTCTTAAAGAACAAAGAATCTTACTTTACGACTTTGACCACACCCTTTTACGTCCCATCTACATATCAAACATCATGAATAACTTGATGTAACTTTAAAAATTAAAAACAAAAACTTAAACATTCTATACCATAAGTCATGTAAACTTAGTACGCCTTCAGTCCTAAAATTGTTGTTTGAAAAATGTTTCGAATTTCTAATCATTCTTCATGTATAAGACATCTGTTCGGATCCTGAAGGGATTTACTCCGTGTTAAAATGAGTAAACGCCCTTCTTGCTTCAACGCGTTATCTCCTCGTAGTTACATGTCATAACTCTACACCGACTATTCCCTTTTTCATCCCTCAATTTAAGTACACATACACCTTCGTTCCAACCTAGATGGATTAATCTTTCAATTAGATATCTCACGTGATTATGGTCAAGAGAAAACTATCACATCGCTATTAGTTTTGCAAGGGCAAATTATTAATTTGGTCGCGTGAAACACCATATCCTCTTCTTTTGTTTTTTAAAGAATGTAAAATATCTCCATCTGCAAGTTAATCGTGACTCTACGAAATAAAGACAAGTTACGCACAAATATTGATCTCATGAACATGGAATTGTAGGTCATTTCCAGACAATGCCTTCACGAAATAAACCATGAGAAGAAAAGCAACAAATGAAACAATGGTCAAACATTTGTCGGTACATAGTCACTCGTGTCTTAGTCTTTGTTTTTCTCCAAGCCTGTATATTCCCTGGTCAATCATTCTAAAATCAGTATCCGACATCAAATATACAAAAAACGAGACAATAACTGAAACTGTTAGTCACATCATTCTACCTTTTTTCCTGGTTATACATGTTATAACATGGACTATAAACCAACCAATAAAAACTGAGTATAGGACTTGACTATTCTACAAAACACATGAATACAATAAATGCTAGTTCTTTATTCGTCTACCATTTTCATTTTCATTTAATGATAAGACGATTCACGAATACAATTATGCTGAAAAGATTCACCAACCCTCGAACTTGGTCTCCATTTTAAAGTAACCTAACCAATCTCAACTTTTCCCGTTAACGAAATTCTAAATCGTGACAAAAGATATAATCACTTTGAAGAAAAAAAATCTCAAGTGATAATGTTAATCTTTTTCAGATGTTTCTATATTTTTAATTCTCTCACGTGACTACCGGAACAAAAAAATTATTAAGAGAGAGATTCGTTGTATAAAATCCTTGGCTAATACACAAATTTTCACACGGTTGAAATCAAAACCAAATAATTCATAAGATGGACTTAAATACTATTTCTAGAATATAATTATTTCACCTATAAAGTAAACTCTAATATTACAATCCTGCCTACCTTCATTACGTTCAATATGACCGAGCTATACTCTAAGACCATTCTTTGTAATCCTTGCTACTTATTGTCTTATTGTCTAAACTAAATCTATATCTTCTCTAACTACAAAATACTTAATAGCAAAACATATCACAAAACACTTGTACATGATAAAAGAAAACTACTTTGAAGGAACTTACCCGATAAATGGTCTCCTGTTGCAATTTATTTAATCGTAAGAATATTAGAAAGTTGATAACCGCAGCTTCTAAAGATACATTTTACTGTACTTTTGTACTGACACAGGCAAAGTACAACTCCTATGTATTTTGTATGTATATTATTTGTAATTATACGACAAGTGCATGAAGCTACACGGGTTTCTTTGGTGAATGTAGAGTTGAATTTTGAAGGTACTATTGAACATTTAGAGCAAATACGAAAGAGGGCATAATTTTGCTTGAATCAATTCAGTTTGCTTCACAAAACAATGTGTAAACTTTTAACAGGTTGCTAACCATTTCATGAAGTTGATGACATTCAAGGGGATAAACTATATAATTTGTTTATACTTTTGTTATCCCTTCACTTATTTTGATTGTACATATATCATTTTGTACACTTTAATTAATTTCATTTTTTGTGGAAATAAATTCAAATGTACATTGTATGACGCATGGAAAAGTTTGTTTGTTTATCGTTCACGCCTTTGTAAAAACGCCAGTTCTGCAAACGCTCAGACACATTTTGTATCAAATATATCTGCTGTATCATTTTTTGGATCAATTTTGTTGAAATATTTTCTTTTTCTTTTTGCTCTTGTTGGTGCTCATGATCTTAAATGTGAGACAAACATTGTTCGAGTCCCGCTGCGGCATTAATGTCCTTTGGAAAGATATTAATCTACGTTTGCCACTCTCCATCCAGGTTTAATAAATGGGTACACGATAGGAATAAATTCATTGAATGCTTGAGCGCCTCATCATGGTAGTTCAGCTAAAGCAAGGGTAATAATATGATTGCAGAGCCCTCATGCATTGAGAACAGTATTACTGATGAGATTAAACTACACTAGACATGTTATTATTGTAGTTATCATTATAAATAATTTTTTAATAATTATAAAGGGGCCCGGAATTCGCGAATGCCTTCCCATGTCAAATAGTACCTTGAATACTCAAAGGCAAAGTTGGTTGTTATAGGAATTAATTTGTGATACGCTACAATAATATTTTTTCTCTATATATTATGAATTTACTGCGCAGAATATGACATTGAAAGTTTCATGCAATGCATCCATTTAATACTCAGAAATACTTGTGTATTTGCCATGCTTGTGGTTAGGTATTGTTTAGATATACGATAAACGAGCGCATTTCACAAGCAACCGATTGTGATTCTATTGACACATTTTGAACATCATGTACCATATACCAGAAACAAACTAAGGGATTATGACTTGTGTATACATATACTTACATACACTTTTGCCACATTAGACATTAATGATTTCTTATAATCGTTATCATTTAACGAACGAAGCACGTAGTTATTAAGTATACACTGAATAAGTGATATATATATGTTTACAATCGAATATGAACGACGAACATAAAGTATATTACTCGATCATTGATAAGAAAGTGCTCAATAATATACAGTGGTCTAGAAATAAATGGACCCTATACTAAACATTTTGCATCGCCGCAAATATGGTTTTGAGGAAGTACAGAGTGTCCAAATGATATTTTATACCTTAATTATTTACAAGCTGGAGTTCTGCAGAGTGAGAAAAAAAAATAGAATATAAAAAAACGAACAAAATACTACTCATAATGTTCGCGTTATGTGACATGGCAATTATACCAGTTTTCATCTATCTAATTTTCTATCTAAAAACGTATCTGTAAGGGCATTCTATAAAGCCCTACATATTAAATTTTGACTTAGTTGAACTTCACTAGATTTACAGTTATTTACATATTCTTAAACCATTACCCGCGGGGTTAATAATACTATTCTTATCGATATAATCCAAGTAAATCATATACAAATATAATCATATATCACAAAACCAAACATATAGAGTAAAATAAACATTATGCTTCAAACATTACTTACAACTATATGATTTCATACTCATTAGAGAGTAGTCATTGTATTTTCTTTCAACGTACAGGGCTGTTTACACCACCAAAAAACGGACCGTGGCGCGCACAAAATCGTGATATTTTTCGCAGTGTAAACAGCCTCTTTAAGAGCAGTACTTAGTCGTGTAAGAGTCCAAGCAAAAAATATTATTATATCATCCTCCTTCTCACTATAGTACAACATAAAATTCAATTTCCTTCAAAATCTACATCTAAAATAAAACTTTAATTATTTACATAATAATCAATAATTTGCATGCCGCATTGTAATCATTCTCTGCTAAACCATAACGGTAAGTACTAGATATCATTTGCAACAAAAAAAATATGCTCTTCCACTAACTATAATACATTGCACATAATAACGAGCAAACCAAATGTATACATACGAACATAATCCATCTACATCTCTTAAAATGCATAGAATCCAGATAACAGAAATAGAAAATAGTCGCGAATATTATGAGCCTACCCTGGAAGGGTAACACAAAGTCTCTCATTTTTTTTTAACGAGAGAAATTTTATGATTACTTTTCTAAACCGATGTCTAACATTTTCCAATCCAGACAATGACGTTAGCTACGGCAATATCCTCGATGTCGCAATGAACCTTTCGTAGTAGGCCATTGATGACGATTTCATGGTTAGCTGCGGGTGTGACAAGGTAAGGATCGAAGAAGCCGCTGTTGACGATCCTACGATTGCGACTGTCCCATGGCCAGTCCTCGTCGTCGATCGGGGTTTGGACACCGGTGATGGTCTTCACGAACCCGCTTTCGAGATCAATGAACAGGACGTCGGGTTGGTCACGTGATGTGGCGAAGACGTCGTAGGTGTGGGAGGTCTTGCTCGGGAAGAAGCCGACGTCGCTGATTCGGAGATTGGTCTTGACTTCGAATGCCGTCTTGATCTTGCCAGACTCGGAGAGGACCTTCTGGACATGGACGTACTGGTGGTTGGCATCGACGCTGATGATGTACCGGCCGTCTGGTGAGACGTACGGACGACCTCGGATACCCTCGTTGACCTAATCAAAGAAGAACATTGATATTTAAGATATGGTAACAACAATAATAATGATAATAACTACATTTATACTGCGCACGTATCTATCCCATGGGGTGCTCAAGGCGCCTACAAAGTAGTGTTATTAACCTGGCTTTGGCCCAGCTGCCCTAAAGCGCTAAATGCACTCAATTAATCAATTCCTATCATGTACCCATTACTACACATAGGTGGATAACAGCAAATGTGGATTACAGTCCTGCTGAAGGTACAGATTAGTGTACGAAAGAAGTCTACGCATGAGAAGAATTAATGAACGTATGTAACAACACTTATTAGTCGTTTTTTTAGTTTTATGAATCCCTTTATAAGTCAGTTGATGAGGAAGGTGATAAGTTGAATCGTATAAGTAAGTAGTGTACAATAATACTCCTTAGCTCATCTCGGTAGACTATAATTCATCGTTGGGGGTATAAAATACTTTGTATGTTATTATGTTTCTTAGGAAATATATAAATATCATGGTGATCTGACACAGTCCCTTTCAAGAACAAAACCATAGCTATTGGTCAAAGTTAGATTCCCAAATCCTACATGATGAATGAAATGTAAGTTTCCAAATAGTTTATGAAATATACCATTTGCAACAAACTGTTAACGTTTATCTAAAACCGTTGCTTAAAGATTATGTGCAAAATGTGGGCATTGAAAATAAACAACACAGGAGTGCCAAACAAGAAGGCAACGCCTGAGATTTCCAATTTGAACGACGTTATTGACATAATTGTCATTGGCCTTTGTTACATTACGCCAACACAGTTGATTGCATAGGAAGGCCTGCATGCGCAAAATTCTCTCTGCACAAAAAATGACCAGGGTTACAAAAGTAGCAAATTTGTAAACGACATTGCCTCACAAAATAGCTGTAAAGCAAACATTTTTTCCTAAATTGATGATCTTGTTGCTTTTTTATTCGGAAAAAGTCCTCACTCAATGTCTATAACAAACCAAATGAATGACTTTGTGTCAATAATATCCGATTGGAATCGCAGATCTTAGGTGTTGCGTTCCTTGTGACCCACATGGCATAAGAAGACTGTCATATTACCAAGAATGTATCTTACCTTGATGACACTATCTGTCAAGTAATCCAGGACCAATTGCTTGGCTGGGACTGTTTCACTTCCGGCACAGTTGATAACGACACTTCCGCCGATGGCGACAAAGTTAAGTGCTTCCGGGTGACAGTTGTATGCGGTGAGGTCAATGAGAGCAACGCGTTCCATACGGACGAGGTCTATCTTATGGAGACCGAGTTGGTTGTGATGTACAATGTATCCAAAGTTCATAGTGCCCTGAGAGAGAGAATGGAATCTTGTGGTCAGCATGTGAAGAAGTGAGAAGGAGCCTTTGCAATCTTGATCGGATTATACTAAAGAGGAGTCGATTTCGTAGAAGCAGTCAAGGTCATTCAGGACCCTGTTTCACGGTTATGTATAATAAGATACGATACTTGTTACAAGCTACTGAAATCCTTGCATTTGATTGGCTATAAACAGAATTGTCATAGATCTGTGGCAGTTGTTATTTTAGGAAACAGGGTCCCAGAGTTATTTCAAAACAGGAAGGTGCAGATGAAGCCTCGATCGAGGCACAGATTTCACTTTTGACATATTATTACGCGATCCCAGAGATTTTCGAGAATATTTGCTCGAGGTTAATACAATGCTTTAGGGTATATCTTGCAGAAAGCATGTTCGGTTTACATCATGTCAATGTCATGTTCGCATTTTTCAATAGGTGTTAGATCATTAATTCGTCGCTGTTTTCACGAAGTGACGGTAGTGAAAAAAAATTGCATTCACTTTGCGTTACGATTTTCCTCACTACCGTCACTTCGTGAAAACAAGGACGAATTGTTGGAATAGTCGTAGGTTGATTTTTAATGAGGTCTTTGCAATTTTGTACATGAGGATGACGATGAGGACTCGCAAATTATTGTTCACCGTTCCCGTAACTGAACCTTATCTTTAATCGTGTGCAAGTTAATCTATCAAGTTGAACATGATACAATCAGTAAGTGAATTAACATCGTTGAAGTAAATTTTTGTTACGACGCTTAAGTTTTCGTCGAAAAACATAGGGGAAAATGAATTACAAAACCAACCTGCTTAGGAATTTGTTCCCTTGGGATGAAGAGACCTTCGACCAGCTCAAATGTGTGTCCTACAGGCTCGGTGTGGATTGTATGGTGAGGTCCTGGTTGACCAGCGGATTTGATGACCATGATGGACTGACGCCCTGCCTTAGCTTCCTCCTCCGATCGCCGACATAGCACCCACAGTGAGTCCACGTGTTCTACGTATTGGAGAGATACCGGCTGGCCGTCTGTACTAATCACCTGTGTGAGTTATGAATCGAGGTAAACTTGAGCTTATGCAGCCTGTACTTCATTGCAATGAAATTAAGACGTGAACAAATAACTTCATTGCCATTATAGCGAATAGCTCGCAAAAACAGATTATAGAATAATTTATTTGGGGACAAGAACTTTACAACCACTCTTTAAATACCAACGACTAACATAGGCCAACCAATCGAAAGAAGATTCTTTTTTAGAAGAGGAAGGCCAATAAAGTGTGAGTGGCCAATAGCTAGCCACGCCAGTGTTGAAAAATAGGAACTGGTCTGTCCAAACTAGTGACATATTTAATAATAGTAATAATATTATGTTTTCAACTCAGCGAAGCCTCATCAACTTCAATGGTGTTCTTCCTGAGGGCCCTGTCATTATTATTACACAAGCGAATGTCAAATGTCAAAGGAAGAAAGATGTCTTCCAAAGGAAGTTAGTACCGGACTACGATTCGAACCCCCAACCCTTGGATTAAGGGTTAAATGATCGGACCATTACACCACGACTAATGTCAAAAGGATGATGGACACTCCGAATTAAGGATTATGGTAGGACAGAATGGTCAAATGTATTACTTTGAATTTTTAACATGCATTATAGATAATCATTGCAGGCTCACGTTCAAACAATCCCTAGATTGCAATGGTCACTACACCTAGTGGTATTTTTATATATCACCTGCCGAGTATGTGAGTTATTGAACAGCAGTTGTATAGTGCGGCTCGTGGTGATAGTAGCCCCGAGATCACCGAGGCGATGATAGTTTGTATCCATGGTCCGAGTAAAGGAGGTTAATATTTGTTTTATATCCAATATCGTATTTCAATTCAGTTAATAAGTCAATAAAACTGGTAAAAATCCGAAAGAACGATGAACTTGTCAACATATAACATACCATGTATATAGTGTATGTAAAATAGAGATCACCGAGGGGATGATAGTTTGTACTGTATAAAAGTACTATCACATCCCTAACTCACGGCCATGAAGTGATGGTAAATCTATCATTGATCATGTGACCTCGTTTAGACCAATCAAATTGCAAGATTCTTAATATGCGAGATATAATAATTACCTCAATGATCCTTTGTGAACGTGCATCCAGTACTACGACGCGGTTCTCATACGGTTGTGACGCATAGATGTAGCGGTCATCCACACTGACCGCGTCACCCCAGTCACATCGGCGTGTCTCGGATACCTGGTCAACACTGCAGAGTGTCTTGATCGTATCGGGTAAGGTGCTGGCTCCAGTCAGGGCCAGTCTGAAGCCGCAGGTATCGGGTTCGAACGTCTGGATGCCATCACGGTGGAACAGGTAGAAGACGTGGAGTGGACCAGGTGAAAGAGCTGTGCGGATGAAATTATATATCTGATAATAATCGACTTTTACGGTATTCATACAGGAAACTTATGGGCAATAGAAGTGAGAATAGTGATGTTGGTAGTAGTATTAGTAAAAGTATTAGTAGAAGTAGTAGTAGTAGTACTAGTAGTAGTAGTAGTAGTAATAGGAGTAGTAGTAGTAGTAGTAGTAGTAGTAGTGGTAATAGTAGTAGTCGTAGTAGTGGTAGTAGTAGTAGTAGTAGTAGCAGTAGTAGTAGTAGAGTAGCAGTAGTATTATTATTATTAGTAGTAGTAGTATCAGTTGAAGCAGAAGTAGTATTATCAGTAGTAGTAATACTGGTTGCAGTAATACTTACGATGATCTTGAGGTTGGATAAAGACCGATGCACTCTGATGAGCTTCTGAGAGAGGGTTAGTAGCTGTACAGGTATAGATACCTGTATCTGGGTAGGAGATCTCCTTTACTAAAACACTGCTGTTCTTATCTGTATAGAAGATAACCCAATCGGATAAAGCAAATGGGTAATTTATGACAGAGAGCAAAAAATATTGTGAAGAATTATGTTCTAAAAAAATGTCAATATAATAGGATGAGACAGACTGGGAAGATGATAGAAATTAAGATATCAATTAAAAGAAATAAACATGAACGTTACCTAACATTGATCGAGTGAAAGCGAATGAAAATTATATATACATAAAGATAGAACATACAAACAGGACATTAAATGATTAATAAAGAAAGAGGGAGGGAGGTGATATATCATAGTCAAAGTTGCAAAAAGAAATTATCAAGTTTCATATGAAAACATAAATTCTCTTAACTATATTTCTCATCAAACTGTGAGAAGGAGAAAAGAAATTACGCAACTGCTAAAAAAAGGAACCAATAAATATAACACTTGAAAAATGTCCCCATCAAAGGGAAGAAAACCAAATGGATGCCAGTGACATTTAACATTTAAAACTCATCCGAAGAAGGCTAAGTAACCATGGCAACGAATAGCTTCTTGCCATCGCAGTTTAATGGTCCGCTGTACTGAGCACAATATAATCTCTAATGGTATGTAATTTCCATCGCTAATGATGCGAAAAAAAGGTTGGGTAATAAAACATGATACGTGCATGTCTCACATTTTCACAATTACAGTCTAACTGCAATAACCAATCATACACAGTCATGTAGGTGCCTGAACTTCCCATCTTCTAAGGTTCTTTGAACAGAGTATATTCCCACAGTTCATAATGATTGAGAATGTTAGTCATGAAACTTGGCAAATCGCCCAATTTATAGCTTCCGGAAGCAATACGTGATGACTACTAACACAACCAAAAGGGCAAAGGGCTGCAAGACATAAACAATTGATGAAGAGAAGATAAGATTTCCTTAAATTACAACATGAAAGTCGCTTGTTTGTATTAAAGTGTTTTATACAAAAATAATTCATATAAAAATAATAAAAGGAAACCTTTCTGGTAATTGGTGTCCTTGAATCATTAGAAAAAAGAAAAGCAACAACAACAACACGTAAACACAAGACGCGCAAAATAAACAGCATAGTAACAACGAAGAACGAAAACAAAACAAATCACTAAAAACCTGTAATATAACTCACTCTGCATTTCGATCCTATCACTTTGGACCAGCGGTATGTCGTTCCTGGTCCAGCTCTTTTGTGGGGTAGGGATCCCTTCGGCGTGGCACTGGACCCGGGCCTTGCTGCCCTGCTTCCTGAGCTGGGAATGAGGACATATCTTCACCGATGGTGGGACTACAGAAAAGAAGACGGTTACGAAAAGGGAAGAGAAAAACTAGTTAGAAAATATAATGAAATAAGGAAAATATCTAAACATTCCGCCTCTCCAATTTTTGTAAAGGGGTTGGGCTGGGGGGGGGGGGGGGGGGGGGGGAGTGATTATCGGGTTTAAACTAATGATAATATGTTAACATGTTCATTGTATCAATGCAACAGCTTATTCCCAACAAACGTTAATGTTGATCACGGTGAAACCAGTAATCTTTGATGAAATGAAAACCAATACAACAAATTGGAAGAAGAAGGAGAAGAAGAAAGGGGAGAGAAGTAGGAGAAGCACGGAGAAGGAGAAGGAGAGAGAGAAGAAGAAGAGGAAGAAGGGTAAAGAAAAAGAAGAAGAGGACCTCCTCTTTGACATTCGGATATACCCTGAATATTAATGTGTCGACTTTTCGTTGGTATAGTGGTAAAATTATCAAAATAATTTGCAAGGAAAAACAAGTATGTATTACCTTGAACCTGTAGAAGGTGAGTCTGCTTCACTTCTTCATATCCCTCCGCGTAGCAGGCGTATGAACCTTCGTGCATGAGTGTGATGGCCGTTAGGTAGAGAGACGTATCACCAGCATAGAACTGTGGCAAATAAAGAGCAAATAAATTACTTTTCCCTGTTTATGTACATCATCGGCATGGCACAGGCCTCGGGGACATGGGGGCATTCGCTACAAGAAAAAAAGGTTACTGACAGTGCTTAGATATTTCTGGTCGAAGTTACCCCTCCCCTTCCTTATCATGATGACTTTCATAGATCTACTTTCTAACTTGTTTTACAAATTGATTAATGTTAATGCCACTGAGGTATCATTATTGACGTCGTTTACGACATCATCGGTATCTTTAACATTGGCAATAACATTCTCACCTTCATGGATGAAACTGATACTAATATTGATAATACCTTTTTCCTTGTCCCCGTTGCATAAAACTTACCATTGATGGTAACTTTGCCATCAATGGCAACTACCATGGTAGCAGGGCTCACAAGCCAATCAAAAAATCAAGGTTTCTGTGGTAGTTACCATTTATGGCAAAGTTACCATCAGTGGTAAGTTTTGTGCAACGGGGTCTGTCTTTTTAATTATAAAACCATCTTACCCCGATTCCTTGATACTCCTGTATCTCTGTAAGAGGGGCATTGTTCCTGGTCCATCGGATCTCAAGAGGGTGATCTGACGAGAGCTCGCAAGGTAAGGCCAGGTTGTCGCCAACCTTTGCTACCGTAACACGTTGAGCTATGCTTCCTGAGAGCGATACTGCTTTGATGTCTATAAAATGATTAAGAGAAAGGGAGAGGGTGCAATAAGTGGCCAAGGATGAGTCCTGCCGTTAAAGCGGGACTGCACTAGCTATTAAAGACTTGTGCCCTCGAAATAGCTAACAATGCCTAAGCGGTATACCCGTTGGTCCCTCAGGATCCATTTTTCCTATGTTAATTGAGAGCTGATTTGATGAGATAACTAGTAGAGATAACCACCTGTCAGTGACCACGCAGGGAGATCTAATCCCTCCGGGCCAAACTAGTGCAGATAGGCTCTAAAGGAACACTAATATCAGAGGGAAGGGGAACTTGTGTTACTTAAGAGATTAATGCTAATGAACATGGTCCATGGCGGAGTTCTATCATTTTCATTTTGCATTTATTTTTTCGAAAATATGTTTCTAAAATATTTTGTTTCATATTTTCACCATTCAATACTGGATAGGGGAGGTAAAGGGTGTTCATTTAAATGCATCAGAAAGTTATTTAATTACTTTTCTTTCATTCAACACTTAAAATAGAACTGTACCTTTATAATGCTAAACAGAAGAACAATACATCTCGCGGGCACCAAAAGAAGATACTTACTGAATTCTCGATAGAGTTCCATTCCGCTCAGTTTTTCGTTCCCATCAAAATCACCCGAGTCTAGTACATCCAGGAAAGAACATCCGGGTAAGAGGTCAGTAATGCGGTCAAGGGTCATGGCTGATTCCATTTCCTGGCGGGAAATTGCATCGTCAGCATCGATATCATAGTGATTCAAAATCAGACTCACGATGTACTTCTTATTCACTGAAATAGAGGGCATAGAAAAAAAGGAAGAAAGAATAGCATAAGTATATCGATATATACTAATTACTTTACATGGGACTCCCGTTCACTGCACTGATATCTACTTCTGATAACTCTACACAAGATTATAAAGTGTGCCTTACTATTTACTAAAATGACATAACGATTGACATCAGTTCGCTGATACTTCAAAACATGACGTTAGGAAGCTGATCTCGACTCGAGTACATCAATATCTACTATAGATAACTTTAGAAGTGATAGTACATCAATATCTACTATCGATAACTTTAGAAGTGAAAGTACATCAATATCTACTATTGATAACGTTTGAAGTGATAGTACATCAATATCTACTACTGATATCTTTAGAAGTGATAGTACATCAATATCTACTATTGATAACTCTAGAAGTGATAGTACATCAATATCTACTATCGATAACTTTAGACGTGATAGTACATCAATATCTACTATAGATAACTATCGAAGTGATAGTACATCAATATCTACTATAGATAACTATCAGAGTGATAGTACATCAATATCTACTATAGATAACTATCGAAGTGATAGTACATCAATATCTACTATAGATAACTTAAGAAGTGATAGTACATCAATATCTACTATTGATAACTTTAGAAGTGATAGTACATCAATATCTACTATAGATAACTTTAGAATTGATAGTACATCAATATCTACTATAGATAACTTAAGAAGTGATAGTACATCAATATCTACTATAGATAACTTTAGAAGTGATAGTACATCAATATCTACTATTGATATCTTTAGAAGTGATAGTACATCAATATCTACTACTGATATCTTAAGAGACGATAGTACATTAATATATACCACTGAACGAGGCCTAAAGTCCTGTTCAGATATGGCGCGGTGAAACTGCCTCCAAAAAAAAAGCCACTGTGCCTTTCATTTTTACGTGTAGACATGGTAGATAAATCGGACCTGCGCACACTAAAGGACTTGTACTTATTCACTGAGCTTGTTTTTAAGATAAAGACATGTGAAACGTTAAAATTAAAAAAAAAAAGACGGCGGTTTTGTCGCGTCATATTTATACGAGCCTTAATTCGTGTTTGAGAGTCCTCACATTATGTTATGCGATGGACACATGTTCTTTACAATGCACACCAAACATACAACTATGGTTAGCACTTGTTACAAAATGGGAGATGCCATTAAATGTCGCGTAATAAACTCTCGACCAATCATATGGCTTGGATCTACATCACATTTATCACGTGATAACATCTCAACCAATCGCATGGCTTGGATCTACATCACATTCAAACAGACGACGGTCATATTTCTTACGTGGAGGTAGGTCGTTATCCTCATTAGGGTTGTGGAACTGTTCTCGGTAGTGTGCTATGAGTTCTTCCTTCAGCTGGGCCATCTCCTCGGGGGTACATGTATCAGGTGCTTCCGTCGGGGACATTGATGGGATAGGACCTGGAAGGAAAAAAGAGTGTGTGGGAGGATTTGATTCCAAGAGATTACGAGCTTGTATTGACGCTGCGTATAAGTATCGGCTTGCATGGTGATGTAGATATACAGTAGGCTAACGGTTGCACCCAATCCTCCCCCCTCTCTCTCTCTCTCTCTCTCTCTCTCTCTCTCTCTCTCTCTCTCACAGTACGCTTACTGTACAAGCTTGTATTGGTTATAGATAAAACAATATTGCCACTTTTATCATACAAAACAAATACAAGACAAACTCTTTGTTTTAATTCCTGTTATGGGAACGGAAAGTCAGTCGCTCTTATGTAAATCCCGTTTCAGATTAATATAAATGCACTATCTCAGTCCCGTTGTTTGGCAACTGCTGGATGATCCAATGAAATCGGGCCTTATCGAAATACTGCCATTACTATAATTCTATCTTTAAAATTATTGAGCAACTTGCTTTGAAAATCATTTTGCACTGGGCATGATTCTAACACTTTCCCTTATTGAAATTTAAGTGAAGAAACTACTTTAGCATGATTTCCTACAAGATAGTTGTATCGGTAAGACCTTCACACGCCAATCCTGGACAGTTTTGTTTTCTCTCTTACCGGCTATTCGAAAGATGGCCCTAGCATATATTGTCAGTTACAGTAACGGCCTACTTGCTGGCAACCGACCAGGACAAAGGGGGACTCAAGAAGTGAAAACAAAAATCACACTATCAGAGGCCTTTGAGGTCTTAAATATTTCAAAGGGCACAACATATTTTGGGAGGGGGTGTACTAAAGTTACTCCAGATACGGTTTGAAGGGACAGGGGTCAATGTAGACAGAAATAACCGTCTGGTATGGGTCATTATTTAATAAAAACAGATAGAGGTGGCCAGAGGAGCCAGATGTAATCTCAGCGGAACAACTGTCGCTATCAGAGACTGAAGCTTTCGGTCTAGGGTCGGTGGTGCCCCATCCATCCCCTTAACTCCGCCCCAGACTATTCAGAGTAACTTACCTTCGGGTGTAGTGGTCATCACGAAGGCTGTCTGCGGGGTGTCGCACCCATGGCTATGTACGGTGATACGCTGTCCACTTACGCAGGACGCACGGTGAAGCTCACAATGATTCTCGTACATGACGCCATCGGAACCACAGACTGGCTTGTAGTGGGGCTTGCAGTAAGGTCGACAGATACACTCCGCCAGGTTAGTCGTCCTGTTGACTAGACATTCACTGCCCTTAGGACATTCGACATGAGAACAGGCATCTGCATAAAAAGTAAAAGAACAAAAGACATTTATAATAATTTAGGCAAGATGGGGCTATGCCCATGAAGAAAGTATTCTCTGCGACTGCGGAGAGACTCAGACGATGGACCACATCTTGGAGTGCGGCGGAACGTGTTAAACTGATGAATACCTGGCGATGGAAAAACTCAATTTGATTACATTTAATTTAGGAATCTTACATTAATTTTGATCTAAGGAGACACAAACGAACGAGTTAAGATAATTTTATTTTCAAATATATTTTTATTGACGTACGTTTTGACGAAATCATGACAACAGAGTATTTTGTAGAGGTGTTGTGGTCTAGCCGCGAGTGGATAATTCTCAGGACTGTGAACCATAAGGTACGGGATTTGAATCCATGCCACAGCACTAATATCCTTTTCGCAAGACATTAATCTACATTTGACACACTCTACCCAGGTGCCGTAAGTGGTTAACTTGCAGGATTTATTCCTTGAATACATGGAAAGCTACTAATATTACTGGAGCTTATAGCCAGTGTTTTAACAGTCATTGAAGCTCCTTCGGAAGCGCAAAGAGACGTTATTATGGTACAGGAACGAAACATTATTATTACTATTAAATCGCAGAAGCTGAGGTGAATGTCTTTCTCCTATATCAGACGACAAAACACATTGATCAAAGTTTCTTCATATCTTTTAAGAAAAACGCAAGAAACGACAAAGGTGCGAAGGGTCACGTGCTGCATTACAAGACTGTTCACCTGCATGCAAGCGAGAAAGGGTTCAGGCTTTACCAGGTAAATAGACTGCAGAAGAAGTCGAACATATTGGTCGACCAATACAGACGAATTAAAAAATAATATTGAGATAGAGTTCGTGAGAGGTCTGTTTTTCTTTCATTATCTGTTTCCGTCCCTTTCTCTCAATTAACGCTCTCTGTTTGATGTCATTCCTTGCTGTATTTGACTCTACTTCTCCGAGACAAGTGTTTGTTTCTGTCTATCAACCAACTCCTTTCATTTCTACAGCTGCCTATTCATTCTTTCTACGTCTTCCTCAACGTCAGTCAAATCTTTTCCATCCCTCTTGTTGTTGCTAAGACCAAAATGAAGGAAGTGTTTCGTAGTATGAGTTCATCATCTACTTTTTTTTTTTTAAATCTCGATATTTTATCACTGCCCCCCTCCCCCTCCCCATACCCTTCTTTCTTCTCAGTCAATCTCTTTTTATCCATTTCTCTTTTACACCATACCCCAACTTTGGCTATTTCAGTCATTCCTTTTCCCTTTTTTTTTTCTTGAAATACCCTCCTTCTTTTTTAATTTTCTAATTAAAACCTCTTCCCTGTTCTCTGCATCATATCTTTTCTTTCTCGCTTTAATGTTCCCCTAGTCATTTCTTGTCACTCAGCCTATTTTCTATGAACTGATGAACTAGAGCAGCGTGAAGTGATACTTCCCTGTCTCAAATATTTAGTTAGATGGATGTGCTGTTGGTCTATGCATTATTCGGTTTCAATCTCTTTCGGAAGGTTTCGAGTGTGTGATTGATCTTTATGTTCGAGGCAGGGGATTTCCGATCACCGAAGGAGAAGGAAGTGCGTATAGGATGCGTACATGTTCCCCCTTCCAACACCAGCCATTATTATGATGTCTCCGTTTCATTAACATAGGGTAAAATGTTGCAGTAGTGCCGTAGTCGAATGATTTCGACACTGACTGTAGATGAGCAGAAGGTTGTGGGTTCGATCCCGGCACGGCACTTGTCCTTAAGCAAGTCATTTTTTTATCTACATGCTTTTTATGCTCCTCTCCTTCCAGGTGTTGAATGGATACCCAGGAGGATGCGAAAGTCATTGTAGTTTGCTCAGCATCGTGAGCGTCTGTAAAATGGCGCCTGGCTGGAATGCTCCCCAGGGAGTGGAGAATGTGGATACATTGTGTGCGGAAAGTCTGAATACGTTGACGGAGTTAATAATATTTCTTTAAAGCGCATAGAGACATCATCCCCGTAAGAGCGTTATATCAACTCGGAATATTATTATCACTATCATCCAATTTCGTATTTTTCATGGTATTGTCATTCTTATAAATATATCAATTCATGTTTCCAAATTCACGAAATTGCAATATTATAAGATATCGCACGAAAATGTTATGTATTTGACTAAATGTTCTCCAAGAATTAACGTCAAAATAAAACTCAGTACTTTACAGGATGGGGGGGGGGGGGGTTCAATTAGAAATGACGGTCTAGGAAACAGCGGTCGGCAGTTAGATGTCTACGAGAAGTTGACTTTAATAGAGGGATAGTTTTCTGAGGGTAATAATACAGGGCCAGTTTTCCCTATCAGCCCAAGCCCTCATCCCACCCCTCTCTTCCATCGCGCGGAATGCACGCCACTGTTACAGTAAACTCCATCAATTTTTTTCATGTCGAATCGCATTTGTGATAGAAGACCTCGTATCCGTTCAATATGACCCGCCAAATCTTCTAAATCGTTTCACAAATCTCTATTTTGGAGCGAACGAATAAGATAATGGAGAAGTTTCCGAATCATAATCGATTGATTCCCATCACAGCGCATTACATGACTAGTCTGAGGAGCCCATCCGTTTTCAATTGGTGGATAAACATGTAGTCATAGTCATGTTGATAAACGAATAGTTAATAGCTTTTATACAATTTTAAGGGATAACAAAAGAGGGAGAGATAGAGGGAGAGAGAGAGAGAGAATAATTTTTGAAAGGGAGAAATAATGCCACATATAAACCATGGCATGATACTGAACATCCTTTTGCATGGAATTTCCATTTCTTTATCTTGTTTATAGCTTCGTAGATATTAATAGGCTGCAACATGATTCATATGATCTGATATTGTGGAAAAATAGACATAGGGTGTGGATTAGGGAAGGGTGGTGTACTATATGGGAGAGAATCAACATAGCAAAATTTCGAGACAAAATTAATGTAGGAGCAGAAAAGATACAAAGACTGAGAGGAACAGAGAAAAGAGATAGAGAGAGAGAGAAAGAAAGAGAGAGAAAGAGAGAGAGAGAGGGTGTAACGAAGGATGCGAAAGGTGGAAAGAAAGAACGAAAAAAAAAGAAATATATAGAGGACAAGGGGAGAGTGGAAAGAGGGGTAGGCAGAAAGGATAAGCGGATAGGGAAGGAGGATGAGACGGAAGGCACATTGAGATAATAATTCACGGATTCGAAAACAACGAAGAAGATGAAAACATACCCTCAGCAAAGAGGTGCAGGCGAACGACTTGCTATAATTCACCCTGCTTGACCCTCAGACTCAGGCGATCATTACATGAATTTCAATTTACCCGCATGCCCTCCGGCTAGAGATTGGCGCTCCCAAATGGAGGGAGAAAATAATCGATGCAGTTGCTATGGCAACCTGTTAACTCTGCTCCTAAGAACTACTTGAGAGAGGGGCCATGAACGCCTTTTCGCATATAAAACTACTCAGCGATACCTATAGGCACTTAACTTATTTTTCATACCCCTGTTTTTCCGAATCTTTTATTTTTTCATGCTTGCTTTATGGAAAGGGTTTTAGATATACCCTCTTCGAAATTTAAAATATTCAATCCCATTTTTACTTGTTTGTCAGATAAAAAAATCGATCAACTGATTTGTTTTCCATTTTCACGTTATAGATTATAAACATTTCTTTCTTATAGAAGACCCAAAATGTGTACCTATAAGCACCGAAATTGATATCAGAAGCACGTCATTTCTACTGGTATATCATCATTTATTTGATTGTTTTGTCACGATTTTGTTTCCGTGCAAATAACAACTATATTAACACTGTCTTGAACAATTATATTATCATTTTCGTATACAATCAAAACAATGTACAGTGTTTGCCGAAGGTAAACAGGAAAAGTGGCCACTGTAGACACGTAGCTTTCTAGACACTCCTCTAGGATATATTGCCACGGCGGGGCTCGAACCACGAACTATGTGGTCCTCAGTCCGGTGACCTCACCACTAGACCACGAACGACACATCAACGAAAATCCTGTCTTGGGTGAGATAGATTGATATTAAAGGATTGTTTATAGCTTACCAGTGTTTGGGTCCGGGAAGACATCATTTACGTGCCAAGCATCCAATGAAGCTTTCTGCAGAAGAAAAAAGAAGAGGGTTATGTAAAGAGAATCAGAAACTTAGATGCTGATTATAAGTATCGGCTTGCATGGTGATGTACATATACAGTAGACTTACGGTTGCACCATGTGATAGAGGGAGAGGGGGGGGGGGAGAGGAAGATTACCGACAGTCCTTTTCAGGACTCCCCAATCCTCCCCTATCTCTCACATGGTGCAACCGTAAGCCTACTGTAAATCAGAAACTTGTTACATGCAAAACTGTAAAATGTGCCTTTCCTTTATTATTTGTGTTTAATTATAATACAATTGTCATTAGATGCTATGTTTTTATTTTAAGGCCTATGATAAGTAATGTATAATTTCGAGAAAAAAAAAGAAAATGGGATGAAGTTTTCCAATGAAAGTGGAATGGTAAAGAATCCTTTATGTTAAATTATATGGAATTCATTTACAATTGTTATATGTACTGTTTTTTGTCCAAATCTTGGTTATGGACAGAATGTTGATGTAAATGGACGCGATGAAAGGTTGAAAGTACAAATGCGTTTTCTTACGTTTCATTCGAATTTGGGGTGAAAATGTGCCTTGAGGGTAATTATGTATATCCATCCAACTATGTGCATTTGAAAGAGAAACAAAATTGGTTTATATTCCCATTCTGAAGTAGGAGTTCTATATGTTTACCCTAGTTGGACAATACATATCTCTGGTTCGGTAAAGAAAATACACAAAATTGGTTGGATACATAATTAACCTCGTGCTGGGCAGATTTTTACCCACATGTTTTTAAGAGTGTTGATACACACTGCTCCACTAAATTGATATATCTTATCTTGAATAGCTTTCCTTCATTTCGTTAAGAGGCATTCTACACCTGTCAAATATAGCCAGTATCGGGTAATATTGGGGGGTCGGTGAGGGGTAGCAGGAATATTTTCATCGGGGGAAGGCTTTCATCATTCCATGTACGCCTACTAAATCTTCTGACAATCCAAACATCAATTATCCCGCATCCGCCATCGCTGTCACTGCTTAACTATTATTATTATGTGATGTTTTATACGAATATAGTATTCGTCTGAACTAACATCAAGGATTTAACAAATCAAAAGTAATGGAGATATCATACCAGATAATCATATCATATGTTTTATGTAATGTTTGTAATACTGCATCACGTGGTGTTTCTTAACGTTAAAAGTCATTAATATATATCAATGAAGATGATGATAATAATCTCAATATCTACCTATTTACTTTAAACATCTTCCTATTTCTGTCACGTAACCCTTTTTTTAAATCTGCTCTATGTGCTTTAATTGTTCGTGTATCAGCCAGCGATGATAGAGAATGAAGAATTCACAACACATATTATACAAAAAAGGGAACATTTAAGATTTCGAGTAAAAAATAACAAGTACAGCTAATGAAAGAACAACACAAGGAATGTGATATAAAATTTCAGTTAGTTGATAAAGGTAGTTGAAATCTTATTGCGTCTTCTCTGATGCTGAAGCAACAGGTCACGTGACCGATTATGAAACTTAGAAGAGCAGGTGGAGGAAATGGGGAATTTACTTAACTCCTTGGTAGTAAATAGGTGCTGAATAGACGAGAGAGCAATTAAGGACAACATAACAGATTATTACACGGCTCATATGGGGCAAGTATTCCAGGGCGGAGTAAGAATAATGAGATTAAGCATACTTAAAACACAAACGCGGCCCATTTATTTTCCTCAGATTCTTTTACATGCGTTATATTTATAGAATGATTGGTATCATCAATTTATGCCGATGATAGTTTGAAAGGGATCACATTCTTTACCTCTTTCCATAACTGTGATTACCCTCCCCCTCCCCAAGTTAAATGTAAAGCGTAATTATACTACCTTGCAGTTTATTGATATTGTAATTTATATTGTATAATGTTGTACACTATGTATTTTTATAAGCATAAATACAATATTGAATATAATTTATACATCAGGTTATTGTTAGTTGCATTTGCATATTTCACATTGTATATTATAATTGTGAGTCCATATCTGGTTTATCTATAATTTTAATTAATTCTGATGAAGTCATTATTTTGTGTAATGTCATATTCTTCTTTGTCGTTTACGTGTAATTCAGTCTTTTTAAGTGTTTCTTTGATATCTCTCACTTTTCCTTCTTTTTCTTGCGCTTAGAAACATTAGTATTAAGCGCTTTATAAATATTAATATTATTATTATTATATATTGTGTCAAACAGCTTGAATGTGTTTGCCAATCTTGCATCCTCTTTGTCTGAAAATATTCGCCACTACCTTTAAATCAAGCGAAGAGAATCTCCCAAACCAGACTGGCTCGCTCGGTCTGTTTGGATTCAGAATCGCATTCCAATGTATGGATGAATTACCATTCATTCACTGCACATCAGTAACTCATGTAAGAAAGAAATGCGTCATGAATGACTCAGCCCTTACACACGGACCACGTGACCATACTCGACCTCATTCAACTAAAATCATACGTAGCCGTTTGAAGAACTAGACATAATTAAATTTTGGTAATAAAACCTCATTAATCAAGGGAGTATTGAAACCATGCCATGGTTACTACATCATGCACCTGTGTCTACAATCTTGCTCAAATATATCGAATAAAATGATTCATTCCGAATTCAAGTAGCTGTGCGTATATATACAAGACATTAAAGGCCTCTAGGCATACATGTACTTTAATTGTGGTTTATTTTTGGGTGAAAATCATATAAGAATTTTTTAATACACTACTAGAGTTGGTAAATCGATAGTTTAATTTGATAGCCATCTCTATTGGGAATGGTAGAATTGACAGTTGGCAAACATTTGTAGATAATCACCCTTGCACCTGATTCAAATGCAGCCTCCAGCATTTCTAATCACCTATGTCATGAACTGATGTGCATTTCATTCTCTTTTTAAAATATTCAATTCTTAGAATATTCAATTCTTAGAATATCACATAACCCTATGTCTCTCAAAATACTCGAGTTTTTGATTAAGTTCGACGTCCCTTTAAAATCGATAGTTTCAACAGTTCGGTTAACGACAAAAAAACAAAAGAAATATCATATCCTGAACTAATGGTGTAACATCCCATTTTGACTTCAAAGTGGTTGGCACTAGTGAAATAATGTATATCGAGTTTTGCTTATTCACAATGTAGGAATCCTTTATCGTCTTTTTATCCGGGGGTTGTAGTAGTTTCTACACTGGAGTCGACCTGCTCCCAAACGCGTCACCTCGCGGAGGGCCCACTCTAAGATCTGTCACCGTTTCTTACTCTTATCTTCAGATGAGATGGGTAAGAAAGGCCCCGGTAAGGTTCGAGTGTTAAGTCAATAACCTTTCCCTGCCTCAGCCACTCCATATATAAATTTTGCATGAGATTGATGGCAGTGGTATTCGGGATGAAGACATGCATTGGGACCTGGATGTATATAAGAAACCGTGTGAATAACACATTTTATATGTAAGAGTGGCCTTTCTGAATTCAAAAGACTGTTGACCTGTCTTTTGATATAGTAGTCCTCCGGGGCGTGAATCACAAAGATCCTTGTTGAACGTATCTCTAAGTTAGACTTCACAATCATGGAAAGCCATTAGCATCTTTGAAAATATTTTGTAAAAATTATTTTAAAAACCATAAAATGTTGATTCAAATCTTTCATATTTTCTATTATATTACTTGATGTGATTTTGCTTGTGAATATATTTTATTTGAAGGCTAATAGATGGCCCTCCATAATGTTTAAGTTCAACTTAGAGTTCGACTTAGGATCTTTGTGAAACACCCCTAGTATTAACAAAGCTGCCTCGGCCGTTATACGAAAACTATCACCAATTTGAATTGTTCTGATAAACTATCATCATGTACAATGACTTAGATCTATACTTACTAAAAGATTTTTTTTAAACAAGCATGATCATGGTGGCGAAAGATGTTGTCAGAATCTGAGCTTGTCAACAAGTTTGCTGTTTGTCATAGATGTTATGATTTCCTATTTTGGTCATTTGCAAGCATATTCTGATAATCATGCGTTGTTGAAACAGTGTGAAATGATTTAGGGTATCATTTAGATCATTGACAGTACATCTGATCCCACCTGCCATCAATAATAGTCATTTTACTTCAACCATATACTATATACATTTCGATGTGCATAATATATATAAATTAGGTTCTTGAGGACTTGTAAAACCATTCTAGCATGATTTTACACGAAATGAGTTGAATACCATCCATTTAAATGTTCAACAGTTTACTTAAAATAAGTGAAAATCATCAGATTTTACGCATATTAAAAAACTGTCCTTTTGTATTCAATACTTAAAAGTGATAACATTATGCCGTTATGCTCTTTCAAAATGATGACAACGCCCACTTGAACAGAAATCTAATTTGATTTTTAGCTGCGCTCTGGGATAACTTGTCTTAAAATGCTATTCCCAAGGTCTGCCTGTATTCAACAGATAGACTTTCAACTTAGAAGTATTTGCACAGTTGGGTAGGTGGGCGTAAGAAGTGACGACTGAGAGAGAGAGAGAGAGAGAGAGAGAGAGAGAGAGAGAGAGAGAGAGAAAAAGAGAGAGAAAGTGAAAGAAGAGAGAGATGGGGAGAGGGAGAGAGAGAGAGAGAGGATAGAGAAGGGAACAGGGAGTGAGAAGATGTATATATAAATATAGAGAGAGAGATAGAGGGAGAGACAGACAGAGGCAGACAGACAGAGAGAGAGAGACATAGACAGACAAACAGACAGACAGAACATGCATGAGACAGAGAAAAGAGGTGTGGGTTTGTGTATGTATGTGTGTGACAGGGAGACAAATTATAATGAAAGTAGAGAGTAAGAGAGAAAAGGTGTGCGTAAGATCAGGAGAGAGAAAATGAGAAGGAAGGTGACTTAGAGGTGAGGAAGAAAATGAAAGAGCGAGATGATCAAGGTGCAGTTTTTTAATAAGCTGAAGGCGAAATATGTTGACTG